TTTCATAATATAGGGGGTTTTTTGGGGGTTAGATCTCGTAAATACAAAGGTGTCGTTAAACCCGCCACCACTCCACACAACCAACATCTATAGGTTTGTAACGTAAACAGAACATGGCAATTCGTGGCTAGTACAGCGCACCGGTGTGTTGGAGAGCCAAGCCACAACATTTACGATCCGAGTACGACGTTTCGCCAGGAATTACAACTAGCATGATCAGGCGACCGCCAGATTTGTGGAGAGATCCTCCTGTTTCGTTCCTGAAATAGAGGGACAGATGTGATGACGTCACTTGGGAATTTCGCTTTCACCGAATTCACGCATCATCATCACAGATTTACCGCCCATCGCTTCTTCTCATCCACTTCATTCACCTCAGCTCCACCATTACATTCATGTGTACCACTGTTCATTCTGTGCAAAGTGCCTTGGATATGGCGCTATATACATTATTTTAGGATAAGAAAAGATGAACCTGGTGGCCCAACATCAGCGGCGAGCAATGCAGCAGAACCCCTCCTAACGACGGTGGTTGGTTCCACGAAACCAGTCGCTAAGTGATTTTGTCGTTCAGCGATTGTAAGAGATACATGTTGAAAGCTTAATTCGTTCCGATAGCATCCAAAGTTACCCCTTTAAACCCAAAAAGGTGTATTGATACAATAAGATACTAACAGTATGAACACATTATATTAAAATAAATATGGTCAATCAATGCATTCATTAATATTTACTGTACCTACAACAACCCGTCGTTAACAGGGGCATGGTCGGTAAGCGAACACATTGGGCTCTGTGGAGGCACTACACTATACACTACACTACTATACACTACACTATACACTATACACTACACTACTATACATTACTATACACTACGCTACTATACACTACACTGTACACTACACTGTACACTACACTGTGCACTACACTACTATACACTACACTGTACACTACACTGTACACTACACTATACACTACATTACTATACACTACACTGTACACTGCACTGTACACTACACTGTACACTACACTGTGCATTACACTATACACTACACTACTATACACTACACTGTACACTAAACTGTACACTACACTGTACACTACACTGTGCACTACACTATACACTACACTACGATATACTACACTGTACACTACACCACTATACACTACGATACACCACTATACACTACATTACTATACACTACACTATACACTACACTACGATACACCACTATACACTACACTACTATACACTACACTATACACCACTATACACTACACTACTATACACTACGCTACTATACACTACACTACGATACACCACTATACACTACGCTACTATACACTACACTATACACTACACTACGATACACCACTATACACTAAGCTACTATACACTACACTACTATACACTACACTACTACACGCTACTACACAACTACTATACGCTACTATACACTACACTATACACTACGCTACGATACACCACTATACACTACACTACTATACACTACGCTACTATACACTACACTATACACTACACATTGGGCTAAATGGAGGCCCATCGTTAAGCGATGAGTCGTTAACAGGTGGGGTTCTCCTGTATCCGGACCAGTCCTCAGCCTTCCCTACCCATTCGCTAACTCGCACTGACCAGCATAGTGAAGTATGGTCAAACACCCCCCTCCCCCCACAATTGCCACGGAATGGAGGTGCCTTCGTCCAGCAGTGAATAAGCCACGGTAGTTTTGGGTTTTTTTTCAATCTGTGTACTTGTATAATTTGGGGCGTGCTAGTGTAAGGGGTTTATTTGTGGAAGATAACTTACCGCTGCGCTCACTTATTACGGATACAAGTGGGAAAATATCCACGTGCTCCAAATTGACCAGAGTGGATGAGTAACTGTGAGGCTCTTTGCCCGCATTGGCGTAGTTGCTGCGAGTAGGGTTGATATTTATTTTTCGGCTTCTAACTGTTGTGTCCCCCCTGATGACGGGCGCTTGTGTTGCGCCCGAAACGTCGTTATTTTATTTAGTTGTTTTCATTTTTGTTTTATTTTATCTTATTTTTACCTACGTGACTTTTCCGAAAGAACCAAAGAATATGGATCCTTGCAGTCACGAAAACTTCAAATCTAGAATTGATATTTATTCCTGCAAATTGAAGCCAAAACCTCTCACTCACCAGGAGGTTTCAATAGCGCCCAGGTTTTACACAAATGGTCTTGGCGCCTCTGGATTTGAATACACCATGACCATGGCCTCGTTTGTAAATGGTCATTTTAACATTGGTTGGTGAATTACACAGCCCAGGACTCGTCATTTTATGAAGTCAAGGTTCACGTTTGACATCTCTGTGCCCAGAAATGGATTTTTCATCTGTAAAACCTCACTGCATATGGTGCACGCCTGTTAGTTATCGAGGGCACATTTGTGTTTGATTAAAAAAAATATGCTTGTTATGCATTACAAATTACTAAATTAAAAGCATATTTCTTATTACAGCTGTAAACCGAACTTCTCTCAAAATAGAATCTTCGCACACAAGCATGGAGCCGCGCTTTGTGAAGAGTGACTAATTTATTTCAGACACATTTTAAAAAGAAACACCCACTTCTGTGGATTTTAATTTTTTACAAAGCGAGACATTTTAAACGACCGCCTATTTTTCCCTTTAAGAATGAAATCCGCCTCTGGGTGACTAAAAAGATGCCAGGTTAAGCGGATGTAATAGTTACCAGCACATTGTAAACGCCTCCCAATTACCACATCAAACACAAGGTGCTTGGTGCTCCGGGGTGACGGATGTACAAGCACTGTGAGGTTTCTTACATTTTCCATTGCGAGCTACCAAGCAGACACGTCCTGGTTTTGTTATTTACAGCCACGTGTGCCGCTGTGTTGCCAGGTCAGGCATCAATGCCTGCCACCCCCCGCCCTTAATTACAAGCTATTGTACGCAGACGTATCTCCTGCATACCTCCTGCGTCGGGGTCATTTGTTTGAAGTAGGGCTACAACTTCGGGTTGCCACCACTCAAATGTAAAAAAAAAGGAAAAGTCCCCACGACATATCGTGGGAAGAGGAAAAATCTCGCAATGTTGGAAGAGGGGAGAACTGCATGTAAAGCCCTTGCTCCCGACTGTTGCATTATTACACGACCGGTACTTTATCATGTCCCGGCATGGATACCTTTAAGCAACAGGACGTCCTGGGTAAACCAGGACAGGTAAAAACCCTGCTCTGCAAATGCACCTTTCCCCGTTGTGAAATCAACAACTCCGTCTGACTCGGGACACATTTAATTTTCGATTACATTACGCGTAGTTTTCGTGTCACTTAAGAAGCGGAATCAGAATCTTTATTTATACGGGAGTTAAACTTGCACGGGGCGTGTTCGTTTGAGTGTGTGTTTTCATTTGCTGCGCCGCTGTTGCGTGATAAACAATATTGAAACGACGAATTTGGTGTTCCATCGTTACGCGCCCACATTTTCTTAAGCGAAGCGGTGGAGGACGGGTTGAACCAGCGGTTCTTAACCTGGGGTGCATGCATTCCCTGGGTGCGCGAGACGCCCTTTCTGGGGGTGCAAGACGTGGACAGATTTATTTCGAAGTTAAATAATCGAAAACGCAAATTAAGCGCGGGCACGTAACTACGACTACGGTGTTTCATCAAACCCTCTATGCATTTATTAACGGTGTACATTTATTTTTTTCTTTACGATTGAGAACCAAAGGGGTGCAAGTCTGCAGCAAAGGTTAAGAACCACTGGGTTTAAACGCACGACGCATTGCTCACTCTACAGTCAGCCGCCCCCGTGTGGATCATTGTCCAGCCATGAGCGACCACCCTTCGAAACGGCCACCCTGCTGCACCGGTAATTGATTCACAGCGGTGTGTGGAGCGAACCGCGCGCGCTCCCGGCGTTTGGCGAGGGCGGTGGGTCGACGTGGCCCCGCGTTTGGTTTGGTTTGGTTTTGGGGGTTTTTTTTTTGTTAGGCTCGATTCTCCGCCTCCTTGGGGTTTATTTTTTTTATTTTTTGTACAGTCGCACCGCAACACAGCTGCGCAAAGCAGGTGGAGATAATTGGAACACGGGCGCTGGCGCTTAATTGCGCAGCATCCACTTTGAGTTCCAATTAACCTGCACCACCTGCAAGAGTCGCGTGTGTGTCGAGCGCGCGCGCGCGCACACGCACACGAGCGAATGCACAAACCCGCGAAGTGGAATCTGCCCTCCACCACCAGACACGGCTACGGAGTTTTCCTGCACTATAATTATGCTAAAATTTGCACAAACGCTGGCTATTGATTCAGTACTGAGCCTACTATTTGTGCCCAGGTCTATATCCTCTCTTTAAAGGTTGTATAATTAAGAATTAGCACTGTCTGATGGGCCGTCCTATTGGGATTGGATTTTATTAAAAAGGCATCTTAATGGAGCTGTAGAGTCTCCTTAAACACATAAATCCTTATAAACTTGCAACACAGTACACACACATCCAAGGAAATAAATCCTTGAAGTGTGACACGGTATTCCAGAAGGTTTCAAACGTTGTAAAAGATGAAGGATTAACTATGAAGCTGTCTCCCCAGTTGTACTCAATCATTTATTAGATGCTTTTTGTGAATGGGTTTTCTTGATTGGGTTTCCAAAGCCACCGTGACGTTGCTTTCCCCAATGCTGCATTGTTTTCACCTTGAACACGTCTTTGCTCAGCACTGCCTTTGCCCATTCACAGAAACAGCGAAGGCATCAAGAGCGAATAATATTCCAACACTTGCCATTCTATTTCCACAGCAAGCGGACATCCATAACGCTGATTTCTTTAATCCTGGCACTGAGTGCCTATGTCACGATCGCCCGACGCATTTGCTCAGATTGTCATGGAATGTTTCAGGGACAGGTCTTGTTGGTACGTATTGATGCTGAAGTTGCGCCACTGAGTGTATTTTGTTTGTTTTGGTTTTCTCTTGTCGATTTGTTGCACACAGGGACCTCAGCGAAAACCTGATCCAGGCCATCCCCAGGAAGGCGTTCCGTGGTGTGACGGACATCAAAAATCTGTGAGCAATTAAGTTTATTTAGCAGCGTTCAATTTCATAAAAAAACACCTGTTTTTTGTTATGTAAGGCAGATGTCGTGTGACTTGTGTGTACAAGGAAAATGTGTATACGCATGTTTTACAGCTATTTTATTTTAAAAATCTCATTGGGTGATTCATCATGAGGATGATACGAATTTAGTGCAGTGCCCTCAGTGACGAATAACCAGCCAAGGAAGCATGGCTTTGTTACAGTTGTTTTTTTTTACCTGATAGAGCTGCCCAATACCTGTTTTTTCCCCCTATATAAAAAAAAAACTTGGTCACGTAAGTTAACAACAACTCCAGTGGTCACTCACACCGCTGTGTTTTGTTAGCCCTGACCTTAGTTTAACAGCGACTCCGTGTGTCATCGCCAAAAATCACATCACGTTTCGTTACAACTGTCGCGTCATACGGTTTGGGTGTTCCCCCTCCAGATATCAACACCTACTTTGCTGCAATAACAAAACAGAAGCCGATGTTGGGAAGGGGGGTGGGGGGAAATATCCCTGGCCCATTGCCAGATTTTACAAAGCGGCCACAACAACCACCACCACCACCACCGCCGCGCACAATTACACAGTACGCAATATCAGCGAGTACGGCATCCAAACACCGTTTTAAGACGCACCCTAAATTTTCTCGCTGGCATCACATTGTGGGGGGAGGGGGGGCAATGAGGGCGTGGACACGCTGGCTGAGCATGTGCCCACCTTTGTCCCTCCTTGCCCCGACCCTGCCCCGACCCGTGCCTTGTGCGCAACGGCACGGCGTGGGGCGACCTTCTGACGGGTCCATCGGAGGGTTGTTTGGGCTAAAAAAATGTAAATGCCGCCCGCTTGTCTGCTGTCAAGCTCCTCGACTCGTCCTTGGTCTGTCCGAGAGGGGGTTTTGTTTTGCTTTGCTCCCCCCACCCCCCTCACTGCGCGACGACTTATTTATTTATATGTGTGTGGCTCTGCATTGGAGAAGGTCCCTGCATGCATAATGTATTTTTTCCCCCATCCACTTGGACCGCGGTGCTGTGCTCCCCACACGCTCCCCAATGCAGAATATTTGTTTCCTAACAAAAGGGAGAAAGTAAAAAAAATGAAGGCACTCGTTACGCCGGTATTGCGCGGTTATACTACGCACCTGCACTTCACTTACCCGCTTCTGCTGGACGTGATAAAGAGCTTGATAGCTCATCGGATTCCTCCAGTATGAATACATATTCTGATTATACTGCACGCACAGGTGCATCAGAGCAGGTGCACCTTATTTACAAGTAAGTTAACAACGGTCATTTAAAGCCTGTTCAACTGCTGGATGAAGGCTTTCCCCACACTGTGTCAGTCATCGGTGGGGGGGGGGGGAACACTCGCCACTGATGTCAGCCGTGGCCAGGAACTAAACTCTAGTATCACTTGGTTCACAGTGCGAGTGTCGAACCACCTTACAACAGCTTCCACCCCACAATTAGCGTGCCATATGTATTGTTTATAACTTGCACCATTTTTGGCCATGGTGCATTCGGCCTTGTTAATATAATTGAGAGGATGATGATAATGATGTAAAATTTCTGGCTGACAGATGCAAGCCAGTGCTCACTCGAGGGGTAGAATAATGTTCCATTAATAGATTAGAGTTCCGTACTTAATAAGACGTAAACTAATCAATCGAGAGAAATCGCGGCTGCTTGGCATCTTTCAGGTTGGCACTTGGCCTGGCGAATGCATTGACAAAAGTTTTGGGCTTGAATTTTTTCACGGCCGTAGTTTTTAACTCTTGGAAGCGTGGATTATCAATCGCTGGAAGCACTTGCCGTGAATCTCGCTAAAACTTTGTTTCCGTGACAATGCACACATTACAGCATGACGGCTTTTCATACATTTTTTTTGGCACAAATTCATCAACGATAGACGGACGTAGCTTTTATCTATGGTGACGTTACAGGATGCAGTCTGAAGCTCTATCGTTATTAAGGCAAACACGACGCTTGTGCATACTTGTAAAGCACACGCATGTAAAGCGTGTGTGACAGCGAGAGAGAGAGAGAGAGAACGCGAGAAAGATCCTCGCCTCTTTTTTCAGACGGCATTTTAGGAAAAATACGCACATTGTTTAAATATAATACAATTTATAGGGTACGCCAGGTGAACTGTGTGCATGTTTGCCTTCGTGATAAAGCTGTGAAAGAATTGTTATGAATCGGGGGATGAATGGACGGCCGAGTGATTGAAAGCTGCAGGTGAGGTGGAGCTCATTTTTCCCACGCAACACAAAAGAAAAAACTACAATAAAAAATGGACAGAGGGAAAAGGAGAGGGAGAGAACGGAAGAAGAGGAAGGGAATGCTAGAAATAAGTCATCTGTCTTTGGGCCACCCAGCCCTGGTGCTGTCACCCTTTCTGGTCCCACCCGCACGCCCGGGCGTTTCCGACAAGAGGAATTGCCGAGACCGTAGGGGCGTCCAACTCTGTGACATGTTCCAATGAGCCCGTATACACGCGAACCTTGCTGTGCATGCATCGATAAGTAATGCGAACGAAGCCGTCTAGATTTTTTCCCCCCCCAGGGCCACACGATGGGTGGAACAATGCAGTGTCAGGATTCGGTTGAGGATTTTTTTTTTACATGTATATGTATATTGGGCTGAATGGAAGCGGCCTCTAGTGGCAACTTGAGAGATTTTGAAGGGCGTCTGAGAGCAAAGTGACACCGTGATAATTAGAGACGTGGCTGCCTTTCCTGATCTAAAGCATTGTAAACGCAAAAACAACTAATTAAAAGTGGCACATGTATTTTGTATGAGTTAATTTTGTGTAACTATCTAGTCTGCTCGTGTCGAAATTGGTAATTTTGTTTAAATACATTTATTTAGGTTTCCTTGGTCAATGTGAAGCTTGTGCATTTGCTAATTGATAAACCTTTCCCTTCTACGTGACTTTACCGAAAGAACCAAGAATATGAATCCCTGCAGTCACGAAAGCTTTAAATCAAAACTTTGCATTTAAGTTACGTTTTAAATGCTACGTGCTTACACTACCAAAATAAGACTCCTTTTTTAGATCCTTACTTTCGCTCCACTAAAAAAAATACATTGATCGACAGGATCACGTGTTTTTGCACAATCCACCGCTACGAGATGTCATCCACTTGGCATGGCAACTTTGCGCATACTCCTACCCAAACTTGCAGAGCCTATTCCCGATTAAAATTCAATTCGGCCTACCTTGGGCAAAATATAATAAGTGGCGGATGGGCCCCGGGAAAGAGGGGAAAGAGAGTAAAGGCTGGAGCAGCAACCCACTGATTTATGGCCCCCATTCTCTTAATGAAATTGTTGCCTTGGACATGACAGCAAAAAAGCCCCATAATGGATAAGCGACTTTACTTAATGAAATTACTAAGTCACGAGCCAAAAAAAAAAGGAGAAAGAAGAAGGAGGGGGAGTATGGGTGGAAGGGCTCGTGGGTCTGGGCTACTGGCACTTAGGAACGTGGGGGGGGGGGGGGGAGGAGGCAGCAACGGTGCCAGCATGAATATTTACTGCGTTAGCGCGATTCATTTTTTTAATGCTCGCCTGCACCGGGGACGGCGCTCGTATCGTCCGTGCCTCCCGTTAGAAAAGGAGCGCCCTCGAGTCGCCTCGCCCCCACTCTCGTTTCTCGCGTCAAGAGAGAGAGAGAGCCCAGCGCAGGCAGCGGGGATTGCCGCGCCAGCGTTAGCGGCGGCGACAGCGGCGGGACACGACTCGGTCACCGGATTCGGCCGAGAGGGCTTCGTTTCCGACGGCGAGCGAATCTCGCTCTGAGCCTTCTGCCCTGCGGAGGCTGTCCGCCTGATTGTCTCCCGTGAAGCTGTGCGCTTGTCTCTCTGTCCCTCCTCTGTCGCTGTCTTCTAGGCAACTTGACAACAATCGCATCTCGTGCATCGAGGATGGGGCCTTCCGTGCTCTGCGGGACCTGGAAGTCTTGTGAGTTGACACTTTTTTGAATGTCCTGCACGCATTTACCGGTGTTTGTCACAATATATATGAGGCTATCCACATATACAAACACAGAGACAATTTCAACCGAGAAGATGGATTTTGGCTTAGCAATCATTGGAAAGATTTGATAAACCATTTCGGGTCTTAATTGATTGTTCACGCTTACGGTGGCTTTCAGACCACATCCATTATTTTCGTCTCCCCCCTCCTCTTTTCCAAACATAGATGGACTCGTCCATGTGAATAACTGCCAAATCGCTCTCCGTGGTGCTAACATTAAAAAAACGCCACTTTTTTCAAATTTTCTTGCTGTGGTTTTCACACCTGATGGTGATTGCTTGTGATGCAGTCGAAACGTCGTGATAATTTTATTGTTTTATATTTTTATGATTTTATTGTTTCCCTTCTACGTGACTTTACCGAAAGAACCAAGAATATTATATATTGGAGCTTTGCTGGAGTGGCTGTAAAGTGCTCATTAGTCTGAGCGAATGTTTTCGTTATGATGTTTTTTTTATTTATTTCCCATATCCGCATTTGTGTTTTCCATTAATTTCCATTGCTTGTTACGGATAAAGAAAATGCCATTCCAATTACAGAGTGTGCAAACAGTAGGCTTTGAAACATCCGCGCAATTCGAACGGTTACTTTAGGAGAGAAGATGAGTGCGATTTAGCATTTTGTGACAGAGTATGCGTATATATACATTTTTTTACAGCGAGCTTTCTCTCTACGTGATGAACGATCGGAATAATATGGAGACAATCCACACCTGATTCCGAGTGCTGAGTCTTCAGAGTGGCAAAAGATCAGATGCCCTCTGTAATAGCTTTGACACACAGTGCTTGGGGTTAAGCCACACTTATATTAATGCGCAGCCCAATCAATTTCACAGGGAGGGATAACCTTTTCAGACGACAGTGCCTCCCAGGAGATGAATACAGCCATACCTTAATTTAATGCATCACTCTTCCTACGCTGTTTGTTGGTGGATTGTAAACAGTTGAGGTGTGCCCGTACATTATTTAGCTCGTTTCATTGCGCACAATTTAAAACAATGTAGAAAGAAACGGGCGACCGCGTTTGAGGTCTGAGGTGGGTAACTTATCATTCTGAAACTACCAGACGCCGTAATTTATTCTTCCGTGTTTTCTTACAACAAATGTGCGCTGAATCTACCATGGCCAGAGTAGAAACTTGGCATTGCCCGCGTGTGCTTCAAGAGAAAATGGTTATTTAAATGTGTTTTTTTTAATATATGAGTGGGCCTAACCATACGTTCATTTTTCATTCTCGTTTCAGCACGCTTAATAACAATAACATTACTTCATTGTCGGTGGCGAGCTTCAACCACATGCCCAAGCTAAGGACGTTGTAAGTTACCGTGACACGCTGCCCTTTTTCAAAACGAAATTCGTCGCAGCAAGAGGTGCATTAACAAATTAGACATCATCACGTCACGTCTCCCGACGTTCGCGGCTAAATGATAGTCGCAATAAAGAAGAAGGCTTTGCTGGGGAGCCCTGTCACACGACGAGAGAGCCGATGCGAGAACGCTATTCACTGCATGCTAAGTGGCTCTACCCGGTAAAGGGGGGGGGGGGGTGCTTATGAATTGACATGATGATATGTTGTGGGATGCTTGACTCTCCTATGATGAATGTTTCACTGACAAATTAGATAGGCCAGCTTTCTAATTTCCTTAAGAGCCTCCGCCTCCCCACCCATGCTTGACGTGGTAATTTAATACGTTTTACAGAGCATTGGCAGCAGGGGGAAATACGCCCCCCGCCCCCTACTCGCCTCCCCTTTCCAACTCCCCCCTTTGCCCTGGTCGTAGCCGCCACGGAGAACCCTAAACTCCACGCCCACCGCAGTGGGGGGGGGGGGGGGAACTGAAAATCTCGTCCACTCCCTCCCACTTGGCAACGGTCTGTCCGATGCGTGCGGTCTCCTCGTCATTAACAATCACACACACACACACACCGATATGTCCGCCGACTCATTCGTACATCACCAGCTGTCGCGCGCGCCTGCCATGGACAGAAGAGCGGCAGCCCCCGGCAGCGGCAGCAGCGGCGGCATGCAAATTGCGCAATAACGGGGGACCCGGTCGCCAAATCCGGGCCGCCTCTCACGTCCCTAATTTGCCTCGGTTTTTTTTTTTGTTACTGCACTTCCACGGATGTCACGCCACGACTGGGTGATCAGTGATCACAAAAGCGTATTAATTACGCAAACGATTTTCACAAGGGCCCGGAGAGAGGCGGGGCTAAATTGGGTACACGGCCAATTGTTGCGAACGCTGCGTGAGCTCGAACACAACGGCAGCAATGATAAGAATAACCCCACACTAATTAGTTATTCATCATTGGTCATCCTACAGCAACGACTTAGGAACGTGGAATTTCCACCACTGACCCAGGGGCTGTAAGGCACTGCCTCAAAGCTCACTTGGACAGGAAATGACTTTGACTTTTGAATTATTGTTTCACATTTTTTTTATCCCGCTCACGATATTCTTTCTAATCCTGTTGTGCGAATGTCTGCTCCTCTTTCCCGCGAACGCACGCACGCACGCGCGCGCGCTGGTGCCCACATTACACACGCACGCACGCGACGCGCCGTCCCCGCCCGTCCGCCTTACGCGCGCACGTAGCCGACTGCACTCCAACAGCCTCCAGTGCGACTGCCACCTGGCCTGGCTGTCCGACTGGCTCAGGCAGCGCCCGAGGATCGGCCTCTTCACTCAGTGCGCCAGCCCCGCCAACCTCCGGGGCCTCAACGTGGCGGAGGTTCAGCGCAAGGAGTTTGTGTGCTCGGGTGAGAACCACCGGCCGGAAATCGCTCCGGCGTCTTTGTCGCTCGCGCGCGTGCGAATCCTCGGCTCCTCGAGATTCGGCGGAAGTGCCGGAAGGCTCTTAGTAGACGACAAACCTACGGCAACAGAACAATACAGAGTGCACAGACCGCATGACAGCAAGTAGGCAAGATAATTGGAAATTCCTATAGAAAGAGATATATATTTTTTTTTTGCTACAAGTCGCTGTTGTAGGCAAATAGGGAATGTGACATTGACCGCGTGCTCTAGTTTTCTAGGCACCACGCTCGCGTTATCACGCAACAGAACACTTGTCACTTAAAACGTTGCATGCATGCTAGAATCGTGAAGGTGACTCAGCGTGCTAATGGTGGGGAATTCGTGTGTGTGTGTGTGTCCCTGATGTGTTTGAACTCAAGCGTCCTGCATGATGACAACCAGTATTGACAGTATTTTACCACGAGTTTTTACACAACCGAAAGTCGCATAGAGGAGATGACCGTTCGTTGCATGTTGAATCAGTGAATGCTAAACGCGTCTGTGACCTCAGTCTAGCAGGCTGAAGCTCTATAACAACAATATTCGGAGCCAAATTTACAATCGTTTTAACACATATTATTTGCTAGAATTGTTTTGTTTTAAAAAGGTATGTAATTATCCCAATTGCTATCATGATGTATCCACTGCTAGCCATGGCCTTTCCACTGCTGGATGCAGACCTCCCCATGCCAATGCAATCCCTGCTGCCCCTTACGATGCAGAAATCCGCCAAGCTCCTTTTAAACGAGACGATATCACTGCTGCATCCTCGCAGTGGACACACTCTTGCCCATATTCCCTCCTTTAGCTGTGACTCCATCACTAGTCTCAACCACTGACCATCCCCTCTTGCAGTGTTGTCCTGCCCCAAACCCACATATCTTATCGGTCAACGTGATGTTTCTAGCTTGCGTTAGTCCTCCGTCCCATGCAGTCCTCCTTCCGTTTCTCAGTTTAATTCTAAGCACGCAACCTCTCTGCGATTATTTGTGCGCTGTTCAGCTTATGTTGCATTTTCTTTGCCGGTGCCCTTGTTTGCGAATCTGTTTTTTGACATCAGCAGCTAGTACGCGCTGATTAAAAACCTTCCATGATCAAATTATGTTATCCAAAAGAGCTCTAACCTGTTTTCACCCAGCTCCTTAAATCCATCAATTTAAATTTAATTCGTTGTCTGTAGAGAGATGAAAACACAATGAGGTATATGCACAAGCATATACTGAACTAGCGCACTGTCCAGCGGTGTAGCTATGGAGTGTGCAGGCGGTGCAACTGCTCCAGAGCCCACAGGCTACGCAGAGTGGGGGGTGGGTGGGGGGGGGTGTAAATTGGACTGGGGTGGGGGGGAGCAGCTAATGCCTTGCACCTTGGCCCGTGCCAACCACACGACGCCATTGGCACTGTCAGTCATTAGCCTGAGGTCACAGCCAATCTAAAGCTGTTAAACCAAAGTACGCGCACGTGTGCGTGCGCGCGCGTGCGCTCGCGCGCGCGTGCGGGTTTAATTTACGAATGCATAATTTATAACGTTTTGATTTATTGTCCGGTGTGTTTGCTCTGCATTGGTTGGGCCTGATGCATTTCTCACGATTAAACGAATCTATTCTCCAGACGATGACGAAGGCAAGTTTTACCTTTCGTTTGATGCACGATTACGCAACATAACCACCACCTCGTCGTCGTCGTCGCTTCTGGTCCTCCTTACTCTCACAGATAGTTACCACTCATTCGAGTAACCGCTGCTCACCGCTAGCAATCTGTTGTAAATAGTTCATTCGTAAATTGTCTATTAACTTGTTCATTAACATCAATTAACCCATTTTCCATAAGGTAATGCACTGATGATCAATTAAACCTCTTTCGCTTTCGTTGTGTGTACACTTGCTGCATTTGAAAGTGGGTTTTTTTCCGCACGTTGTTGTTTTACATTTTTATATATAAAGAAACCCGAGTGAATGTTACTCTTTAGAAGGGATATAGCAATTTTATTGAGCCCTCTGGAGCTCATTTGGATGCCCGGTTCAACTTGACAGGGCCTATTAAGCCATTGTGAGGAATTACGCTGACAAACCTGGCAGTGTCACACAGCTGACGATCGATAGGCCATTGTAAGATCTTTGTATGCGCACGTCAGCGGACTGATTCATTGGTAGCCTTTGTTTAAGAGGACAGAGAGACTCGTGAAAATGCGTCACAGCACCCAAAATTAATATTTCTCAGTGTTGGAGAACTGAGTCGTTGTGATCGTGCAGCCCACTCATGGTGGGTGGTTTAATTTTGATTTGGGCAGCCTGGTCTAAGAGGAAATTAAAGCAGACAACATCTCCAAAGGACCATGCGCTCATGAGTAACGATGCCAAATCATCACGGGCAGATCTGTGTGTGCCGTGAATGTTTGTACGTGCCGTGAATTAACGGCACACAAAAAAGAAAAGCCATATTATCGTAGCATAATAATAATAGTCACAACTTACAGCTGGTTTAAAATCCACTGCTGGATGAAGGCCTCCCCACGCTCGGTCGGTCAAGGGGGGTTGTTTGCCCATACTTCATCATGCTGGTCTGTCTGTTTGGGGTAAGGAAAAGGGATCGGGGGGGGGGGAATTGTTGAAGGATAATTTTGTGCATGTTCTGCAGGGCTCGATTAATAAACCAAACTCATTTGTGCTGGCCGTTGCCCAGCCCGGGATGGGGGGGGGGCGAGGCGTTTGTATTGCGCGGCAAACGATCGGGCCAAGTGACGATGTTCAATTCAATTCTCAATATTTCAATTCTGGCAAATCGCCCGATGAGGCTGGTTGTAATCGCCAGCGAAAGCGTGGTACTCAAATTGTAAATGATGCGGGTTTACTCTCCAGCACACCGGTGTGCTGAAGTAGTAACAAATTAGCACGTTTTGTTCACGAGACAAACCTTATGAATTGGCTGTGTCAGGTGGTGGTGTGTTAAACGACACATTTATATTTAAGCGATTTAACCCAACAACAATAACGTTCATTATGGGTGGTGCCTTGTCGGTTGACGGAGCTGCCAGAATACGATGTGCAAGTCCTGCCTCTTCCAAAGCCCTGCTTGGCACGAGCCATGGTTTTTGATTTATTTTTTCTTCTGGCCGTGGTGCAATAATGTACGGCTACTTTTCATCACCTCATAAATAGGCTCAAGTGCTCTCCCACAGGAGCAGCAGCAGCAGCGGTTACCGTTTGCAGGCCCCTGAACATCACGAGGAATTGGTAACTCGTACACCAAGTGTTGTTACGGGCCAGAAAATAAGTCAATTCACACCTTTTGAGTTCACCGGGGGAAATTTTACGGGATAACTCCTAAACTGACTTCGAAGTGCTGAAATAAATTCAGCTCGTTTTTCAGCGGGTGGGCATTTTTAATATGTATTTATATTGTATCTTGCATATTTGAACAGACAACTTACAGATGTTGTTTTCATTGGCTCGTGCCGGTCGGCTCTCGTTCTAATGGAGAACGTTTTGTGGTTGGTGGTTGTGGTGGTGGTTGTGGTGGTGGTGGTGGTGGTTTGTGGTGGTGGCTGTGGTGGTGGTTGTGGTGATTGTGGTGGTGGTTGTGGTGGTGGTTGTGGTGGTTGCGGTGGTGGTTGTTGTGCTTATGACGGTTATTGTGGTGGTTGTGGTGGTTATGACGGTTATTGTTGTGGTGGTGGTGGTGGTGGTGGTTGTGTTGGCGGTGGTGGCATGGTGGTGGTTGTGGTGGTGGTGGTTGTGGTGGTTGTGGTGGTGGCTGTGGTTGCGGTGGCACAGGTCACTCGGACGTGTCCAGGACGCAGACGTGCAGCGTGGCCTCCAGCTCGTGCCCCCTGCCCTGCACGTGCGCCAACAACATTGTGGACTGCCGCGGGAAGGGCCTCACGGCCGTGCCTTCCAACCTGCCTGAGGCCATCACCGAGATGTGAGCTCCGTGCACACGTCCTGCACCTCCCATTGGCACGGTTGGCTACGTACGGTGCGAAAGAAGTTCAACATGCGTACATGCACCTGAGCGAGGCAGAGTGCGCGCGGGCGCAGCAAAGCATTCGCTGCACCAAGCCCTTGCTCAATTCTCAAAGCCGTGCATTAACGATAGAACATTATTTCATTAATTACCTACCCGGGAAAGCCCTGCTGAGTCCAGGACTCGTTTTTTATTTGTTCAGGAGGTTCTTCAATCGAGTTTTTTTTTTTTAGATTTGGTCAGCCAATGTAAAGGGTATTTATTATACAAGTGGGTAGGAAACCAGGGTTCCCAGAGGAAACTCGCACGCGTGAGAAGGGGGCAACTCTCTGTCTTGCGCACAGATGGAAACAGATGCAGATTAGTCCACACTTTCGTTGTGCAGTTCTACCTTCTCCTGGCGAGCCAGGGTACGGCTCCTCCTCGACGCCCACGAGAAGGGAGTTTCACAGCAATTGTGCAGCAATTTAGCAACCCTCGCTGCTTCCAACAGTGCTGGATTACAAGCATTTCGTCTAGCAGTTGATTCATACAAGGGGCTGGAAATAATGTTTACTTGTAGTATCTGTTTGAACACCCACACCTCCGATCAGTGACACCTCCGATTAGCACGGTTGGCTACCTACGGTGCGAAAGGAGTTCGGCATAGACACGCACATGCGCAGGTGAGAGTCGTTTAACCATTGTGTCACCACTCGACCCCATTGCCCATTGCATCATGGGCTTTGTGTCTCACGTCTGCTTGTGTGATGGACATGGTTGGGCAGAGTCATTATCCTGTACTCGCTGTGTCGAGCGTAGCCCTTTGATGTTGTTCACCGAGATTAGGGTATTGTGTGCGGGTACCATTGTAGGAATGAAAACTTCCTTGTTGAAACAAGTGTAATTTACAGGGAAATTCCATGCGTAAGTTGTAATTAATTTACGGAAGAAATAAGTAAATAGGTCATCATTATATGAACTTCAATAAAACAAAATTCGAGATATCATCAACACTTTGGCAAAGATATAAATCAGTTTGCAGTACTCAATTTTGCTGTCGCTAATATCCATCTCCCGACTAACGGGAGATGGATATCGACGACAGTTGACCTGAACAAATGTGAATGAAAGTTAATCACGAATAACTTCAGCACTTCCGATGTACATTTTGTCCGTGAATACACAGAGTAATGCAGGTCTCCTTTTACAAGCGGTAACACCACATGTTAAAACACGGAGGTATTTCCAGCTCTGGGAGTACATGCAAGGGAATGTCACCGAGGTTTGAAAGCATACCAGCTGCTATTTGTGAATTCCTTAATCGCGTGGAAAATGGCATATTCATTTTATGAAGTGGGTGCCAAATGTCGTCGACTAAGTCGTCTTCACCCCGATTGTAAGCGGCAAGGTAGAGAGCCGATCCCAAACACAGCGGTGCACGCATTCCGCCTCACTCATCGTCTGCGTGTACACGAAACGAGGCATGCTTGTCACATCGGCCACGTCGTCATCATCATCCATCACCGTCAGCCATCGTCGGCCACTGCCGGATGAAGGCTTCCCCAAGCCACGACCGTCGTTTGCGATCCTGAGAAATCATATTCAACGCAGCACCAACGCGCGAGATCATTCATCGTTCCATCTCCTCCGTGGATGTCCACACGGACGCGTTCCACTCCTTGGCTGCCACATCTTCATTAGTCTCGACCATGGGCCATCGTTCCTTCCGGCGATGTGCCGCATCGTCAGTCGGTTCATTGCACTGGTTTGAATTTTATTATGAGCAGCGCCGAAGGGATTGTTCAATTGGCCGCAACGGTTGGAGTGGTTGCACAGTGGTTATCATGCCGCGCAGTGAACCCGGCAACCCGAGTTCGAATCCCGGCCACGGTTAACATCGGTTGCGAGTGATGTCACAACTGGGCCTGCCCTCCTGCTCCGCCGCCCCCACTTCACCAACTTGCACTGACCAATGCAGTGAAGTATGGTAAGAACAAAACACCAACATGGTGTGGTGGATTCGTGGATTAATTTGCAGATTGAGACCGCCTGGATTTTATGTTGCACACATTTTCATTGGCCAGACTGCAGCAGTTTGTAACTCGTCGATGGAAGCTTTCTCTCGATGGTTCGTTGGCTCCTCTTGCGACACGAATCGCGATGTCGAGGCAGGCAAGAGACGTGCAGGCCTGACGCTACTCTGCCGGAAGCGCCGAAATAAATCTTGAGAACACATTTCCCGGCCTTCGAAATCCGCGGAGGCTTCTGCTTAGTGTTACTCGCTGTATTTGGACCCATTTCTGTTTAATTTGCTTCGAGGGATCTCTTTGACTAAAAGCGAGCGCCTGCTTGTTTTTTAACAACGGAGACGTTTCTTGGCATTGTACGGCCACCCTGTGTCAGGGGCGCCCCGGGGGCTCTTTTGAAACGGGGGTCAGTTCACGCGGTTCGCACAAACTCCGTGCGTTTGCATGTCACTGTTTTGATAGTGCTAATAGATGCTTCAGCGTAAATATTATTAGTGTGTATAAAAAGTAATCGACCGTCTGTGGCAGCCAGCCACTCGCGCTTCGTTCGAGTGGGCAGGAGGCGGTTTGTGTAAATGTTGATTTAAAAGTGCACGTCCGTGTTTGTTTTTTGTTCCTCTGCCTTTTACAGACGACTGGAACAAAACGGCATTAAGTCCGTTCCCCCCGGTGCTTTCTCATCGTACAAGAAGCTCCGTCGAATGTACGTGGGTTTTTTGGTGATTTTTTTCTGTACGTCTGTGTTTAAAGTTGTTAAAGAGGCTACATGTCTCGGTTTTATATATATATAGGGGCACGCATCACCCTTCTGACTTTTAGATAATACGGGCATGACAGAAGGCTCGCCGCATTTGTCAATAACACTGTCGTTTTGGGCATATATTTAGGTGACGTTTTGGGCATTAGTTCTTCTTCATAGCAGAGAAATGAAGAAGAAGAGAGCCATTGCCCGAAGTATGACATTATTTAGATATTATTTTAGTTTCGGGTATTGTCATTAACCTATAATGTTGAGTTTGTAATTTGTGCCTGTGCACCGCCGCAGAATCACAAACATTCTTAAACACAAATGTCAGCTGTGTTTCTTTATCGTTTAACAAATGAAAACATCCCGCATTCATTTACACGCCGCGATCAAGCGTCCGTTTGGGAAACAAAAGCAGTTTGAGCGACCGAACCGACAAACGAAACATTTTCTCCGAATACATTTCGCAATATATTTTACGTAAGAGCTTCGCTCGGGGCCCAGTCGCGGGCGCCACTGCCCACCCCCCCCCCCTCCCCCTCATCGGTGGTGCTCGCCGGAGTCTCGTGCCGTTTGCTTCATTAAGCAAAGTGCAGGTCACAGGAGCAGTGGAATAGCAAGTTGGCAGCTATTAATTCCTGATTTATTATGTCACGGAATGAATTAATTCTGTGAGATAATGCACTTTACCGCGTTAATGTGTGCGCACACCTGCACACTTAGGTGATAACGGGTTTCATTTATATGGTGATAATTGTGTAACAAAACCTTTGCTCCGAATGGAACATAAGAGGTGTTTGAATATATATTTTTGTAATTCTAAGAATGGTAAATTTGAATAAAATCGCACTTAGATGCACTTGTTATAACTGCCAGTTTTCAAAAACAACAAAAATCTAGAATTGAATGTTCTTATTTAGCATCCGGACAACTTCAAAACATGCCAACACATGCCAACTGTTTGCCCTTGCATCCAGCCCGTGAATGGTTAAATTCTCAGGAACGCAAATTGATTTTCGAATTTAATGTCTCTTTCAAGAGGCATTGGGGCCCAGTGTGGGGCAGGTTTCACACCGTCGTAATGAGCTCCGAAATCTATTACCCATAATTCCTGATGAAACAGGGAGGCAGTGCTCTTACGGATGATTGTACATCATAATCGCATGGGAGCGCAGAGCGAAGAATCTATTTTGTGTTCAAGATCCACCCGCTGCTGCATATATTAATGGTTTTTAAGATGAATTACTTTATTCTAAACCTCTGTAACAAAAAACAAATCTGCTTCGTGGGGAATTGCATTTTTCGGTGATCTTCCCCTCATCCAACGTTTAATTTCGTTTTCATCACCACGTTCCGAAGTGTTTTGATGCAATTAACACGCTTTGCTCTCCTTGTCCCTGTCCAAGTCCTGGCGAAAGACCTTCCTTCTTCGCCTCAGGCTATAGCTGTATCTCCTCCTTAAAGAAATGTTGTCTATACACACCTCCATGATGCACGTTGGCCCACAGATTCTGGAGATGCAGCGGTATTTAGGTGTTGCATAAATCCAAATTGTAAAAATGAAATTGCAAATATTAAAATCTTCCTGTGTGCCAGGTTAAATCACGTATGATTTCAGTAAAGTGCGATGTTCTCCGAGTGTAAAATACTGCATATTGTGTGTGTGTGTGTCCGCGCATGCTGTGTGTGTGTGTGTGCTGTACGTAGAAAATGAGGTTGTGTTCTGTGAAGGCTGACATCACTATTGGTCTTGGCTTGAGGCTGTGCGTAAACGTGGAAGCATTAATGTTTCATTCCTTCTTTCGCGCAGTGATCTGAGCAACAATCAGATTTCCGAGATTGCTCCAGATGCTTTCCAGGGCCTGCGGACCCTCAACTCGCTGTGAGTGAGATCCTGCACGTCTCGTGATTCAATTCCCATCGTGGCCACACACACACAAAAAAACCAGCACGAGAGCACGAATCTGCCTGCGATGTGTTTTGCGTCGCCGTTACGTTCGATGTTTTGTGCGTTCGCAGGGTTTTGTACGGGAATAAAATCACGGAGCTGCCCAAAGGGCTCTTTGATGGCCTCTATTCGCTCCAGCTGCTGTAAGTTTTGGGACTACACCACTTTGTTCGAACCTTACAACTGAGAAAGAGTATTTTTTTATTCCATCTCAATTGGGGCTCGATCGGTTCTATAGGCAAAGGAATGTTATTCACTGTTTTATAGAAGTGGTTTATTTATTAAGTGATACATGCAAGCGTCCTACGAAGTGAAACGGCAGCATTAGAAATGATGGTCACCGCGGTAGTTTACATCTCCGACCTTACGGCTTGTTTTAAGAAATGGCATAGGGCTTAAAATCACGCCGTGATTCCTTTCGACGAGATGCTGCTGCCCGAAATATTCCATGTAAGCGTTTTTATTTGCCGAGATAAATTCGCAGCATCCGCTGAAGGCGTTGTGCGTTTGTAAACACAGCCGGTCGTGTACATTCGTTACATTCAAACCCCCCACACACTGAGAGTGTCTGGTCCAGACTTTGCTCTGCTGTTTTTTTGCTCCTACGGAGGTTAGGGGGGAGGGGTGTCGGGGGAAGGGAGGGAGGCCAAATGGATTGCGCGGCGGGAGTTGAATTCCTGGAAACCAGATTGCAATGTCGACTTATTGGTGGCGACAGTAAAGTAACACAGCTGCCAGACTGGGAGTGCTCGGGGCGTTTTGACGGGCGTAGAGCGGGCGGGCGGGCGGACGGACGGGCGGGCCCGTCCGTGAAGGGGGCTCTGCTCAATTCCTCGCGCGTCCCTGGCCCACCGGCGAGCTAATGCCCCCCAATTAGCGATGACAGCGCACTCCTGCACCAGGGTCTGCTGAGCGTTGTCCCCGGCACAGATCGCCACAGCTTCTGCCCAACGAGCGGTCACTGGGCACAACGTCATTACATAAACATAGCGAAATGAATGCAATACGTGCACGTATCTCTTTTTTTATTTGTTTCCCATGCTTGCGCGTGTCTTTGTTGTCCTTCCCCGTACCTCTGATTATACGCAGTTAGCTACGTATGGTGTGAAAGAAGTTCAACATACATACACGCGTGCGGTGGGGAGCAATGGCTTAGTGTTTAGCGTACTGCGGTAAAAAAAAACAGGCCACCTGGGTTCGATTCCTAATCACGGCTAACCACAGTGCTGAGTAATATCTGAACCTGTCCTGAGCCTCCCCCGGGTCAACTCAGCCTCACAATGAGTGAGTGCCAGGTGCATTGTGCAATAGTCAGCACTGGGAAGACAAAGGCAGCCGGGCATGGTGATAACCGCGCCACCGCCTCGCGCACCGTACCGATCTCAAGAAGGGCTCGCTAACAGCACACGTCCCGACAGCCCCGTGTTAAAGGCTACGATGTCTTTGATTTGACTCATCTTAAACTGAGAGGCAGATGCTGTGGTGATCAATGCTAAAATGAAGGAAATGATGGCCAGGTGCGTGGCTGACTAATCCACGCACGGCATCTGTGACCTGTTCACCTTTAATGAGGGCTGCACGAATTAAAGCACTTGCTGATAATCTTTGTGCATTTGGCCATTTTCATGATAATGTATGATCAGGAGGCGGGGTGGGGGGAGGCGGGGGGGGGGTGTGGTGGGGTGGTGGAGGTGGGAGGGAGGGAGGCGGGGGAGGCGGGGTGGGGGTGGTGGGAGGGAGGCGGGGGATGGAGGTGGGGCAGGGGAGGTGGGGGGGATGCGGGGGGTGTGGTGGGGTGGGGGTGGTGGGAGGGAAGCGGGGGTGGAATTGGGGCAGGGGAGGTGGGAGGGAGGCGGGGGGTGGAGGTGGGGCAGGGGAGGTGGGGGGGAGGTGGGAGGGGGTTAATATTTGCAGGTGAAGCAGGAGTAGGTGGGTATATTTTGCATCTTTTTTTTGGTTCAATGTTTGTCACACTCATTTGTGTTCCCCCAGTGGTAGCCCGCAATTTAAATTAATGACTCCGTCTAATGACATTTACCTCTCGCTACGATTGGTGGTATTTAAACACTAATTGCACAATTAGTGCACGAAGTTGTTGTTGTTGTCTATTGTCATTTGGCGTAGTCGCATGTTCAACTCCGCTGACTCTTTCCTCAATCATCGCCTGCGCTGCTCCGATCCCCTCCCCCCCGGCGCCTCCACCCCCTCCCCTCCTCCCCAGGCTGCTCAACGCCAACAAAATAAACTGCGTCCGAGCGGATGCGTTCCAGGACCTGCAGAACCTCAACCTGCTCTCGCTCTACGACAACAAGATCCAGACGATGGCCAAGGGCACCTTCAGCCCCCTGCGCTCCATCCAGACGCTGTACGGCGGGCACCGCGGACGAGCTCCGGGGGCACTGTGCTCTCCCTGTCGCGTGCTCTCGTGCTGTCGCGTTTCACCCGGTGTGCTCCCTGCGCATCCCTCGCTCGAGGCCGTGTCTGGGATGTCTTCATCCCGCTCGCATGCGCATCGCGGGCTCACTGTGGTGCAGATGCACCATCGTAATCTACGGCCATTCCTCTTTTTAACGTTGGAAGATTAAAGGCGGGTGGCCAAAGGGCAGACCTGTGTATATTACCCAGGTGCGGCGCACATTAATTCTCATTCACCGTTGCCAGCGAGGCTGGGATTAGACGGCGATTATGCATTCAAATTTCAAAGTCATTACACGCGCATTGCCATAAACCAACATAGTCTGCGGGGTCAACCCTGTGCGTTCAGTTACAAAGGGGGCTGGGGTTTTTTTTTTTGTCACGAAACTAAATGAACACTGGCGTATTCAGGATGTATCGAGTGGCTTTGTCCTCATTGTCTCAGCGGAATAGCAGACGTGTACCCAAGCGCGTCCACGTTTCCCTGCTACTACCGCTGGCAGGGTACAAAGCGTACTGCAATCCGCTCAAAGTTTTCATTAACGCACTCCGTCACGTTTGATCATTCGTACGCGTGTTTATTCCACAATCCGCCCCCATTGTCTCCCAGTTGAACAGCCACGTTGAAGGGAAACAGTATTTATAGTATTACACGCAGAGTTTTATTTTGGTTTATGTTTCACGTGAAAAGAGAGCTATTGATATTTAATAGGTGAGATGAAATCGATTAGTTTAATGGATGTATTTTTGTCCTCATTCTAAAACCTTTTTTAGTGGAGTGGCGGCAGCAGAGGTTAGCACACTCTGCTCTGAACTCGGTTACCTGATTTAGATTCTTGGCCACGACTAATAGCATTGAACCTGTCTTGGGCCTCCGGCACTTCCATTCACCAACCTTCCCCCTCGCTGCTCAGCGTGGCGGAGTATGGCCAACAGCTCCCATGACCGATACGGTACGGGGAAGCCCTTCGCCCAGCGGCGGATTGACGAACGACCATGAAAGCCATCCCCAAGCGCAACAACCGTCGTCCCCGTCTGTCCGCCCCTCCGCTCCTCCACGCCGCAGGCACCTGGCGCAGAACCCGTTCATCTGCGACTGCCACCTCAAGTGGCTGGCCGACTACCTCCACGCCAACCCGATCGAGACGAGCGGGGCCCGCTGCGCCAGCCCGCGCCGACTCGCCAACAAGCGCATCGGCCAGATCAAGAGCAAGAAGTTCCGCTGCTCGGGTGGGCACCCACACCTGCCGCACGCACCCCTCGAGGGCGCACCACGCACCACACGCTCACCGCACGCTCACCGCACGCTCACCGCACGCTCGCTCTCTCCCTCTCTCTCGCGCGCGGTCTCCGTCTCTAGCCCTCGCGCCAGCGGTCTTAACCTTAACCCTGCTCGCGGTGCCTGCCAGTATCTCAGCAGTGGCTGGAGAAAGGCAGGAGGGGGCTTGGTGTGTGTGAGCGTAGGATACCTGTCTGTCGTGTCGTACACGCATGTACGTGTACGGCCCGTGTGTGGGTATGTGTGTAGGTGCGTGTGTACGAGTGTGTGTTCGCGTGTGCTCACGGGTGTGATCCTGTTTGCGGATTTAAAGCCCTTGCCAATATTCTATTCGTTGAGGGCCTCGCCACGTTGTGCGGATTGCGGGGGGTTGCTTGACCATACTTCACCATCCTGGCTACTGTGGGGTGGTGAAGGCCTTGAGCATAGACATGGGAGTATTAAAGTACAAGGATAATTTTTTTTCTGCACTACCCATTGATGCCCACCGTGTGACCTTTATGGAAATATTTGGCACGTATCGCAAATAAATTTGAATTTATATTTCCGTGGTGACATGGAAGCTTCTCGTAGTCTCAAAACTCTTTTTTCAGAAAAGTCCTGCATTGGGATGCTTGGCCAATACCATTCATGTATTGTTTGGCAGTGGTTTGGGAAACCGGAGTGCCTGGAGAAAGCACACGCATACAGGTGGGAGGGGGTTAACACTCAATAATGTTAACTCTCAGTCCCAGTCCTACAACACCTGGCAAGCCCTGGTGGTCAGCCCTCCAAGCGCTATCCAGGCTCGAGCCTGCTTAACTTCTGAGAGTTGACGAGATGGGGATAGGCCAGATGAACGTATTAACTCGGGGTTTCTCAAATACCATTGCCCACGATCCACCAGAGTAAGTCTTACTTTAGTTGATACGTGCTGCACGTGCCTGATGATTGTTAAGAATTCAAACGAGGTTAGAGAGATCTTGCACGCGTATGCGCGTGTGTGCGTCGCACGTGGAGGGTAGACCACAGACTCAAATTAACCGCCGCTCTCTACGTCTCGTCGTAAGTGTTCACCAATCATCAGGCACGGGCAATGCGGAAAAACGTATCTTACATTTGAACAAAGGTAAACCTCGGGACACTTGAGAAGACGAACCGGGTTGCAGGCAATGGCGTGTCTGAGACCACACCGGAACCTAAACGTAGGACCATTTTGTTCGGGATTATAGCCGCATGGTGCATGACATGGACCCGTCACAAGTGCGGTTCACCGTGACAGCCAGAATGGCTGTAGCCCTTGGCATTGGTCCCATAACCACTGTGGTGGGAAAATGTTAACTCCCTCGCCTGGTATGCAGGAGGTCGTCGTGGGTTCAATCCCGATCATGACGCCTGTATATTGGCCTGTATGTCTCTCTCCCCATGGAATTTACATGTCTCTTTCCCTCCAAATTTTGAAACATGCGTTAAGAGTATTTGGCTGATATTAATTTCCACAAGCGCTATCATGTGTGGCCAGGTTGCTTCTGAAAGAAGCTCAATTGTTCGGTGGGACTTACCTGATAAATTAAAAAAAATAGTTTTTAATAACCAATGTGGCCTCCGCTCGGCCTCTCGGGAGGTGCCCCCCCCCCCCACCCCCATCATCTTCCCCCAGTTTGTCTGGGCGCAGGCTCCACAAGCATTTGTGGAGCCCTTGACACAATTCCCCCCCCCCCCCCCCCCCCCCCCCCCCCCCCCCCCCCCCCCCCCCCCCCCCCCCCCCCCCCCCCCCCCCCCCCCCCCCCCCCCCCCCCCCCCCCCCCCCCCATGTAGAGATTGTGTGGGCAAGTGCTGTTAGCGAGCGTCCATTGACGCAACAAGGGTGGTGGTGCGGCTTTAGCGCCACACCTGGTGCCGGCTTTGCTGAGCTTCACGCAGAGTACCCACTCCTTATTTAAGGCTGAGCCGACATAGGTGATGGCCCGGGACTGTTTCAGCTATCGCTCGTCACTGACTCGTCGTGGTTGTGAATCGAATCCAGATCACCGGGTTCGTAGCGCATTCGATTCACAACACACATGCACACACATATGCACACAAAGACAAATATCCCCCGTATAGCCTTAACAGACTGTAGGGGCAAGTGCTGTTAGTGAGCATACACAGGCACACACACACATACACGACTTGGATGGATGTTGTTTTCCCACATCGTGTAAAGTTAATAGGTACACACACACACAGGTGTAATTTTCTTCAGAACTGGAAGTTGTGCAAGTCCAGATATTTTTTTTTTTATAAATTTCAATGCGAAGAAAATGGGTTTTAAATGTAAGCCACTTGTGTGTGCGCGTGTGTGCTCCATCATGGTGGTATTTAATGAAAGGTTTTTTTTGCCTCTTCCAAACCCTTTCACAAGATGAACTGAGCTTGGTTCTTTGGGACGCGATGGCGGTGCTTGTTAATTCGCTCGCTCTCTCTCTCTCTGTGACAGTCACAGCAATCAGCTTGTCATGTTGTCTCCCTTTCTCTCCATCCTGCCACCCCACCCACCAGCCAAGGAGCAGTACTCTCTACCAGGTGGGTGCTTCTCTCACCTTTTGCATTCTCTGACCAATTTTCCACCCATTTCTACCTGCTACTAATCTCTCTATCTCTCTCTTTCTCCCTATCTCTCTCTTTCTCTCTCTATCGCTTTCGTCTTGGCTGCCGCTGTTGTTGAATTAACAAATTGTCCGTTTTTCTTTTTCTGCCGGTGAATCGAGAGAGATTGTTTCCAAACGCTAAACCACCTCCTCTGCAAAAAAAATGCGAAATGAGGGTTGCCATCTGTCCTAGGTTTATCACGATTCATCCTCTCTTTGAAGCAGCTGTCCGGGGGAAATGTATAAGTCTGAGCGGGACACGAGCGTTGCGTAGTTCCCCCACCTTCTTCCAGCGTGGTGGAACCTTATTCTTCTTCCCGTGATAGGTCTTCGTATTTTTTTATAGCGAAAGGGGGGTGGCAACCCTGGGTGAAATGCCCAGTAAGCATTGCTAGAATCACGTGGAACCGCATTGATTGGCTGAAAACGTCTTAATATTTAGAGAACCACAGATCTTGGGCAATTGTTGGTCGTGCCGGCTCACTGCCTAGCTGCTGCCTTCCAGCTCGTCTGTGCTTCCTTATCAACACTGAGACCCAATTTGCACAAATGACAACGCTATGTATATAAGCCCTACATTTGTATTATTATTATTATTATGACTACTGTTTGAGCACTGCATGTTATCTGCAAAACGTTGGCAGCATTATCTTGCACAGGGGTGGTTCGGTGTTGGAAATCACCCAAGGTCAGCGCGTAATAATAACGTTTGTATAATTTTCTATGTCGTGGGGTTCATGGTGACAGGGCGCTCTGTGGCGCGACATTGTTAGTTTTCGCTTACGTGTACGGACGGTGTGCCTGTATTTGTCGCTTGAGTGGTACAATTTCAATGCAGGAAGACTCGGAAGCAAGAGCTTTTGCATGTACAGTAAACCCTTGTTAATTCGACACGTGGGGCTCTGGCCTCGCCGAATTATCCAACTTTGCGAATTATGAACAATGGTACCCCCCAGTGCCTCCTGCCCCAATAAAAATACAAATTTGCTTTCCAAAAAATTGCTTGCAATGAAAAGTAACACTTACCATCAGTAACCAGCACTGCAGGTGAATAAGGTTCCATGTGGTAGGTGACAGAGGTTGTTGAGGGGGCTTAATGCACTTCGTATGTACTTACTGTACTGTATTTTCAGGGTGCTTGATTTTATGTCAAACTCTTCACACGCCATACACATTGACACACACTCTGCATCAATTCTATCCGAAACTTTGACTTTGTCTCGCAGACTAAAGGGGTTTATATTTCGGTCCCTTTCCATTACTTCTTGATGTTGGTGCAGACGACATTTCTGAGACGGTCGGCTTGCACAGAGGGCACAAATAAGGTAAACTCCAAAGCGACGGGTCTGCACTAACGCTCACCACGCGCGCCACCACCAGACCGAGTCGTTGTTTTGGTCGTGGCGTCGCTCCACGTGTCTGCCGAAATTGGACCAGTCGGTACGGCAATTTGGCTCATGGTGAATCACTAATACACCATATCTATGCCGAAAGCGCAGCCGTGCAGAATTATCCCCGATGATAAATGATCAAATACCGAAATAACGAGGCTTTACTGTATTGTTGCAAGCACGGGCAGCGTAGCGTTTGGTTTCTGGTTGTTAAACACGTGTGCGTCATGTTATGACTTTTTTGACTGCAAGGCTGATATTAATTGTGGATTTTATCTCCTGATGCTTTGATTTTAAAGTTGTAAATATTGAATGACGGTGATGATGATGATGATGATGATGATCATGTATGAATACATTTTCTCTGGACAATGATGATATTCGGGGATGAATCGTCCTCAATTTGATTTATATTTGTCATGGTAGGAAAACTGTTTCTGCCACGCATTCTCAAAGCCCTCTCTTCATTGATTCGTGTGCCTCAACATCGATATTTGTCTGTTGGTGTCTCTTTTTCATAATATGACTTTATTTCTTCGTACTAAACACTACTTGGCCATCATTATTTTAGCAATTTTTCTACGAGTAGTTCACTTTTGTAAAAAAAAAATCGTGCTATTTTATACACCTGGCATGCTACCACGGTGTAATTGTTAGCACACTTAACTTGCAATCCAGAGGTCACCAGGTTGATCTCCTGGCATGGAAGTTGAAACAACGGTGGAATTGTCTTGAATCGGCCCTCACCCAGTGGTAAATATGGGTCGAATGTGCTGGGGGTTCCCATGTGTGGGTACCCCCACCTCTTCCAAGACGTTTGGCCAGCGTGGAGGAGTAGGCCAAATACCATCGGGGTTGGGGGTGGCGTTTCTAACGCTCCTCTTAGTGGGGAATTTTTCAACGACAGTGGGCACGAGCAGGACACTGCAGGCCTGCTGCACCTATCGCTCTTAAGACATCTGCATAATTCTGACATTTTCACTCGTGTGATCCTCGTAACTCCATCCCCTTTGAGTCTCATTTGGCCCCAACGCCATGGCAGATCTCTCTCTCTCTCTCTCATGCACTCTGAATCTCTCTGTTGTCTCTCTCTCTCTCTAACTGGCCCCCTCACGTGCTGCCCTTGCTCCGCGGGCCCTGGGTCCCGCTCCTACGGTACTCTCCCGGCCCGCCGGGCCCAACGTGGGCCTGCCCTGCTGCTCCTGCCGCGTCGCTTTCCCTTGTGCTTGATCTAACCATGTGCTTGCCGCGCTCAAGACAAAACAAAACATGGTTCCTTCAAGCACCAGGGAAGGCCACGCCTCTCGGCCACCCGGGGGACACTGCAGATCTTGCTGCCTGGTGGTACCGGGTCATTCCCGACCTCCTAGAGTCGACAAACCTGGTTACACTTAATGTTAAACAGGCGATTTGGTGATGCTGCTGTTGCTGCTGCTGCATTGACGGTGGTGCACGAGCACACATAATAATAAGAAAAAAACTCCACACGTTGGTCAATAATAATTATAAATCGTGATGTATGTGCTGTGAAGAAGGGCCATTGCCTGAAACGTCGCAAATTTGATATATATTAAGGCCACACAGTGTTATTAATGAATGTGTTGAGTTTTTTTTCTTGTTAATATTCTGGTTTTTTCCTAACCTCTACCGATGAAAAGGTCGTGTTTTCTGCTGGGAAGCTGTGTGAGCTTTTTGTGCGAATTATATTTGAGATGCGCTGAGTAAAATTGAAAACGTTTACTATTCTGCAAAACAACAAAGTAACGCTGTGCTTCAGGAATCGGACAATGCCGCTCCACACATGTCAATGATTCGTCACGATTCAGGATAGCGATTTGATTCACGAGTTGGTTAGTGGTTGCATTGTCACAACTCTAGCAGCTGCAGGGCTGACACAAACTAACGAATACATGTACCAAATGAAAATAATCTGTTGCTCACACAAATGACTCGGCGAATGTATCGTGTGCATAATCGATTCATCGATGCATCATTACACCTCTCCTGTATTTACGAGACGAGAAAATATATATGGCCAATCCATGTTTAAACATTGTCTTGTTATAAAGTGCCCATGGTCTATCCCCTCTTGGCCCTGCTTTGTGCTTCTATTTCCAATTCCCCCCCCCCCACCACCACCCGCTGGCTGCGCTGGCCGTGACTCAGGAGCCGAAGACCACCGCTCGAAGCTGGGTGGCGAGTGCTTCGTCGACTCACTGTGCCCCGAGCGCTGCCGCTGCGAGGGCACCATCGTCGACTGCTCCAGCCAGCGCCTCTCCCGCATCCCGGAGCACCTGCCGCAGTACACCACCGAGCTGTGAGTCGGCTTCGCCGGCGCGCCGGGTCGGGCGCACGGCCCGAGGCGGGGAAGGCCGCCCGGTCCTCTCGAACCTGAGCGGGCCACGGTGGCGAGGATGCTAACTGCCTCGCCTGGTTTTGCGGGAGGTCGTGGGTTCGATCCCCGACCCTGACGCCTGTATATTTGGAGTTTTGCGTGTGTCTCTCCCCGTGGCCACGTGGATTTTTCTCCGGGTCCTCCGGGTTTTCTCTCCACATTTAGAATCAACGTCACGCGTTTGGAATATTTGGCTGATAGAAATGTTCACGTGATAAGCCACTTCGTTGAGCTATCATTTGGGGCCAGGTCACATTCTGCAAAGAGCTGCATAGCTCAGTGGGCCTCACCTGGTCAAATAAAAAATAAGTTAATAGTTTGGAGAGTGGTTTAGGCTTCGTGTGTTGGTGCACTTTGGAGCAATAAAAGAGCCGGTGTTGAAGACTGCATGGGTTTTGTGTGCCGCAAAGCCAGGTCAGGGAGGGGAAATTATTTCCCGTCTAAGATTGACAAACTTTCTGTTCGCGCTCAGAAACAGGTTGATTGTGTACGTGTTAAAATATGCTCGTTGTTTGTATCCTTCTCTTGCCTCCAGGCGACTGAACAACAATGACATCACGGTGTTGGAAGCAACGGGGATTTTCAAGAAGCTCACACAGTTGCGGAAAATGTACGGTTTGTTGCTGAGAATCGAATGGATAACCATTACTCCTTCATAACTATTATTGCATCTGTTATAGCAGCCATAAACAAAGATCCCCCCTATAGCCTGCACAGACTGTTGGGGCAAGCGCTGTAAGCGAGCACCTGTGAAGGCCGGAGTGGCACACGAGGGGGTGGGTGGCCAACACCACGCCCGGCCATCTTTGTCTCCCTAGTGGCGATGTTTACACACCGCACGAGGCACTCATTTGAGGCTGAGTCTACCTAGGACAAGCGTAAAACAAAAATGGCACAGGTTCAAGTCGAATTAATTTTAACTTTTTTATTCCACCAGAAGTTTTGACCTTTGAATCTTATGCTGTCACTGGCATGTGTTGTGCAATGGTGTATGTTTATCAACAACCTCCCACTTCCTACCAATGTGATAAATGCCTTTCACCACCACCACCACACCAACAACCTTATGAATATGTAGTCTTAAAGTAAAACCATGGAACGGGGTGCATCCATTCATCAACTAAAATCACCGGATCTTACGCTCACAATACATCTATCGAATCGAGCATGTAGGAATACATTACTTGTCATTTATGCAATTTATATGCTAATGATACAGATGACTTGCGATAACCTCAAACATGAAGTAATGCCAACGAGCAAGTACAAATTAGACAAGCGGGCATTCATTCTGAAATCGCCAACCGGAATCTTGAAGATTCATACAATTCTCACGTGCAAAGTAGATGTTGCACTTGTAACTGCGAGCAAGCTTCACCTGATTTTCTATCGGCTATAGCGTCACACTCCACAGGAGGTGACCTACTTGGTTCACTGGTGATGGGGATTGCATATTTTCCAGTGTTTAGCCTAAGACTTTAAGCAATTTTGAACTTTAAACTAATCCTTTCCGATGAGTTAATCCAATCAACCTGAGGTCCATAATTTTTAAGTCTCCCAAACCATATTTTTTTTTAAATCATACTTTTCTGCTTATAAGCACACTCACATTATTTCATCCAAATTGAATTTTTATAGCAATTCCAGATCACCGTTACCAATTACATAAGTCACTCTTTCAGGAGCGATGATCCATTTGTTTGTGATCCTGAGACCCCATCTCAAATCGTTTCATTTATCTTCTCGTGTTTTCAGCTCTGAAGTTGCTTCTGTTCGTCTTCTTAACTTTCCCATCACTTGCCCCATGTTATTTGTTGTGAAGTCTGGTGCCTTGAATACCGAGTCGAAATGCACTTTATAAACGTTCTTCCTTAAGTTAAGATATCCCTTTTCTTGCACACGTGGTTAGCGAAACCCCGCGCGAGTTGCATGTTAAAATTGTACGTTACCCGCCGGTGTTACTTGAGTCGTGCATGATCTGGATGTTGTTTCCCTCGAATGCGTTTGCCACTCAGGTGTCTGCAATGTTTAGGATTATTTCACTGCGTTAACTTCCTTCGTTACACCAACGTCCTCCGTGTGGGCGGAGGGGGTGGGTGGTCAGTCTTGTAAATCAGCTTAGGGCTGAATGTTTCTTCATCATCGCCATCGGCAGATAGCCCGTAGGTGTCCACTGCACATTTCGTTATTTGTTTCCACTTTCCCTCGGTCTTGTGCCAATATGCTCCAGTAGTGGCCACATCTTTCTGGCACCAATCTCTTACGATGTCGTCGTCAGGCCCGTTCTCTGTTATGTTCTCCTCTGTTTCCGGTTCCTTCCATTTTTCTGAACGACACACTTTTAATTTTCCTGCTGTTGTCCATCCTACGTGTCTGCCCAAATAGTGCCGGTTTCCTTCTCATAACCGCCTGCATCATCAGAGGTCTTCTACCGTACGCGCCGTGCGCCTTTGCGCGAACGCGCACGCGCGAATCGCGTGTCATGCACGCGCTTCGGAGGGGGAACGCTCCCACCGTGTCTGCTCCCCCCTCCCCCCCCCCCGCACGCAGTAACCTGAGCAACAACAAGATCGCCGACGTAGAGGAGGGGGCGTTTGAAGGCGCCGGCTCGGTGGGAGAGCTCCTGCTGACGGGAAACCAGCTGGAGAGTGTGCACGGAGCCATGTTTCGGGGCCTGGAGGGCCTCAAAACACTGTACGCCGCCCGTTTATTGCCGTGACCTTTTGAACAGTTTTTGTGCTCTGCGAATGTGTAATGGGTGATGTTTGTTTTGGGCGTTTTTATTTTCTTTTGGGTGTTTATTTCTATCCTTTTTTTTTAAGTTTTGCGTGAACTTGTTTTGTCCCGGCCATCCACACAATCCCTCTGCGTTCCTTCATGTGCATCCCAGCGAAGGATGTTTTGTTGTTATCCCGTTGCGATAAAACGTCAAAAAGCAATGTTCTGCTCAAATGAGCAACGAGGCATTGGTTCTCAACAGCCCTGCAGAGCCAGCGGTGGAAATTCCTCGTTCCTGTGGCAGGGGAGAGTCTCTCTATTGGACGACTACTGTTGCCTTCCCCACAAAGTGGAACTTATTTTATCGACCCCACAGAAACGATGCGCTGAGTCAACCCCCAAAGCAGGGATTGCGAGCCACGCACAACAATTGCTGACAATATATTTATTGTAATATGTAAATGGAAATCAGTTTATCATCAACTGCAACTGGATCCTTTTATCGTCCGTGGTGTATGTGTCTTTATGATATTTATTGTAAGGATAAGGATTTGTGTTGGTGCTTAAATACCTCAGCAATTCAAAGGGCATGACTTTGCATCTCATCTCATCCATCCCAGTGCCATGTGGCAGTCTAACGAGGGGACCCTCAGTGACACATGGCCCTGTGCAGCACGTGGTATGCCCAGCACTTGCCTCCAAATGGGCATTGATCTGCTGATGGGGGGGGCAATGTTGCATTGTTATTTTCCCAATTAAGTAATTTGCTTTTCATTTAACGCTTGAGCCATTGTCACCTGTATTGCACATCATCATGATCATGATCATCATCATCATCATCATTGTGAGGCACGCGAGAGCAACTAAAACCGTCGTTGTGTCAAACCAGAGTGCCCACGTGCCACCGCGGCGCTGCAGAGGGAGGGCTCCTGCATGGTTCTGCCCATGCCGCGACAGATCTAACGGATCCGCGAGTCCCACGGAACGGCCAACCAGACGGTTCGGCGATTTGTCGTTCGGACAAGCGCTTTGGTGATTTGTCGAAGTGAAGTAAAAAAAAAACAATCGCTCACCCTGCGTCTCGGCCCCCCCCCCCCCCGTCCCCCGTCCCCACGTGGCTGCGTCGCCTGGCGCAGGATGCTGCGAAGCAACAAGCTGACGTGCGTGGGCAACGGCACATTCGCAGGTCTCGGCTCGGTGCGGCTGCTGTCGCTCTACGACAACCAGATCGGCAGCATCACTCCCGGAGCCTTCGCCACCGTGCACTCGCTCTCCACGCTGTGAGGAGAGCCCAACACACCCACTCCCCCCCACACCCAGAACCGCGCGGCTTCGTCCCAACGATTGTTTCATTGTTCATCTTGCCATGCATTTCTTGATTCGTTTCTCCGTTTTTGTTTTCTGAGGGTTTTCGTTTCGCTCACTAGTTGCTTTCAATTGGGTTTGGTCCCTCGTGTTCAATGAATGTACAACGTTGTGAGGATGGCGCTGTGTAAAAATGAAGTTATTATTATTACCGTATTCTTTGGATTATAAGTTTCTCAGGAAAATAAGACGTGCCCCAAAATGTGTGCCCCGTATCAATTAAGTTATACAAATATGGCCACACACGCGCGCGCACCTATATACCTACCGGAATTACCAAGAAGCATCCGCAAATGTTGCTTTATAATACAGGACGGATAAAATATTAAAATGGAGAATGCGATACTATGCAAAGCGTGCGTTTGGCCGAAGTTGCGAATGCTTTTGTTGCATCTGGGGTGGAGCAACCCTTTTGCTGCCTCGCTGCACTTTGCTATAATTTAACGTGAAGGGGTCGGTCGCCTCCTCGTCACACTCACATCGCTCTTGTGGCACGGTGGCCGTGCTCACGAACCTCGCTCCTTGATTCCTCCACCCCGTGTCGAGGGCTCGGTCTACCAGACCGACCGTTTCGTCTCATCCATGCTCAACAACTCACTCGCCGTCTCAATAACAACAACAACCGCCGTTCACCACTAAGTGCCGGTGACGTCACCGCTCTTGTGCCATGCTAGGTGCACACACGCCCACCCACTCGCTCACGACACTGCAGGTCACAACTCTTCTCGTTCTGCCTCTTCCCTCGCACGGCTCCCCTTCGGAACCTTCAGCCCTTCGGAATCTTCTCCCATCGTCTCTTTTCTCCACGCTCTTGCAAACAATTGCTTTGCTCAATTCAAAAAACGTATGAAATCTTATCCGTTACAACTTTGATCGTGCTGTTTGTTGCTGGCCACTCGGCGCTTTGGGCCGATGCATCATGGGTGTTATTTTCTTGTATATTTGTTGAAGCAGAAACCCCAGGGCCGTTAGGATTCACTCGAAGCAATGCGTTTCCGCGCCGCGCTCGCCAACATGTCCATCGCCAACGCAAACAAGCCTGTGGTGGCTGTTCGGAGTAATTTGTGTATTGCAGAGAGTGCACGAAGCTTTCTTCATACAAGCAAAATAAGGAGAGCATAATGTATTTCATTCAGAATTACTTTCGCGTGGATAGATTAACTAACTCTACCAGACGGGCGTTTAGCTCAAAAGCCGGGGAGGTTATACTCCGTGGACGTTTTTTTTGTTTTGTTTACAACGTACACGTCGGCTTGTAAAGGATAAGTAATATACGGCGCAATTTCAGAGTTACACGCACGTTGTTAACTCGCGATTGACATCTTGCGCGGTCTCCCCGATGTGAATGGCTCGTTACAGAGCTAGCGCCGACCTCCGACCCGGTGCGTTAGCTGGAACGATTCTCCCTTCCCTCTCGGACGCATGTACGCGCACGCAGGCACACACACACGAACATCAGAGCCGCGCAGTGAGCGAACTCGAGCGCGCGCACGTGTGTGGCTGCAGAAGATTCAGCGTTCAAATCTCGCGGAGACCGGCAGCGCCCAGGCCGATAGCCAACAAAAACCGCGCGTGATTGAGTCATCGACCTCTGAAATGTATCTGCTACGGCAGCGGGGCGCATTTGAAACCAGCTCCGCTAATGGTCATTAATCCCCCATCAAAGCGGTGACAAGACCTCCGGGACACGCTCCAATATCTCCCCGCGATTGTCACCTTAACGTTCCCCTCTGTCAGCCACCCCCCCCCCCCACCTTCCCCCACCCAAACCCCTCGCCCAGCCGCTCCACAAACCCCCAGCCCTCCGGACAACTCTCACATCCAACCGAGGGCTGCGGGCAGTAGCGTATCGCTATTGTCGCACTTAAGCCCACACTACGGTGAGCTCCCATGGTCATTGTGTGCCGAGGGCTAGGATCAGCGCGACAAATGGTTTGGCGGACGGTTTAATGGGCACGTTTCCTGCAGTTGGCTCACATCTGAAGCAGCGGCGTTTCTACACTCTGCTCGCTCGGCGTTCTGTTGCCAACATAAACATCCGCGCACGGTAACTGTTTTGCCAAATTCACGCATTTGAAGTGTTGTCATGCCAGCAAAAATGGTGCGTTCGAAAATAAAAATAAAAATCCGTGACGCTTTAAAAAAGCTCTATATTTTCAGCAGGTATTCTCGCTCCGGATTAGATATCGATGGACTCGCACTCACTTCTTCATCTATATATATATTTATCCACCACCCCCCCCCCCCCCCACACGCCAAACCATCTCACCCATCTCTATCGCATGTGCCACCCGCGGCAGGAATCTGCTGGCGAACCCATTCAACTGTAACTGCCACCTGGCGTGGCTGGGCGAGTGGCTGCGCAAGCGGAGGATCGTGACGGGGAACCCGCGGTGCCAGAAGCCGTCGTTCCTGCGTGAGATCCCCGTCCAGGACGTGGCCGCGCAGGACTTCTCGTGCGACGACGGTGCGTTGCCTTCGAACGCCCCCACCCCATCCCACGCCTCTCTCGCTTGCACACGCATCTCGTTTCTGTTAGATGCAGAAACGGGATGTTGCCCTACCGCGGAGTTGTGGGTTAGCACAATGGACTTTCATTCCTCCCGGCACAGCGTTCAAAACGATGGGAAGGTGTCTTAAATTCACCGTTGCCTTTATCCACCCAGCAGTATAAATGTGTCCGTCACAGTTGGTTGGCACGTCACATGTAGTGGGGTAAGTGTGTGTGTAAGTGTGTATGTGTGTTTGTGTGTAAGTGTTTATGTGTGTAAGTGTGTACGTGTGTAAGTGTGTGTATGTGTGTGGGGAGCGGTAGTGTAGCGGTTAGCGCGCTGCGCTATGAACCTGGCGACCCGGGTTCGATTCCCGCTCACGGCCAACACCAGTGACGATTATCTGAACCGGTCCCGGGCCTCCCCTAGGTCGACTCAGCCTAAAATGAGTACCTGGTGCGGTGTGTAAACATTGCCACTAGGGAGACAAAGGCGGTCGCGCGTGGTGCTGGCCACCCACCCCCTCGTGTACCGTTCTGGCCTTCAAAGGTGCTCGCTAACAGCACTTGCCCCTACAGTATGTTAAGGCTATATGGGGGATCTTTGTAGGTGTGTAAGTGTGTATGTGTCTATGTATGTGTGTTTGTGTGTAAGTGTGTTTGTGTGTAAGTGTGTATGTGTGTAAGTGTGTATGTGTGTAAGTGTGTAAGTGTGTATGTGTGTGTATGTGTGTAAGTGTGAATGTGAGTAAGTGTGTATGTGTGTAAGTGTATATGTGTGTTGAACTTCTTTCGCACCGTATGCAGCCAACCATGCAACACACGACAAAAAAAACTGTTCTAAAGAAATTCGTTTTCAATCTAGATTTCAAACTAGAGAGCTCCAATGGCTTCCTAATATCAGACGGAAGAGCGTTTCAGATGGCCGCAGAAGCGTGCGTTGGCCGTGGCCGTCTTCAAAAAAGCACAAAGACGGGGCAAAGGGTGGGTACTCTCACCTCTTCCAAGATATCTTGTCGGCCTTCACGAGTAGCCAAAAATTAGCCCACCAGAGGGGCTCCCTCGAGTGGAGGCCCTTCTGCCAGCACAAGCACAACCAAGACATTGCTGGGCTGCCCCTCCGTGTTTCTTCCCTTTAAACCGCTCGCGGCTCCTGCTCGGCGCTTAGCGAACGACTTTCCCGGTGGTCTCCCCCGCCACCCCCCCGCCCCGCCCCGCCCGCCATGTTGTGCGCCAGGCAACGATGAGAACGCCTGCACACCGCCGCCACGCTGCCCTGCCGAGTGCACGTGCCTGGACACGGTGGTGCGCTGCAGCAACAAGGGCCTCAGGGGGCTGCCCAAGGGCCTACCCCGAGACGTCACCGAGCTGTGAGCGCGAGCCCCGCTGCTCTCCCGCGATCGCACACATGGCACTGGCTCGAGCTCACGCAACGCGCTCGCGTTGTGGTGGAGAGATGTCAACTCCCTCGCCTGGTGTGCAGGAGGTCGTCGGTTCGATCTTGACCCTGACACCTGTATATTTGGAGTTTGCATGCTCTCCCCGTGGTCGTGTGCATTCTTCTCCGGGACCCACGGTTTTTCCTTCCACATTTAGAAGCATGCATGGCTGCTATGAATTACCTGGTAAAATAAAGGATGGCTTAGTTTATCGTTTTAGCTCACACGCCACGCTGCTCGGCTAACCAGGCCCCCCCTCCTTAAACTCCTTTCGCTCCTCTCTCAAAGCCTCACCCCTTCTCCATTGCCCATGCTCTTCCCTCCCCCTCGCCCCTCCACTTCGTCCCCTCCCTCCCCTATAACCCTTTCGTGACCCCCTAGTGCCCTCTGTTGCACGCCCTTGCCATCTTAACCGCTCTTGATTTTGTTACCGCTTTTAACCTATGGATAAAGAGCTAAGGTGCTCTGTAAATATAAAATAAGATAACATTGCACGGCCTTGCCACGTGCTTACCGCCCCTTTAACCCCGATGACTAACTGGCGTGGTCCTCTTCTCCTCTGCCCATGATGGACGGTCTCTTCCCCTTGACAAAATTCTAGCCTCTATTCCGCCCCTCCCCCATCCCCTTATCCAACCTCACCCCCATTCCGCCTCCCCCTGTGCACATCCCCACTGCCATTGTACGGCATCTTGAGATGCGGCTGCATTTTCATAACCGTCGTCACCATCCACGATCGATCAACTGCTGGATGAAGGTCTCGCCCAAGCTGCCGCACATCCGCCCCTCGTAGTCCCGCGCCACAATGATACACCCAGCGCGCTGTACAGGCGACGGCGGTGACGACGATGCCCCGTCGCTCCGTCTCCGCGACGGGGCATCATTGTGCGGCTCTCCGTGGAGCGGCGCCAATTGCACAGCCTCAAATCACGTGGGGAGCGTTTCTGCGCAGAGAGGGCCTCTCTCCACGTGGGTTATTTTTTTTTTTATGGTTGGCAAGTAGTGGGAGGCATTCAATGCGGGCGTCGTCATCGGGTCGTGATAAACGTTCCGCGTGTAATGATGACATCCCCTGCCAGCAATTCAACAAATGATCACGCTTCAATTCAATGCAGTTATTTTGTGTTTCCTCGTCATTACCGGCTCACGTTGTTTCTCATTTGCTCCGTCTCATTTGTACAGTTGCGTGCTCTCACATTCCTACATTTGAGAGGGGCAACATCATTTCGACTATAATTTTCAGACGTCGGAAATGTAGGCTTCCGCACGCACGACGCCGCCGCGTTCGTTATGAGTGTAAGAAACTAACGCATCGTCGCACGCCGGGTTATTATTAATTTAGCGAGTGCGTTCGAGGGCGGGAATTCGTAGAGATGGAGCTCGCAGAATTCGGTCCGTGCTGGTTGGATCATTAGCTTCCCCGGGGAGAGTGCGTGGGGGGGAGTGGGGGGTGGGGGGGGCCAGGGTACTACTGAGGGCTGTGACGTGAACGCTGAATGCATTGCCCCCCACATGCCTGGCAACAGGCTTTTAATGCCCATGAATAATTCTTGACTGGTATATTTCCCTGCATCCCGTCCCTCTCCCACCCCCCCCCCCGTCCCCTTCCCCTAATGCCTCCACTGATTCCCAGTTACCTGGACGGAAACCAGTTAACCATGGTTCCCCCAGAGCTGTCCAACTACAAGCACCTTTCGTTCATGTGAGTACCACTGGTGAAATGTAAGTTGCGGAATTAAAGAGTGTTCCGCCATTTTCAGTCCGCTGCTGGATGAAAGCCACGTCAGTCGTTTTTGTTGTGTGTCCATACTTTACCACGTTGGTCGGTGCAGGAAACCCAGAACTGGTTCAATCATCACTCGCCACTTACGTTAGCCATGCCCGGTAATTTAACTCGGGTTGTAAGGCTCATCGTGTAGTGCGCTAAGCACTGCTCCTAATAAATATGCCAACCGAACGGGGATTCTGCATTGCACAGTGAGTAGCACACTGTGCTATCAACCTGGGAACTTGATGTTTGATTGCCAGTCACGGCTGACGTCGGTGACACGTGATATCTGAACAGGTCCTAGCTCCCCCTCGCCCTATAACCTATAGCCGTTAACTGGCCTGCGTCGTGAAGTATGGTCAAATAACATTAATGACAGGCAAGGCATGGGCAAGCCTTCATCCAGCAGCTGTGTGGCAAAGGGCTGTAAATTAGTATTATTATCAACATCGTAGAATACCTCATGTTACCACTATTGAAATCAGACCCATGTTCATTATTATAACTGTTGGGGTCATTTGCAATTGCTCATTAAATTGAATGAGCTTGGAACGTGGTGTTAATGGCTATTGTCAAATGTAGAAAAGTGAAATGCTCTGTTAAAACTCTCAATAGTTAATCTTGCGAAACAATCGCAAATTAATAATCCACTGTCACAAAAATAATTGATTTTTTTCCCGATAAAAGTGTGTACTAAATCTGGCAACCTCACGCATTCCATGCAAAATCGTTTCTTATTTTACATGTTTATTGAATGTTAAATATTACGTTGAAAAAGCAATGTAATTTTCTCCCTCCGCTTCTCTTTATTGGGTAAAGTAACGTTAATCGAGTGAGTCGGGTTGTGTGCACATTTTGATCTCACCATCGCACACCGTGCCCAACACTTGGCACCGATCCCTCTGCTCGTTGTCTTTCTAGTGACCTGAGCAACAACCACATCAGCACCATCGCAAACTTCACCTTCAGCAACATCACCCAGCTCTCCACACTGTGAGTACCCGTGTCGGATGGTCAGGGCCCGTGGCTGGAGGGAGGTTCGTTAAGTCAATTCGGTGTCAGCCGAAGGGGGTGGACTGATTTCCCAGGCATCATGGAAGGAAGAGTATTTCAGACGACCGTAGTAGCACATCTGGAAGTGTGTGATGCAGTAACCATCTTTAACTAAGTCGTAATTATTATATTGGTTGTTTTGCCCTTAAATCTGTTGGATGCACCTCTGACGACCGGAGTCTTGTAGGAATCGATTGGCAGCTCCCGCCATGTGCCACATTCGGGCCAGCGCTTGCGAAATGGGCCACGCGGTGTAATGAGCATCCACGTGCATCTCCAACACAGACTCGAGTTGTCATCTCGGAGATTCCAAGGAGCGGGACCTATCACGGAAAGAAGAATATCTCACAATACCAGAAGAGGGGGGAGGGGGGGGAATGCACTTCAGTGCTTTGTCTTGAGCGCCATATTCTAACGCAACTGACAAGAACCTTAGTGTTCTGGAAAGACTTCCAGATTTCCCAGGACAGCTGCTTTGAAAATGACGATCCTGGGCCTAATCAAGGCAGGTGGGATTGCTAGCACAGATGCAGCGGCAGGTGTTCTCTTCCTCACTGGAGCAGGAAGCCAACGAACACAAGCTTCCTCCCACCCAGGTCTCAGAAACAATTCCTCACCACGTTTCCCTACCAGCTGGCTGCCATTTGCCTTTTGCTTCATGGTTCGACAGTAACAGTGTTTACCACTCCTGGCAAGGGACAATTTTAATTTGGTCAATTACAATCAACCTCCGCAAGCTGCTGCAGCCACTCCACAGAGTGGTGAGGATCATCTCTCGGCAGGCACGCAGCGTTGATGGCCGAGCGAAAACGAACGTGTTTGCGTGAGGGCATCCTTGATGGCTTTAAAATGCGGGTGGAATACCCCAGACAGAAATGCATTTGGCACATGTATTTAGATGTGTTTAGATGCTATAATCCTGCCGTGGTATAGCGGTTACCAACATCCTTGGAGTTTCGATCCAGGGGTCACCAGTTCAATCTCGGTAGTTGGAAAAATAGTGGTGCCCGGCAGTATAAATGGGGATACACACCACAGTTGATCGATTGGCAGGTCACGTGTGGTGGGGTAAAGTGTGGGTATTTCTACCTCCCACAATGCGTCTAGCCTGCATGGACGAGAGGGCAATATAACCCTCGGACGGAACGCTCTCGAGCTCCCTCTCGCGTGAAGCCCTCCTCCGCAAGCAGTGGTGTGAGTGAGAAATTGCGGGGCAGCGTGAATGCAAGTTGCATTCTGTTGTATTGTGTGGCGAATTAGCAATAGTAATGAGCGACTGTCGAATTAATGGTTAATTACTCTTAACTATTGTTCATTTCCCACACGATACAATTTTTATCCGCATTGCCCTGCTCTGTCGCACTGCCTAGCGTTGGCTACACTCCTTATGCCACCCCTCATAATTGGTGTTTTCCATATTTATACGGCTTAATTATGCGTTCATAAGACAAACATAATATTCGCGTAGTTTATAAATTGCTCGACTGTGTGGCGCATAATGATAGGTTTTATATAAATGTTTAAAAGTGATGCCAAATGTAATGTCATCCTAACAATAACAGACAAAAGGCCCTTTTTTTCCGTGCAATGTAGGGCATGGTATTTTAAAACACGTGTCACCATGAAGCTGCCAAAACATGTGTTGGATGATTTGCTGTAAGTGGCTCCCATGCATACCTTCATATTTGGCCCGAATGAACAGGATTCTGCTCAAATTACCATACCTTGCACCTCATAGAGAAGCAGTTCATACCCATATATATATGCATAACTTGTAGATAAACAAAAGTAAGAATTTCATTGGAGCGTGCACCTCTACAGATGCCTTTAATTAGGTGGTTATTGCAGCGTTTAATTAGCCCCGAGGACGTTGCTAGATAATCCCGGGACGTGAGAGGCTTGAACGAGTGCAATGGTGCTCGATACGTTTTAGGCGCCACTCACAAACGCTCTGATCAATGACGACCTGGAGGGCTGGCCGAGGAATGAAGCTCCGTGTGTACTTATTGGCTTCTGTATAAATGAATGAATCAGTTGCAGAGTTGGGTGGCGGACTTGCTGGGTTGGGGTTGGTTGATTGACTTGCCGACTGACTGGCTGGCTGTCTGCTTGGTTAATTAGTGCATTGATTGATTGGCTGGATGGTTTGGCGTTTGCTGAGTTGGTCGGATGGTTAGCTGATGAATTGAATGGCTGGCTGGCTGGATGGTTAGGTTTGTTGATTGGCTGTCTTGTTAGTTGGTTAGGTGGTTGGGTGTTTGATTACTTGGTTAGTTGAGGTGGGTGGTTAGTTGGTTGAATAATTAGCAGATCGATTGTTTGGCTGGTAAGCTGGATGGTTGATTAGTTGGTTGGCTGGCTGGTTAGTTGACCGGCTGATTTACTTGTTGTTCGGTGACCAGCAGAGTGGAGGATGCGCAGGCTCTGTGAGCGAAATGTAAACAATCTTGGAGGGCAGCGAGCAGCACCGCAGTGAAAATCTGCCAGGCTTAGGGCCACCCAAGGCTCGGCACTTAACTACAAGCCGGTTATTGTTTGTGTACATCAGAAGGACAGATCAAAGGTTATAGTTTGAAGAAAATAATGGGTGGGTTCTGCTCTGCCTTTCTGTCCTGTTTATGAAGCACACGCGAGTTGTTATTTGTTCCAAATGCAGTTGTTAAAATCAGCCGCATGTACAATATCAAATGTCCCATGGAATTTATTGGCGCAGGCAACACAATAAATTACAATTGATATTGTCGTGGCAACATGTAAGCTGCTCTGATTCCCAGGACTCCTTTTTAAGAAAAACTATGAAATGTTTTGTTTTACCAGGTAAGGCCCACTGAGCGATGTCGGTATTTTTCAGAAACCACTTAGCAACAAATTATTGCTCAACGAAGTTACTTATCATGTGGACATTTATATCAGCCAAATACTCTAAAAGCACGCTTCTAAATGTGGAGAGGAAAAACCAGAGAACCCGCAGAAAAGTCCACGCGACCACGGGGAGAACATGCAAACTCCAAATATACAGGCATCAGGGTTGGGATCAAACCCACGACCTCCTGTATACCCGGCGAGGTAGTTAACATCGCGCCACCGTGGCACTAAAATGCCCTGCATTGGGACGTTTGGTCAATAGCTTTCATGAGTTGTTTGGCAGTGGGAGGAAACCGGAGTACCCGGAGAAAATACACGCATACAGGGAAGGGGGTTTATACTCAACAGTGTGATGTCCTGACCACCTCTCAGCCCCAGTCTTGCAACACCTGGCAAGTCCCGTGGTTGCCCATCTAACTACGATCCAGGCAAAAATTTGCTTAGGTTCTGAGATCGGACGAGATTGGGCACGTCCAGGGTGATTAGAAAAAATCCTTGACACGTGCTGTTAATCCTTTCTCTCAGTCGTGAAAGCCACTGGTGCTATGCACTTTTCAATCAAAATCGAAAACTCATTTCTTTAGAACTGCTTTTTTTATGTTTAGTTTGTTGTTCTTCCCGCGCACCTCTGATTAGCACGGTTGGTTACGTACGGTGCGAAAGAAGCTCAAAATGCGTACAATCCTGACGTGTTGAAACTAACACGTTCAATAACAACACAGCTTTGTTCGAGAAAAAAATGATGGTCTCGACGTGAGTGATAATAGCACGGCGCTTGTCAAACGGCTCTAAACATGTCGAGGGGAACATAACACCCGGGAAGTCCGTGGGTGTAAAGTTTCACCTCTTTGTTATTTGCAGGATTTTGAGCTACAATCGTCTAAGGTGTCTTCCTCTGCGGGCGTTCGCTGGCCTCAAAACCCTGCGCCTCCTGTGAGTGTGGGAACCGGCGCGATGACACGTGTCTGTTGCTGAGCGTATGTGCGGCAGGAACTTCAAGAAATGTGACCCCCCCCGCTTTGTCAAGCCAACCCCCCACGATTGCGACGGCCCCCTTCGATTGCGTGAAAGGGCAGCGTGTATTTGGATGATGAGTGGTGGGGTAGTTTTTCGCGCAACATGCGTCAAACCTGGCAATCTGTGCCCGATTCCCAGCCACGGCTGGCGTAAGTGGTGTTTGAACCGGTCCTGGGCGCTGACCCACACTCCCACCCCCCCCCCCCCCTGCCTCACCAGCCCGTGTCGACCGGCATGGTGAAGTATGGCTCAAACATCCCCCGTGAATGACGTAGCATGGGGGAGGCCTCCGTACAGCAGTGGCTTGACAAAGGGCTCTAAATTATTATCGTCTACAGAAACGCGTAGATGCTTGAAAAGATATCGGTATGTCATGTACGTCCCATGACGCTCAAGCTATTTGCTTGAGGTCACTCCCTGGAATGTCATTGTTGAGCCTCTCTAACCTTGAGACGCCCAGCATTTAGCAATTACACCCAAGGGCTTTGGGGGAGGGCGCTTCCTCGCTCCGCGTTGGATGGGTGGAACGTCCTCGCGGGTTTGTGAGCACGGCCGGGAAGATTACATTTCAGCGATGATGGACAGTGGGGCGGACAATTATTTAGCTGCATCCCAAAACATTCTCTTGTTAAAGTCTGCGCAATAATTTCACCGGTTTCACAGTGCGCCGTCGAATTGTTTACGGCTCGAATATTCGGGTTCTCTTTTACTTTGCTCCCCTCCTTCCGTGTGCGCGGAGTGAATTCCTTATTGACAGCCGCATAATCTTATCACGGTGCGTTCACCGTGGCAGGACACGTCCCTTCCCTCTCGACTTCCCATCCGTTGTTGTCGCTGACGTGTCACATCACGTGATTTAATCTCCTCGGAATGTAGACCAGATTCGGTTAGAGCCGGAAGAGGGGAATTATTCATCTCGCCCGCCATGCGGGCGTGAAGTGGGCGGTGGTGGCCTGATGTTGCTGGAATCCTGTGTCGACCATGTGCGTACATGCGTGTGCGTGCATGCGTGTGCGCGCGCGTAGTGCAACGGTTAGCGCGCTGCGCTATCAAGCCAAGCGACCCGAGTTCGATTTCCACTCACGGCCAGCCCCGGTGACGATTATCTGAACCGGTCCTGGGCCTCCTCTAGGTTGACTCAGCCTCAAATGAATATCTGGTGCGGTGTGTTAAACATCGCGACTGGGGAGACAATGGCGGTCGGGCGTGGTGCTGGCCACCCCACCTCTTGATGTTCAGTGCCGGCCTACATAGGTACTCGCTAACAGCACTTGCCCCAACAGTCTGTTCAGGCTATATGGGGGATCTTTGTCTGTGTCTTTGTGTTCTATTTGCATGGCTGTTAGGTCACTTCACGGAAACGACGTCTCCATGATTCCCCACGGCGTTTTCAGCGACCTGACGTCTCTCTCCCATCTGTGAGTTTCGCCGTGATTCTGAGCGCGGCATTTTTTTTTTTTTTAAAACACGCAACTTCAAATTAATTTCTCAACAGTTTCATTTTGCACCCCCCCCCAAGCCACGTGTAAATATCTTAAATGATAAATGACACCGCAGAAATTAAAACACCAGCACGCGCGCACCCATAAAACATTACCGCGAAAGCGTCGCGTACGTAGCGCTTGGACGCGGAGCGCTCGACAAGCGGTGGCGGTGATTAATGAAGCGATGGCCGCCGCTCGCCCGCCCGCGGCCTTCTACAGCGGAGCTCACGTTTCGGATATTTCGCCTAACCGCTTCGTGTCGTTTTAACTCCCACCCGCCCGCCCGCCCGCCCGGCCCGTACGGACGGACGAACGGACCGACCGACCGACCGACCGACCGATGGACGTCGGCAGAGCGCTGGGATCAAACCCGCTGCACTGCGACTGTGCCATGCGCTGGCTCTCCGATTGGGTCAAGGTGGACTACAAGGAGCCGGGCATCGCGCGCTGCTCGGGGCCCGGGGACATGGCCGAGAAGCTGCTGCTCACTACCCCCTCCAAGAAGTTCGAGTGTGTCGGTGAGGCTCCCGCGGGCGACGGCACCGTGGCGCCGTCCTGTGCCGGCACGTGAGGTGGATCGTACCGGTGTGCAGGCGGTGCAACCAACACAGGGGTTACCACGGGCCGGACGGGCACCAGGTGCCGGGCTTTGAGGAGGCAGGGGGGAGGGAGGGGGGAAGCGGACAGAGGACATATAGCAATACACATCGCTGATGGAGATATTAGCAAATGATCACTAAATATCGACAAAAAGAAGCATTCTTCAATGCATTGATTGAACCCAAATTTATGCGTGTGTGTGTGCGTGTCTTTTTTATAGTAATGTAGTGGTTACCGCGCTGCGCTACGAAGCCAGTGACCCAATTCGATTCCCACTCACGGCCAACGCCAGTGACGATTATCTGAACCAGTCTTGGGCCTCCCCGAGGTCGACTCAGCCTTAAATGGGGGAACTGGTGCGGTGTGTAGACATCTCGACGTGCTAGTAGGCGCTCGCTAATGGCACTTGCCCCAACAGTTTCTTAAAGGCTAAATGGGAGGTGTTTTATCTTTGTCTATACATGTTAATAAACCGTAGTTTTGTCAAAATGCTGTCAACTTAACAACAAAGTCACTATATAATACGTAACAAATGAGTGTTGCGAAAATGCAGCGTGAGCGTTTTCGCACGTTTCATTCAAAGCCTGTGATCCATCACGACCGTTGGTGCGCGTGAAACCCCAGGTCCGCCTGACGTCAGCATCCAGGCCAAGTGCAACCCGTGCCTGTCGCAGCCATGCCTCAACCACGGCGTGTGCAGCAGCGACCCCGTCGACTTCTACCGCTGCACCTGCTCCTACGGGTTCAAGGTGAGGGCCGCCGCCGGGACCGCGTCACCGCCGGCGGGCGCGCCAGCCCCAATGGTGGGCCTGAGGAAAAAATCCTAAATTAACATTCCAACTGTGGGAGCTTGCTCCTTCTCCTTTGCTGCCTCTACTGTCTGCATTCCTCTCTCTTGGTCATCCGCGATGCAGATTCCCTTCCCCGTCTTTAAGTCCAGCGTTGAGTCTTCTCTGCAGCTAAGGAGTTACTTCCCTCACAGGATTATCCTCAGTGTTCACTCCTCTCCGCCACCTCACCTGCATTGTAATCATCACTCTCTTCTCCAGTTCCCTATGGTTTATGTCCACCCCACTTTGATGAACACTTCTAGACGTTTATCCTGAAACACAATGCAATAGGAGCGGGGACAGTGGTGCCACGACCCAAGCACCGTGGTTTGAATGCACGGCTGACATCAGTGGCACTCCACCCTTTAAACGCTCAAATTCTGACGAGCGCCACCTGGAACTCATTTTGCCGCGGCAATCTGGATTTATTTTCCCCATCCCGCCCTATGCCTGCCCCCCACCCACCCAACCCCCATCGCCCCCCCCCCCACACACCCCCCGACTCCAAACACCGCATTAACCCTACGCCACTGTGCTCCCGGGTGCCAGGGTCAGGACTGCGGAACGCCGATCAACGCATGCGTGAGCTCGCCGTGCCAGAACGCGGGCACGTGCCACGTGCGCGAGGATGGTGACGACTCCGGATTCCAGTAAGGGGCCCTCGAGGGCACTCCCCTGAACCCACCTTGCCCACGAGGCTGACGGCCGGTGCCCCCCCCCTCCCCCCCCCCGCGGAGCCGATGTGGGAGGAGGAGCCGTTTAAATTAAATAAACACGCTTCGTTTTTAACCCGACGTGCACTTAAAAAAAAGAACGCAACGCAATTGAGGTGCTTTCGGCGACTAACAATGTGCTCGCGCTAATTTACGGTGCAGAGCGACGTTAAAATTCACGATGAGTCCGAAGGTTGCGTATGTTTTGTCCGATTGAATGCGTGACGTGAGGAATATGTAGCCTGCAACAGGCCTGCACGGTGACCATCCAGCAGCGGGGGGGGGGGGGGGGGGGGGGGGGGGATATTGGATCGTTCTTAATGTCCACCAGACAGCACTCACTTGTGCGGTCAACTGTCAATTATCCCGGGGTAATGGGAGGGCCGGGGGATGGCGTAGATTAAAACAAAAGTGGGCATAATGCTACGTATATTTAAATTAGACTATCAGGCAATTATGATTTCCCTGCGTAGAATTGGGGTTCTAAGATGTCATCCCTCATCTGTGTGTGTTTGTCGGCACATCTGCGATCATGTGGGCATCAGTCGCTGGCCCCCTGATGAGTATGCAGCAACCCAGATAATCAAGAGTTGACCGCAAATCCCCTGGATGTATGTTGAACTTCTTTCGTACCGTACGGAGCCAAGCGTGCTTAAGCCGGAGGCGCTCATCATCATGCTCATCGGTCATGATGATGATGATGAGGTGCGGGGAAAGGACAACAAACTAAAGGCATAAAGCAGTTCTAAAGAAATGAGCTTTCAATCTCGATGATTTAAAAGTGCATAGCTCCATTGGCTTCCGAATATCAGAAGGAAGAGCATCCCATACAGCCGCAGAAGCGCATCTGAAAGCGCGCGAGGAAGTGACCGTCTTCGTCACGTGATGGTTTATGCTCCTCGACGAGCTCAGCAAGGTATCGTGGTTCATTTGTGACCCTGCTTGAGACTCGCTGCCGCATCCCCCTTGCCCCCCCCCCCCCCCCCCCCACCGCGCGCGACCCCAGGTGCGAGTGCCCCAAGGGCTTCGATGGAAAAGTTTGCCAGGTGAACATCGACGATTGCGAGGACAACGACTGTGAGAACAACGCCACCTGCGTGGACGGCATCAACAACTACACCTGCCTGTGTCCGCACGAGTACACAGGTGAGCTCCCCACCACACCACCCACCACCGCCCACTCATCAACCAGAGCCACTCTGGGTGAACGCTAATGGCTTGGCGCTCTAGGTCACAGAGGTGGCGAACCGTTCCCCTTACTGATGGCCAAACAGGACTTTTAAATGCCTTAGCGGGGGCTTAGGGGGTTGCTGGGGGTGGGCACTATACCAGCAGATGTCCACTGGCCCACCACCCACGTTCACTCTGCTTAGCGGTACTGTGTATCACTGCTATGGTGCCCCCCCCCCCCCCACTCGACAGCTCTACTGCCCCCCACTACCTCCCAAGAGGAGCTGGAGCAGGGCCTAGCAGGTGCCATACATTACACTGAAACTTTAAACCATTTTAATTTTCCGTAGGTAAGGCCCACTGAGCTGTGTATAACTCTTTTTCAGAAGTGACCTGGCTATCACTAATGATGGCTCAACGAAGTGGCGTATCGTCATTTGGAAGTTTATGGCAGCCGAATACTCTCGACTCTCGTTGAATGTAAATGTGGAGGGGAAAGACCCGGAGGAAAAATCCACGTGACCACGGGGAGAACGATGTGGAGGTAGTCACTTCTGTCACTGCAACGGGCCCTGTTGGTAACAGACATGACTCGGCAGGCCGTCATTACAAACACAGCGTTATTGCCGGGTTCAAAATGTTCCCCTCTAGTAGCAGATTAGTGAAGCTAAGACGTTTCTCGGTGATGTACTGCAATACTGTTGTTACGATTCAGAATGGTAGACCAACCATGTGCCCACGGGCCCCGAGGTTCAACCACCCCCCTCGTCAAACTTGTTAGAGCACCTGATTGTTCTGAAACAAAATATCACTTGAAAATTAACTTCAACATTCTGGGTTTTAATCTGGCCAATCTGATCAAAACCAGATTCTTGAGTGCAGTGAGTTAATGGTCTCAGCATGGCCACCAATTACTGCACAATGATTTTGATCGTATATAAACAAAAAAAATCTAGCTTTAAGAATGGCAAAAAATAATTAAGCTTGACTGTCACTAAACAAGGATCTCTACAGCAGAGTGCGTGGGGGAGGTGCAGCGCCCCCTAGTGTACACAGCAGGTCGCTTGAAGGGATCTCAGATGCAGCTCTATGATGTTGCCTTTCTTTAAGCTCTTCTCTTACACGCAAGGTGATAATACTTCCCTGCCAGAGTTCCGAATGGACACTTCATCTCGTAACATGATGCTGAGGACAAAAAGAATAAAACTCGAAAAAAGATCATTAAATTAGTTAAAGAGTTTGCATTCTTCACGTTTTTATTTTACTTTCTTAGCCACCAGGCTGCTGACATAACTTGGCGGCAGCAGCCAGTGAAACAGTCGGGTGTTTTTTTTTTTAAGTTCTCCACCATAAATCACCCGCTGAAAAGGAAACCTGGGACTAATTTGAAACGTACGACTGTGCGGTGGCCTTGCTTGTAAAGTGGTGGCTACACTGGGGGTGGGATGGATGTTTTAGCCATGTGCACACCTCCTTGGGCGAAAGCCAGTCTGAGCAGATTGGACATCTCAACTGCATCAGTTGGTTGCGATTTGACTACGGCCAAACGCTTTGTTTGGGGAGTCATTCAAATTAATTTCATTGCGCCACTTTAGCGAGCAACGGTGATGGCCTTCGCCAGTAAACAACCCGTGGAAGCCCCTTCCACGGTTAGGTTTTGCAGTGCTGTGTTCTAAGAGCGCACGTAAATATTTCCACAAGTGCTAACGACGATGTAAGACAATCTCTGGTGGAGGGTATCCGTGTGTAATCGCATGCAGATACTTGTTGACCTGCCAATTATGTGCACTTAAAGTAAGCGAACCTCTCAGTGATGTCACGCCGGCACAATTCATGATCATACTTGGACGTGAGCGGCGTTTATCTCCCCAACGTCATGGCAACGACGGCGGACGGACTCGACGGCACCCAGCGGCGTTCTCATCTCCGGCCGCTTTGTCGTAGCGCAAAAAGTCGAATTGGGTTACCGGCCATCCCTGTGCGCGGGCAGGCTTCGAGATAAGATCAGTGCAGATCTTTTTTTTTTTTGCGGGGAGGAACGGGCTGGGATGCACCAGAGAAAAAGGGAAGGAAGCGGAGAGGGGCAGGGCAGCAGGCGAGGGACGGAATCGTGTCTTACAAATCTCCCAATCCCCGCGTGCCGATCACACTAATAGTGAACAGATGTGCGCGATGCAGCCGGGCGTGAGGCCAGCACGGCCACCAGAGTGGGCCCTCCATTCCTCAACGCAGGTCACGCTACGTCTGCCGTGCCGTGCTTCAAAAAGGAAGGAACATCCTGCACCGCCGAAGAGGGGAAAAAAATGACCCATAAACTGATGAGGATGGGATAACATCAGTAAAAACATTCAGGCAAAACATTTTTTTTAAAGCTTATTTAAAGGAAAAGTTAAATCCGTAAAGCGTTTGCACGTCGCGATACTGTGCGTAGACTGTGAAACGTTAAAAGTTCAATTATCTGACCATGTAAACAATCAGTTGTGTGTCTATAGATTTTCTATTTGTGCAAACATCGTGTACCTCGTGTTGCAATTGTATTTTCAATCATGGCCTTTAAACTGTAAGCTTAATGCGTACATTTTCATTTACAGCCACTAATACCCTGCATTCCCCTGTGGCAATAACCATCCATTGAGTGAAATCCTGTCCTCCAATTCATCATGAGCCTCCAGCCGAAGGGACGCGGGACCATTTTTCACTGCTTCTCTAACACCGCTGCAGAGCGAGGGGAAACTGGTAGCTTACTCCTTAAAGCTGTGCGCGGCAGCATCGATTCAAAAAGGCTGAGAAAAATAAAACTCTTTAAATGCGTTACATCTGTGTCACGCCGCGGCCAAAATTCATGAAGGCCGCTGGAGACCCCGAGTGATGAAGGGGCCTCTGAACAGGAACGTGCCGTCCTTGTGAGACCGTGGAGGTAGTCCCGCGCTGGTTTATTCCTGGGTTTCTAAGCGCGATCTTCGTGCTTTTCCTTTCACATCTTGTGCGCCCTGCACGAAGATTGCTGCTTTTTGTTCGTTAGCATCTCTCGCCGCCGCTTCTCTCTCTCTCTTTCTCTCACTCTCTGGCTTGCGCGCCACCAGTGCGCTGTCCTCGCATCATGCCGGCATAGCTGTAACGTGCTGGACGTGCGAGAACTTGGCCTTCCTTAACGATTGCCGAATGTTTGTTTTGTTCGTTTTCTCGCTGCAAGCTGCTAAAAAGGGCAATGAAGTTGAAAAAGGTCAGTTTGTGACGTGCTTCTCGTTTTGCCGCTCTTTGCTGCTCTCTGAGTTCCCCACGTGCGTCCGCCTTCGTGATGTTTTATTTTTTTTGCCGGTGCATGTTTTCCACGGCTTAATTTGTTGGCGGGATTGATTGTTGTTTTTTTTTCTTCTTCTTCTTTTTTACTAGTTCAGCAGACTGAACGATGCGAGTGTAAAGTAAAGTGCTTGCATGGAAATAATTTAGGGATAATAGGAGAGATTATACACATGGGTGGAAGAGAGTGAAGTGTGGTGAGGGCGGTAGGGGGGGGGGGGCTCAGGAGATGGACAAAAAAATAGCTAAGAAGAAAATTCAGACTCCTTCCCAACACATTTTGTCTGGCTTAGCAATAACACATGCCTCCAATGTTGCATAACAAATGCACGAGGTGCGATATTCTAGGAAAAAAAATAAAACCGTCACACAGGCTGTAAGACTAGCCTAGCAAGCGGATTTAATTGAAGGAAAGTTAAACGACGAGGTATTTTGAATAATGAATGGCAGGCACGCGTAAAGGTGACGGGGAAAAGGAGATTGAGAAAGGAACACAGCGGTTTTGTCAGGCGCGGCGTTTGGCTTTCCTCTCTCCCCGAACGCACTCGGAAGTGGTGGTGCCCTGCCACGCGTTGCCGATCAAAGCCTCGTTAATCTCCGCGCGCCGTCGCTGGGCGATGCTCGCCGCAGTGGTGTAACGGGTCGGCGCCCCCGGGCTTGCTACTCAGAGGTCGCCGGCTCAATGCCATCTTCCGGCACGGCGGATGAAATGATGGCGCAAGAATCTTGAATCCAACCCGCTGCCTCCGGTCCACCCGGCGGTGTGAATGTGCACACGCCACGGTCGACCGGCAGCGCGCACGTGCGGATGGTGGGGGTAGATGCGCGGGTGCTCTCACCTCTTCCCAAGATGTATGGCCAGAATGGAGGAGTAGGCGAAATACTCGCTCGAGCGAGACCCTTCTGGCAGCAGTGATGTGACTAGGCAATTGCAGGGCTGCACCTCTTACCGCATTTTTGTGTGGCTGGACTAGGCCGAGGCGCGGCAGCGATGTTGTCGACAGGCACCGCGCGGCGAGGAAATGAGCCCGAAGGACTGCCAGAATACGCAACACCGCCACCCATGAGCGGCAGCAATGGCGTATTGGAATCAACAATGTCGTGACGGTCGGGCGAATTATAAAAAAATCTCGATGAGCGCTCCTGTAACCACGCACGCTGGCTCACGTGAGGCCGTTGCGCGCGACCATTGCATTCCGGTCGATGGTCACGTCACGGCGTTTCTCCACCCTCTAGGGGAATTGTGCGAGGAGAAGGTAAACCTGTGCTCCGAGGAGCTGAACCCATGCCGCCACAACTCCAAGTGCATCCTCACTTCCGACGGGCCCAGGTGAGAGCAGGCGGCGGTCACTCGGCAGTTTCGTGACCGAACTTTTATCGTTACAACCGGAGCGCTTCATTTCTGACGGAGATGTCTGGGGCTGAATTCCAGAAAAGATTTCCTTCCCCCCCACCCCCGCCTCTTTCCCCTCACCCCTGCACTGTGGGGGGCAGCAAGAGCCGGGTGGGGTGGGGGGGGGGGGTGGTCATTGCGGTTATTATAATTATATTGTGATTATAATGCACCACGGCATTTACGCAGGGCTTGACGCAAAGGTTGCCCATTAGTGTGGCTGCATGCAATTCCTCAGACCCCAGGGGTACGTGGACAAAAGGACTGACTGATAAAGCTATGTCATTAAAAGCTGCATAATTACTCCAGCATGTTGAGTACAAGAGTTACGTTACAGCAGAACAGAGCACAGTGAGATCACAGGACACTAAACACTACAGTGTGTAACGACACGTCGCTTTATCGATTCATATTCATTGAACCTTAGGCCTGTGATAATTTATGGGGGGTTTTATATATGTTGTATGTAGTGGATTCACGTCGTCCGTTCAGTCACTAGAGATCACTACATTTTCACCACCCATCCCAACGCAATCCAGGTTCAACCATGCTTAGCTTCTGAGATATGACTATATTGGGGAAACTACAGTTGAATACAAATTCAGTGTATTTTTTTAATTATCTATCAGTATATATAAAAAGCTGTGACAGCTAGTCACACATTCCTGACAGAAGTGAAGTATGACATGCAAAGTTCACAACTCTTGTGAGCGGTGGTGGTGCTGCTGCTATATTTTGTGAAGAGGCGCCGATGCTCCCCGAATTCTCGTTACACGCCCTGGGTTAGAAATGAGCCTCAAAATCCCCTACCCCCCTTCCACGGCACTGGCCGCGCCTTTAAACGTGTGGCTAAATGATACGTCAAGCCCAGGTCCGTGGGGACCTTTTAGAAAGCATCGCCCAAGGCTGTCCCCACCGCTCGCGGTTGAGCGCAATTTATTTCCAAACGCGGCAAGCGCCGTGATGGACGCGAGCCTCCGGCCCATGTGACGACGCGGTGCGCCTGTGTGCCGACATCGAGAGGACCGCTAATTAACCTTTTTTTTCATTGCGGGCAGTACGTGGCAACAATTCACGGCTTTTGGGGATTTTATTTTTGTTTCTTTCGACACTGCGAATATCGAGTGAAGCCTGCAACCCGTCGCGCGTAAACACATCCTCCCCGCCACATCCTCTTTCTCATTCATCCGTTAACATCCCACTGCTGGGCAGAGACCTCCTCCGAAAGTCTTGCACTCTTCACAGTGTCTTTCCACCTCCATCCAGCGTGCTCCTCCAGATACCATCGTATTAGTCCAACAATTTTTATTTTCTGTGTCCCCCCCCGCCACCCACCCTCTTTCTCCTTGCCCTCTATCGTCCTCCATTCTGTTGTTAGTTTTTGTTACATAACCTAATCCATTTATCACGTACAAAGCAAAGCCGTTTTGGTTTTGCGGCGGTTTTTTGTGTCGTCAATTGATATTCTGAGTCCAGTCACCAATGACTGCACGAAAAAAAACATCCCATTACATCTGGTTTTGCAATTAATTTGGCCAAATTCTAGCTCTGACAATTAGAATATTGGGTTTTACCGTCGTGCACAACGAGCCCGTCTCGTTGTGCACGCCGACGGGGAAAAGCGCTGCCATCTATGCGGAGGGCCTGAGGCCAGTTGAGGAGGGCTTTCCAAGCAGTTCTGTGATATCTACTCCCACGAAGGATTGCGGTGCTTTGCGGGAGATCGGAAACGGTTGCTTAAGCCTCGCTGCACGACGCTGATACAACCCAGTCGATCGGACAAAAAAAAATAAAAATATGTGGAAACAAACTAGTCCCGTACGACAAAAATAACAACCGAAAGCAAAACTCTCCATCGTCTGGGGCAAAACGGGCAGGGCGGGACGGGCGGGACGGGACGGGACGGGACGGGGCGGGCGGCTGCGGCCGCGCGGGGCGTCGTGTGGGCAGCGAGCGTGCGTCTCCCCTCCGTCGCCGCAGGTGCGAGTGCGCCGCCGGGTTCGTGGGCGAGGACTGCGCCGTCGACCACGACGACTGCCAGGAGCACAAGTGCCAGAACGGCGCGCGCTGCATGGACGCGGTCGACGGCTACGCCTGCGTGTGCCCCGACGGGTTCAGGTGTTTACTGCCGCGCGCAGAGAGGCGCTCCTCGGCGTCGTCGCGGGTCGTTAGGTAGACCGCGAGGCCGTCGCCGATTTTTAAAAGCGGGTTTTTCTCGCGGCTTTGTGTTGTCGGGGAATAATGAGACCCTTGTGGCTGCTGCTGCTGCTGCTGCCGCTGCTGCCGCTGCTGCCGCTGCGAATGATTGATTGAGTAATTGATATTTTCTTTACCGGGGCCTGTTAACAGAAATAATCACACGCATCGGTGACACAAGTGTAGACTTTCCGAGTTAATATGGCATGTTACTCTGGAACGACATGGCAGGTATGTAGTGGCTTTCAGTGGGGTCAGAACCCCCGTATAGCATCAAACGGTTTCAGCGACAAAACGAAAAACCTGCGGTCTGCAGTCGCATGCTTCAACCACAAATACAACAACTCTGAGTCAAAATCAGGAAACAGTTGAAACGCATTCAGTCGATTTCTGTTTAGTTTTCTGTAATCCCGTTCATGACGCATGCCCCTTAATCCAATTCCTCCCATGCCCAGATCTTGTCGTAGGAGTCACTCTTACAAATACAACACGAGCTGCAGACGCATTGAGTGCTACCTGCACACACACACACACTACAACAACTCTGAGTCATCGGATGCGATTTCAGGTAGGCTCGCTCACAAGCCCGTATTTAGTGGAAACTCTTGGAGGTGGGCGTGAAGTGTTGGTTTATACATGCGTCTGTAATGGCTATGGGTGTGACACACAAAGCTCACGGACTGCTTTAAACGAACGTGAGAATACCGCCGAAGCAGCGGCATCACAAAAGCCGCAACTGTCCTCATCCGCAGCCCAGCGCTGCTGCTTTTGTGGCCAGGAAAGCGCCAACTCTCCACTGCTCAAGTACCGTGAATATTTTTTTGGATGGGGGGGGGGGAGGGAAAAAACCCTATTTTTGGCAGATTTTGATTCACAAAAACTCTGAGAATGTTTTAAATTGCCCAAATTTTCTCGATTTCAAAAGAAAAACGGTGGAATTTAATTCCACCGTGGTTATGGCCCAGTTGTTAACGACAACAAAAACTAGCCAAGTTCACCTTCATCACTCGTGGCACTCCACCCCCCCCACCCCTTCTCCCTACCCACAAGGAATGTAACAATTCACAATTTGATGACTTGTCAAGATTCGGGGGGCCCCAATCTGATTGGAGTAGCGATTCTTATTGTGCAATTTGTTATTTTTTGCCTTGTGAAAGTATTGTTTACCCTACTGGCACAGATGTAACATTTAGTTTTTTTTTTTACCTTGGATACATAGTACAATAATACATTCTCATACGCATGTGTGGTGAGTTGAAAGAATCGATATAAATTGATGAATCGATTGTTACATACCTAAACGTTTTTGGTAGGTTCAACCGCCATACACGGTGAGCCTGGAGCTCCTCCCCCTATCAGGCCCGCCCTCTTTTTCATAGCCACGCCCACTCAATCACTAGCCCCATTCACACGGTGAGAGTGGCCTTGCAAATGGCATAGGCCCCACCGAATGCACTCTTCACCCCCACCCGCTACTTAGGTAGTCCCCACCCATATTCTATATTGTGAGTCGAGCACGATGCCAGAAAATATTAGGGCCAGGACAAAAATCACGATTTCTCTAAATGCTTCCAGACAATGGAGACAACCTTCCTGAAGCCTGGATTACCCTGACCAAATTAAAACTTTTCGTAGCTTTACGCACAACTAACACCTGCCCATGCCCTACCGTGTGTATCACCCCCCCCCCACCTCCCTCCCCATCCTCGTCTTCCTCCTCCACCCGTCGCCCCGGCAGCGGGCCGCTGTGCGAGGTTCCGCCTCCCATGGTGTACCTGCAGACGAGCGCGTGCCAGTACCACGACTGCCAGAACGGCGGGCAGTGCGTGGAGGCGGGCGGCGAGCCCGAGTGCCAGTGCCTGCAGGGCTTTGTGGGGTCGCGCTGCGACAAGCTGACGAGCGTCAACTTCGTGCAGCGCGACTCCTACCTCCAGCTGCCGCCCATCAAGGGGCAGCCCAAGGCCAACATTAGCCTGCAGGTCACCGCGCGCACACGCGCGCACACACACGCGCAAGACGAAGATGACAGGAGGTTCCCACCCCCCACCCCCCCCCCCCCCCCCGTTCAACCCCCACCCCCATTGTTTAGCCATACAGACAGTTCTTAATTTCGGCCGGGTCTGTCCGGGTCACCGAGCCAGAAAACATTTCCGTCACAGTCATTACCCACAAAGCGCTTGCCACGAATGAACCACAATACCTTGCTGATATCGTCAAGGAGCGTAAACCTTAAGCCAGACTCCGGTCATCCTCACAGCAGTGGCTTTTGGCTAGTCATTGAACAAAGACGGTTCAGATTCGCTTCTGTGGCCGCCTGGAATGCTCTTCCTTCTGATATTAGGAAGCCACTGGAGCTGTGCCCTTTTAAATCTAAGTCAAAAACTAATTTCTTTAGAACCGGTTGTTTGTGTTTAGTTTGTTGTCCTTCCACTCCACCTCCGATTAGCATGGTTGACTACGTACGGTGCGAAAGACGTTCAACATACATCCATACATAGTAAATACACCACATCCGGTATACCTCTCCGTATGGCTGTGGCTACTGGTTACGTACCTGCTCCAGTCTACCAGTGACCCCGAAAGTACTGAGTGAGAAATTAAGCTGTACTTTTAGACCAGTGTAGTGGCTTAACTTTGATATGAATAGAACAAATTGGTAATCACCATCATTTGTTTTCTTCCGTTTGAACAGTTGAACCTTATGGCGGGACCCCGGGGTCCCGAATAAACGGAAGTCAAAATCGTAAATAATTCATTTGTTTTTGGCGACTCCGTCCCACCGCGCACATAAACGCCGCGACCCGCCTGGCACGGATCGTTCTGTTGCCGTGTCGTTCAAGCGCAGCAGCGAGGACGAATGTGCAGAAGAAACAAAACTTTGATTATCGCATCGTGTAGAGCTCGTCGAGATGAACAGATTGCCGTATCGTTCGCCTTCAACAGACATAAAATGACGTCGCAACGCAGTTCATGCGAGAGCCGGGGGCTTATAAGACCCCGGGGTCCGTCCATAAGGATCAGTTATGCTTTTTTTTTTTATAACTGTGCTGCGTGGTTCGGTATGGTCAAACAATGCCCATGAATCAGAGGAGACCGTCATAGCTGTAAGAGTAATTATGAAGAGTCTTATTATATTGTCATTAAAGCATTTTCATCTATATTGTACATCACAGTTGTTGAGCACAGACCCGAAATGCCAAGTGGCCAGCAGCAAAACAGGTGTAATAGATGGGAATTACTAATGTCTGTAATTTAGCTGGGTCAGTGTAAGAACTTGGAGAAATGAGACGACGATGGAAGGGAATTCCAAGGTGGAGAAGCGCAAGGGAAGAAGCAGACTGAGGCGTTATCGTGACCCGCACGTTCGATAATTATAAACGACCACGGTTGGCTAAGTGCAGCGCGAAAGAAGTTCAACATACTGTGCATAACCGTAAGCATGGCGAGCAAATTCGGTCCATGTTGCCTCCAGCGCCTTACGTCAGAGTGCCCCCTCCTGACGACAAGGCTCCTCGCGTCCGATCTGAGACTGCAGGTGGCCACGGACGAGGATAATGGGATGCTTCTGTACAATGGCGTGAGCGAGCACATCGCCGTGGAGATCTACCGCGGCCGCGTGCGTCTCAGCTACGACGCGGGCAGCTACCCCAACCCCACCATCTACAGGTGCTAGCAGCGGCCGCTGCTTTTTAATGAAACACAATTCCTTTTTTTTTTTGACAGTCAATCGAGCAGTTGTTTCCAAATGCGATTTAACATCCTTTGCAACGAAAAGGTCAAATTAGGGTTGCCACCTGTCCTGGTTTTTGCCAGGATCGTCATCTTTTTTAATTAGATGTCCTGGAAAATCTGACATAAATGGCCTAGTTTTTGCGAGTTGTGTAATCATACACCGCTAAAGACAATGCAGGTGCATGTGGTTCTCCCCTCTTCCGGTATTGTGAGAAATACTTCTTGCCATGATAAGTCCCGAGCTTTTGAACCACATAGGTGGCAACCCGGTCTACTGGTTTTTGCCAGCAATGCATGAGCCCTGACAGTGGCAGTACGAATGAATACGTACGGTGCGAAAGAAGCACGTGGGGCAATTGCTGTGGGCACTATTAGAATTTAGCATTGCCACCCCTCATGGGTACCCAACAATCTGCCACAAAACCCAGGCAAATGCCTACGTCGTCTACGCCTAAAGCCGGCACTGCCAGGGCCCCCCCAGCCAACCGCCAGTGCTCACCTTTAGCCCAGGACCTGAGCCCCACTTCATGGCCTGGTGATGTGGGCACCTCTGACCTGTGTGCCCACGTGCAGTATCTTGGCTCTCGAGTGTGTAATTGCCTGCATGCTCGATAGCTACAGTGCTGAAGAGGGGCAAAGCCAAGATTCTGTCTGAGGAAATGTTTTTTTAGATTTCACGGACGGCTTTTGGAGAGAGGGACGGATGGTGGATTTAGGAACATAATCAAAATGCGGCGGGTGCATGGGAACTGCTATCGGATTTGTGGAACGGGTGAAATCACCTGCAAAGTGAGGTCACCAGAGCATCCTTAAACTTGATCTGAAAAATGTTACTCTGCTGTAAGCGAGGCTGGAGAAAGTTCTATGGCATCCTACAGCAGGCCTCGTCCCTTTCACTGTTTTTTGAGACTGTGCTCTTTACCCATTAAAGAATTCCCCTGATTCCCAGCCTACGCTGCTTCTCTGAGAACTTGGAAATTGTCTTCCGAGTAAAAGTGAGAGGCTTTTTCTTTGTTTTCAGTCCCCAGCACCATCCATGTTTTTCCTTTAAACAAAGGGGAAGTCTGCCTCTTACATTCCTTTCTGTTTTTTGAGTAATGAGCTTCTGCTGAAGCGATGTAAATTATAAATAAAAAAAATTCCATTCGCTCGTTTTCCATTAATGCCAGTGCCGGCTAAACCGCGCCACTATTTGCCACCGCATCTCAACGTTGGCCATTACTGTATTCAGGTTATGCTGCGGGGTTTTTTTTTTAATGACAACGCTAATAGCAGGAAATGCAGCAAAGCCAAGAAGGGGTTCTGTTTTCCTTGAAATAAACTTAAACTTCGCTTTAAATGTCAAACTTTGAAAATATTTGTTTTGTATACAAAATGAGAAGAGATGTTTTTCAAAGCATATAATAATGGTATTTATCATTTTTATTGGTATTAGCAGATGTTTTGTTATTGTTATATATAAATACACATACCATAATAAAAACATTACATAAATAGGATGTGCCTAAAACAATGATTTCTGCAAGCTGTGCTTCTTATGGTGCCTTCGACAATTATCTTGCGTTTTGACATTTTGACATTTGCCATTCTAAACTGCCCCCGAAGAAATAGATGAGAGATTAAGAAGCAGCCTGCATTGTGTCAAAGCAATTTCACAGTGGTCCAAGGAGGCGTTCCACTTAACGGGGTGACGATGGCCATAGTTACCTCATGCAAAAACAAAACTCCAACTAAAAGACAGGGAAATTAAGGACATAGCAACAGCAGTGCATATACAGCGTTTACATTGTTGGGTCCACTTGCAGTGGACGTTCGTGTTCGTATGGTTTGCAAAAAACATCTATATAGGATTTTACAAGCGCAAGTTGGCGATCCCATTGATTCCTTGATGCTTGATGTGGCATGGAGTTGATAGCAGAGATATCACCAGGATAAGATCGTTTGGGGTTATGATTGAGAAAATGTTCTGATGTTTGAAGTGCATTTCCACAGTCACACAATTAGGATTTTTTTCTCAGCCCCCATTTATGGAGGAGCTGTGCGCAAACGGCCACGGGATGTGCAGATGCGGTTCAGCGTTGTGCCATATTTTCTGTGGGAGTGTAAAGCCTCTGGGTTCTTCTTTGGTTGGGTTATTTTTGCACTCAAATATTGCAACAGAAATGTGGTGGCATGACAAAACAATTATTTGTGCCCAATGTCTATTTAAGTGAGCTCATCCCGGCCAAATCTGCAAAGCCTTTGAATTGACTTTCAATATTTATCAAACCTCTCCGTTTCAATTGAAATACAAAGTAAACATATTTGGCGGTGACATGACAGCCAGAGGAGAGAACACATCGAAGAGTTCGACCGCAGCAGAGGTGGAGCGGTGAGATCGGTCCACGGGCAGGATCGAGGTGGATAATGCAGCAGCACTGGACCACAACGACTTCAGGATGGGAGGCCTTTATCCAGCAGTAGATTGACAATGGATGATGATGATGATGAATGGGGGGTGTAGGGTAGAAGTGGAGGCTGGAGGTGAAGGAATGGCAGGCACTGCGAGCAGGGTTAGCATTAAGACCGCTGGTGCGAGAGGCGGAGAGGGATTTGGAGAGAGAGCCTCCATCCAGCAGCGGATTGACCGATATCTATACGTTATTTTTGTTGAAATATCGACCGTTTCCCGATTAGCTGCGTGAAATGTGAAAGTGGACCTGGTGGCAATGCAAGCGCTAGAATGTGAGAATCCTCTGTACGAAAATGTGATGAGTATCTCGCAAACACACGGGATTTTCTTCTGACTGATAACTACAGAGACGACGACTTCTGCAACACAATGCCAGGAAAAATTAGGCGCGAGCCATACGCTGCACTCTCGCGTTCAAGCCTTAAGCTTTAATCCTCCCTGAATGAGAAAATGCACTCTGTTGAGCGCTTTTGTCTGTTGGAGAACCCTGTTGCTACTCACGACGGGACAAACACAAGCTGGCGTGGAATAATGATGCTTTATTTCCTCGTGAAAAAAGTCACCTGGAATTTGTAACAAAAGCTGAATTTAAGCACGAGCGAATACGAGGCCTGCCTTTGTAGCCCTCAAATATCGCGATGATGTATGAAACAGGAAGTGAGGAAAAGGAAAAGCTACCCTAAAATATCGTAATTTTAGGATTGCTCAGATTTTTTTCCCCCCATAAATCACCAAAAAAACTAAAGTATTTATGTTTTCCAAAATGGGATGGTTTGCATTTTCTGTACATGCAGAGTTCAATTCCAGCGATTCCGGGCCACTGATGGATTGCAAGCCCAGAACTCAGTTTTTTAGCAAATGAAATCAGTGCCCGTAATGCGATCTCTTGCTGCTGCTGCTGCTGCCGCCGCCACTGCTTTAGCATGGAGTGGCCAAACAATAAAACACAAAGGAGGACACTCATCGGTGTTTTGGTGAAAGCCGTCCGGTACGGCACCTGGCCAGGACACCGTGAAAGCGCAAAGTGCAGGCTTAGACAGGTACACAATGCAAGGCCTGAGGATTTACATCCACAAAAGAAGTAAAAAAAAAACGCAGCTTTACTCGAAGCGGTGACCGTTTTTGAGTGTTTGGCAATGTATCACTTAGTCCACACTCGCTGGGTTATTGTATACATTTTTACAAATGCTGATTCAATATTGACAAACACTCTCTTCGAGCGTCTTTAAAAGTCTATTCTTAACCTGAAAATGGAAAGCAAAATTATGACATTGACTCTGTGTCTCGTTCAAAGAGGAAAATGGCTTTTTTAACAACGTATCTATCAATCTTTTCTACCATCTATATATAGCATGAATGAAACATATACGTAATTGGTGAATGAAAGTTGTTGGCAGGTGAAACGATACTTGCCAGCTACCTTTAATGTGTGTTATATAAACAAGCCAAACAGGGAAAGCACCAGAGATTACAGGCACCATGGAAATGGAGCGATGAATTCAGCTCTTTGCAAGTGCTAGGCGTACATATGTTACATCACAGGACCGTGAGAGATGGTGCTAACTTGGGGAGGCATTCATCCAGCAGCGGATTGATCGTGACTCGTGATGATGCTGCGCTCCTCCGCTTAAGCATGGCTGACTATGTACGGTGCAAAAGAAGTTCAACATACATAAGTACGTACGCGTGGAAAGCAGATGTTTGATTCAAGCTGTTGCCGTGTGTACCAGCCTAGAGACGATAAACGACGGGGAGTTCCACACCGTGGAGATCGTCACGCTGGAACAGATGGTGAACCTGTCCATCGATGGAGGCTCCCCCAAAACCATGATCAAACTGGGCAAGCCTGCCTCCCTCACCCTGGAGTTGCCCCTGTACATTGGTGGTGAGTAAAGACCACAATACAAAATTCATTTGAAATACATTAATTGTCGAATTAAATTTGCATAATAAAGGGTGGGGCTTGTTTGGGTTAGATCGCGTAAATAGATCACGTAACTATTTACACGATCGAACCCCCCATAAAACGACATTTATTATGGATAATATTGTTCGCGAAAGCCTTTGTGTTAAACTGACTTAAGTTTGGTTCTGCACTTTAAGTTGGAAAAATCCCCATGTCCGCGAAATTTAAAATATCGGATAGAATGTCAGGTGATGAACTTTACTCACGATGGTAGAGCGGGTAGGAAAGTATTGCCCTTAGTGTGTAGATCAATGGTCACTTGGAGGGACATCAGAAGTTGTTGTGATATTCCCTCTATAACATGAGGAAAGTTCTCTCCGAGAGCTCCAAATGTATACCTTGTTTTATGAGATGCTAGCGCAATTGGGATAATACTGGGGAAAAGGCCAAAATAATGTAAATGTTTTTTTCTAAATAGGAGCGAATTCTACATTCCTATAGCGGGGGCACATTTATCTGTAGGGCAACCAGCATTGACTTGCCCACGAAGCGATACTGATTTGATCTCACAACCTTGCGATTGCGAGCAGCTCACTGTACTGAACCACCCGGCCGGATGTCTGATGATATGCTGGTATGGAATATAAAATTAATAAAAATTCCTTTATAACTACGAGGGGTTGTTTCGGCACAATGAAAGCATCTCGAGAAGGGAATATTAACTTCTAATAACAAAACATGGTAAACATCCACTCGCAAATACGACGGGCGCTTTTTGGTTCCACGGTATTGCCACAACGAGGAGGACCCACGCCCCCCCCCCCCCCCCCGCGCGTGATCACCGCACGGCGGCTCCCTCTCTTCCCACCCCCTCCGGGCAGGCATGCCCACGGACGTGAACAGCGCGGCGCTCAAGCAGATGCACGACCGCAACGGCATGGGCTTCCACGGCTGCATCCGCGACCTCTACATCAACGACGAGCTGCAGGACCTGCGCGCGCCAGGCCGCCCGCCCGCCGGCATCCTGCCCGGCTGCGCGCCGTGCCGCCAGCAGGGCGCGTGCGTCCACGGCGCCTGCCGCGCCGCCGGGCCCTCGGGGCACACGTGCGAGTGCGAGGCCGGGTGGACGGGCGCCCAGTGCGACCAGCGCTCCGGCGACCCCTGCCAGGCCAACAAGTACGGAGATGCCGCCGCCGCCGCCGCCGTGGCATTTTTGCCGTTTGCGTCCCGGGTGGGCGTTGCGTGAAGAGAGCCGTCGCGTCTGTCGTGGGCGCTTGTTTTGACCGTACTTCAGAGGCGACGGCAGCGCGCCGAGACACGCACCGCCGGCGACCCGAGTTGAATTCTCCCGCGTGAACCGGTCCTGGGCCTTGCCGCCTACGTCGGCTCGGCCTTAAATAAGCACTGGGGAGACAATCGCGGCCAGGTGTGGTTCTGGCCACCCATCCCGTCGCGTGCCTTGTTGGCCTTCGTAGGCGCTCGCTAACAATACTTGCTCCAACAGTCTGTTAAGGCTATACGGCGGATATTTGTCTTTGGTCTTGCTTTATCACACTGGCCGGTGCGGGGTCCCAGAACTCGTTCAGATACGACTCACCACTGATGTTAGGCTTGGCAAAGTATATTCGGTTGCTGGGTTCATAGTTCAGCATGCTCACCACTAATTCCCCAAATAATATCAGTAAGAATAATTTACACTGGAATTCTAATATTGCCTATTATCAGATATCCCAATATACGATTAAACTTGTCAGTCTCAGAAGCTGGATAGTGACTGGATGGGCAACCATAAAGCAGGTGTTGTAGACTGCTGCATGGATACATAAAAAGCAGGGAATAGCTTAACAGATATCCATTGTTCTGTACAATGCTCCAACATCTATGCTCACTGCCTTCACCACAGCTCACAGACCAGCATAGCAAAGCATCATCAAATGATCACCACGACCCACACAGCATGGGGAGGGTCTCATCCAGCAGTGGATCGACAAAAGCGCTGTGCATGCACTTTAGTAATATAATTGCGGCTGTAAACGTTCATCATAGCAATCAGGGCCACTATTATTATTATTATTCTTGTATGTACATATGTTGAAGTTCTCTCGCACCGTACGTAGCCAACCGTGCTAATCGGAGGTGCAGGACATCACCTTGTCATCATCTTCACGGTTATCCCCGCCTCCCCCCCCCCCCCCCCCACCCCCACCAGGTGCGTGCACGGTGCGTGCATCGCGCTCGACGCGTTCTCCTACAGCTGCCGCTGCGCCGATGGCTTCGTGGGCACGCTGTGCGACGAGGAGCAGCGCGAGCTCTTCAACCCGTGCCGCGGCGTGCGCTGCAAGCACGGCACGTGTCGCATCTCGGGCGCTGGCAAGCCGTTCTGCGAGTGCAGCCCCGGCTACACCGGGGACAACTGTGACAGGGGTGAGGAGCGGCGTGCGAGCGCCGTCGAGGAGACCTCTTTGCGGGGGCCCGCGCGAGCGTCGGCGGGGGAGGCGGGCGACGCTATTTTTCAGTCTTGGGAATAATATTTACGATTGGGCTCAGCAGATGGATTGATGACAATGAATGAGCGACATAAGAACGACATGCCTAGAGAAGAATGGTTATTCGTACAGTGATCACCAACATGCTCCCAACATAGACTATGTATCCATAAGAGTTGTTTTGGGTTAGATCGCGTAAATGTATAAATGCGTCGTTAAAACCCGCCACCACTCGACACGGCCAACTAGTACGGGTTGTCACGTAAACAGAACATGCCAAGATATTTACGCGATCTAACCCAAAAAAACAAACTCTTATGGATGATATTGGTCGCGAAAGCCTACGTGTTGAATAGACTATGTATGTAGGAATTATTTCGTACCATACGTTGTTGACCGTGCTCATCGAAGGTGTGGGGGAAGGACAACAAACTAAACACAAAAATCAGTTCTAAAGAAGTGAGTTTTCAATTTGGATTTAAAAGTGCATAGCTCCAGTGGCTTCCTAAAGGAAAGGTATAGACCGAAGATGGCGTCCACTGCAGAGATGGAGTGACGAAATCAGCTCCTGTCCAGGTGATAGATGGATGTATGTACCGCGGGACTATTAGAGATGGCTACTGCTTGGGGAAGCCGTCATCCACCATTGATGACGATGAGATGTGTACAGAAACATGCTGCTCTGGTTGCAGCAATAATACAAAACCCCTCCCTCCCCTGACACAGCCAGGAATCCACACGTCCACTATTCCCGGGGTAACCCGGTCCCTTGGGTTGTTAGGGCACTGCCGCTCCTCCAGGTGTGATTTCTCAGTCGCTGGGGAAACCCGGCACGTCGATCACGGCATGGTTTTCCACACCGTCTCGCTCGTCACCTGAGCCTCGTACGTCGGCCTCGCACCTTCGTGGCAAAGGGGTCTGCGCTTCGCGCGAGATTCAGATGCAGTTGGAAAGGTCGCCAAGACCTTCACCCACCAGCCCTCATTATAATCTCCAAAAATACATTTCACGGCTCTGCCACCGCGTGCGTGAGTGCGCTCGCTCGCCCCGCCGCTTTAAATTAATGTGCGGTCGACAATTTAACCGTTGCCCGCTGTCGTTAGGCTAATGACAATTTATAGTCGGCGGCAAAAAACTGCGGAAAGCAAATCACCTGCCCCTAATTTGTTTTAACGCTCCTGTTTGTTTTACCTACCCCCGCGCCATCCCCCCCCCCCCTCCCCTTACGTGGTCTGGACCACCTTCCTCCCCCCCCCCCGGCCTGCCCGCGTGCCCCCCGCCACCGTTTCCCACAGAAGTGTCGTGCCGCGGCGAGCGCGTGCTGGGCAGGCTGCAGAAGCAGCGCGGCTACGCCGCGTGCCAGAGCGTGCAGGAGGTGTCGCGCGTCGACTGCAAGGGCAGCTGCGAGGGCACGGGCGGAGGCGGCGGAGGCGGTGGTGGCGGTCAGTGCTGCGCAGCGCTACGCACGAAGCGCCGCCGCTACGCCTTCGAGTGCACCGACGGCTCCTCCTTCTTCGAGGAGGTGGAGAAGGTGGTTAAGTGCGGCTGTGGGCGCTGCCACCCATAAATAAGATGGGGCCGATGGCTCCGCGCAGTTCCTACATCACCTCCCCCCCCCACCCCACCCCACAATCGTCCGTAAACGAGCGATTGCACATTTATACCCCACCACCGCACCGACCGACCTGTTCATTCTCTTATTCCATTCGCCTTCGAGAGGTGAGTCTAGGCGCCTTCAAAGCGACGCCCAGCAACAATGCAAGGACAAACGAGTACTAGGACTTATTGCACGGAACGACATGCCGAGTTGTTTCGTGATGAATGCCAGCGGGGGGGGCGGTCGTGGCTCTCCAGCAGTGCCTGCGTAGAACTTGCAGGGCTCCGTAAACAAACAAAAAAGACCACAGAGAGGTAAACGGCAGGTGGATATCTGTAGAGGTAAACGGCAGGTGGATATCTGTAGAGGTAAACGACAGGTGGATATCTGTAGAGGTAAACGACAGGTGGATATCTGTAGAGGTAAACGGCAGGTGGCTATCTGTAGAGGTAAACGGAGTGCACGCCACAAGTCGGTTCATGTGTGAATGGGAGAACCTTTACAGGAGGGTGCAGAAGGCCCAGTTTCTAACAAGCACACTTTCGTACGACTTTGGGACGAGGAGGAACACATTTAAAAGGTGTTCACGGTAGAACTACAGTCGTTGTGAAACACGGGGTGCACGTTCACGTACCTATATGCGCCCTGTACATTTATTCCTCGGTGATTTTTTTATTATTATTCCACAGTTGCCCAATCAGAATCACATTTCTCTTGGCCGAACGGTTATTTTTTTTTTGCTTCAACGTGGTTCAATAGGGGGGGGGGGGGGGGGAGAACCTTCCAATCATGACATGGGGGGGGAGGCGCACACAGTCTTGCCTTGAAGTCGCCGCCACGTCGCTTCGCGGAAGCAGCTTGAGGCTCTGCCGAAATTGAGGATCCGCTCGCCTCTCCGCATCAAATCCCCGTCCGCCCGAAGCTTCCCCTTCTTCCCTCCCGACCCCACCACCGCTTCAGCGCCTGCGCGTGTCTACCGACGAGCAGAACAACTTCCCATGCGCGAGACATCACCGCCACCTCCACGCCCCCCGGGGCCTATCTGACCGCCCCACGGATTTACGAAGAGGAAAGCCAATGAGGAAAGCCGCCTCACGGACTTCTTAAAAAACTGATGTTACTACAGAGGAATAATAATGATGATACATTAGACAATGGAGTTTGGTTGTTTTTTTTTCCCACTCCTTCACTGTTTGTCTGCACCGCTATCCGTAGAAGACTTCAAGACTCTTCGTTCCTGCAACGAGTCGTCAACTCCGGATGTTAGAGTTCCGCTTGAAGTGTGTGGGGGTGGGGGGGCATTACGAGTGAAGAAGTGCGAGATGACTTCAGAAGAAACGGCCTCGGTAACCTCTCGCTTTTGCCTGTTTCGTCTTGAGTTTTACGACTTTCCACCAGGTGGTTTGTGGGGATTTTGTAATGACTTAATTGTGAGTGCAAACATCGGAGCGTTTAAACAGACCGTCTGAACGACACGTAACTGCTGTCTGTAGTTTTGACCCGAAATTAGTGAAATACTGTTTAACCTGTGTAAATCAAATGTTTCTGTAACTTTTTTTTTACTGAAATAGGTTTTTTTTTTGGTGTGTGTGCAGTGCGGTATTGACTCTCCAGTATTTGTTTGGATTTGGTTTGAGAAAAAAATAAACAGATGCTTACTTTTAACCAACAGGCGCATCGGATACCCAACGAGAAACCCCAACCCGCTGTCCTTTTGACAATATTCTTGCAGATATAACGACTCTCGCCGAACTTCATTTGGTTCCTGTCGCCAGCGTATACTTTTGCTCAAGTCAAATGCATTCGTTGTTGTTTATTTGATTAATAGTGATAACAAACAAAAAAAACTCTAGAAGACACGCACTAATGCAGTCACTTGCAAATGTACTGCATTTGGGTATACCGCGAGAGCTAACACCATTAACGGCTTCTGTCTGGCAGAGAGAGGAAAAAAAAGAAAAGGCTTGAAACGTTTAATATATTATTTATAATTTGTTTCTGTATTTTTGTATAGCAGAATTGTAACAGGATAAGGCTATCGATAAAGGTATAATAGTACTAACAACTTAAACAATTTACGTATTATTAAATGTCTTTTTTTGTCTAATTAGCCCAACAGACTTAGTTTTCCTTTTTTAAATTTTAAAGTGACCGGGCGCGAGGCATCACGAGGTGGACAATTTGGACCAAAACAAACCCTAAATAATGAAAGAAGATCCAAACATTTATTAAACCAAGCACATCATTTTCATTTCTTTCAACCCCGACATAAAGATTGAGCTGTTTAAGTAAACACAAGTGGTTGATTCTATAGACGAGCGCAGAACGCTTCTGGGAATTGGGGGCCCACAAACGCCTCTGAAATTAGCAGGGTTTGTGATATATCAGGGTAAAGGATGGCAAATAACAACCCCATTCAGCACTTGATTTTACTGTGGCCAAGTCCACTTTACCCACGTCAACCCATGTGAATATTCACAAAAATTATAAGGGTACTCTGGAAGTGCAGCTTAACGAACCATGGTCAAAATAGATATACGTTATTTAATGAATGAATGTCATCGGACCTTCAGCGATTAAGTTAGGAGAAAACCCCCCAATTAAGCTTTCCAGCACCTTGTAATTTGAGAGGAGAGACACAAGAAGCACCCAGTGTTGTAGCCGTCCAGAGTAACGACTGCTATAGGAAATGTTCCAATGCCTTTGGCATATTGTCCGGGTAGGGGAATTCAAGAGGTAAAGGTGCACCCTTACAGTTGCTTGCTCATGCCACTGCTGATGAGGCGGGAAGGACCTCAACTAGCCGGAACTCCAGATAGCTCCTCCAGACTGTATCTTGACCTAACTCTTCCACGCTGGACGAATTGTCAGGGTGCAAATTAACCAGGGGGAGGTATGTGCCCTCTGTCCCATACAGTATATACATGCATACATCGATGGCCACGTATTTTTTTTGTTCCAGTAGAAGGAAGAACGGTGGTATAAAATGTCATCGTGGGAATTCAGACGTCCCAAGAAAGCTGGCCGGGTGTGGATATGTGCACTTTGTTCTGCTGCCACTGATGAAGGTGCATGTACCACGTGTGGGAGTGTTGTGCAGAGCCACCATAGGCATCAACATATACAGCAACTCAAGTTGGGGCGATTAGGTTACATTCATATTATGAACAATAACGACAAATACATCTACAGTGGGATCCAGATTCCCATGTTGACAATGTACATTCTGCCAGATTTTCAAAAACAAGTACCGATGCCAAAGCAATGCGTTTTGGCCTAGTCATGAAGAGAGGGATTTGGACGACTAACTTAAGATTCAAAATATGCCAAGACATCTTACTAAAACGGTGGTTTTAGAATTTTTAGAGACCCGTATTGGACCCAAAAATTGTGGACCCCAGCCATTGCATACGAACGCACAATGCAAACAACATACACATCAACAAACATACAATAAAATGCATATGTAAACAACATTATTCCATGTCCCTGTACATACAGTGTAAATACATTGTGTGTACAATTCATGCCTCTGTTGGCTGCTACGTCGCGAATTTAACACTTTCACATACATAATTTGTGGCAAAGAAAAAAATCAAATTTTCTGTGATGTTAATGCGATATCTGGAGTCAGAGGAAACACCCACAGAATGTGTTTGAGAAAAAAAATCAATATCATTTCATACCTGTCATATAAATCACAGCAGTCGGTCCACCACAGTGGACACGATGCATGAGAGGAGTTAAAAAATAAATGTTTAACCTAAAAATCGACTCTCGGCAAAATTCATTCCCCTGCCACCTAAGACTCTGTGGGTCCCACGGGACACCCCTGCTGCCTACCCGCCACGTGGGCCACATGTGACCGTACATTTTGCCGATTGATAAATGTGCCCGCCCGCCTGCCCCCGTGGCTTCCACTGGTTTTGAGTGGCTCTGACAGTGGCTCGATGCACGTCTGCCCGCTGTGTTAACAACTTTGCCCATGCTGTGCTTTCAAGCCAGATCAGTGGAAGTCATTTAGAGCTGTTATAGCCTGGGTGGGTAGCAGAGCGATGGGGAAAGGGGGGGGGGGGGGCGAAAATAATAAATAAATACGTACACACACATTCGAAAAACCTGGCCTCAATAAGTTGCTGCGGTTTATAAACCAGAAATTGCGCCGTTTAGATCTCACTGAAAGTAACACATGATGTAGTGTGTAATGTATACCGACGTGGAGTTGTATGATAGCGGTTGTTATGCGTTATTTTTCTCTTTTTTCTACATAATTACAATGCTATATTAAAAAAGAACAAACTATATAAAATGTAATATTAACAATACTGTATAGCAACAAATGCTTGTTTTTGGGGGGTTAGTTGTAACAATCTGGAAGGCGAACGTCGGTTGGTTTAATTTGAGCGCATCTGGAGTGATCACAAATTTGTGTTATGTCGCTCGCGATGTAAAATTGTATTCAATGTACCCAGCGGTTGTTTCAAGTCTTCTTTAATAAAAATGTACACAATAAAATGTTTTTTTAGGCAAACATGCTATCTCCCCTCACCGTCTGGAACTGCAACCCCTCGCTAGCTTTACATCATCATCAATCAGAAGCCACGATCCATCCACCCCTCCATGAAGGGCTCACCCCAAGCTGTCACCATCTCTCATTGTACCGTGATGCAATAATTCGAGCTGACTTTGCCGCTCCCGTCTCTGTGGCAGATGCTCGCTGTATGTATGTTGACTTCTTTCACACGACGTAGCCAATCGTGATAATCGGAGGTGCGGGGGGGAAAGACAACAATCGAAACATAAAAAGCAGTTCTAAAGAAATTAGTTTTCAATCTAGATTGAAAAGTGCATAGTTCCAGTGGCTTCCTAATATCGGAAGGAAGAGCATTCCAGACGGCCGAAGAAGCGCATCTGAACGCGCGCGGTGCAGTGACCGTCTTTGTTCGATGGCTATGCAAAAACCGCTGATGAGAATGACTGGAGATCGCGTGATGGTTTATGTTCCTTGAGATCAGCAAGGTATTGTGATTCATTTGTGGCAAGCACTTTGCGTGTAATGAGTGTGACCTCTCTGGTGTTGTGACCTTCTTTGGCTGCCACTCCTTTGTTAATCTCGACCGCTAGCCATCATCCCTCTAAGCAAAGTGACCTTCCAAAAACTCAGCTACTTTTCCTCACAGTCAACACGATTTATTTAAATTGTTACCCGATCCTCCAGGGTTTTTTTTCTCTCTCACTGAAATTCTAAGCATGCATCTCCCCCTGCTTATTTGTGCAATTTAAATACTGTGTTCTATTTTCTTTTGTCTGTCAGTGTTTCTGTTCCATGTCGTAACAGGTTAAAAAGACCGATTTAAAACGTTCTGCAGTAGACACATTTGTATGTTGCCTTTCATGAGTATGTTCAATTTTCCAAAAGCACTCTTCCAATGTACTCTTATCTACTTTATTTCATCATGTTGATCCAGTCTACCTTCAATAACCCTAGGTATCCCCTTTCAATATCCCTAGGTATGCATGCTCCAATGTGTTTCATAATTATACATCTTCACTTGCTGAACAAATCAGCTGTACACGACGTTTGCTTTGCGAATACTATACAGTATTTATCTTGAGTCCAACTTGCGGACAACTTTATTAAGTCGTTCATTCAATGTGTCGTGTACATTAACTTTTGGTTGTTCTACCAACCTGCCACCTGCTCATCTGAGATGGCATCATGCCTAGAATTTGTAGACATATTAGTCCGTAAAAAATATGCAGTCATCTAAGTGTTAATAAATAAAATCCAAAATAAATGTATTTAGAAATAATAAAAGCCGTTTACAAAAAATGGTACAGCTACGCTAAGATCTAGATTGAAAAGTGCATAGTTCCAGTGGCTTCCTAATATCGGAAGGAAGAGCATTCCAGACGGCCGAAGAAGCGCATCTGAACGCGCGCGATGCAGTTACAGTCTTTGTTCGATGGCTATGCAAAAACCGCTGGAGTAACCAAATACACATTACGAGGGGAAATGTTTTCTTTGCGAAAGTTGGATTGGAGAAATAGAGGCATAGACATTCATTGAAAACATTAATCATCTCTGGCTCTTAACCACTTCGAATGTTGCACTGCACTGAACTGTAAAGTCGTTTTTGAATTCAAATTCGGCATTAGATTTGTGCTACATGTATTCCAAGTGTCCCTGAAGAGCAACACATCTTTTGACACATTGACAATTACTGCTTGGAATTTCAACATTATGAGCCCAAGGTCTGTATATTGTCTGGGGAGGCTTTGGTGTTGATGGAATGAGGAATTTTGTTACAGGTCTCCCTGAGAAAGTCTTTACCGCAATTGACTTTTTTAATCATTCAATCCCTTATGTAACCAAGAGAGCCCGCTGAGTCTAAAGATCGTGTTTTTAAAATGGAGATCCAGATTTAGAAACGAGAATAGCCAAAAAATAACGATGCAATGCTCCATAACAACGACATACAGGCACAGGATATCAAGAGCCATGAACTCCTCAGCCGTGGCAGATCACTGTTATAATTCAGTAGGCTCACATGACATTGACTTCTCCAAGACGGAGGCTCTCTGCAAGCCATCCGGCTACCATGAGAGATTCGTTCATGAGGCCATCCACATATACAAACACAGAGACAATTTCAACCGAGAAGATGATTCTGGCTTAGTAACCATTGGAAAGATGTTATAAACCATTTCAGTTCTTAATTGATTGTATTTTGCGGTGACCTTCAGACCGCAGTCCATTCGCTGGCATTGCCTCTTAATACCTCTCACACCACGGTTAATGGTATGGCTTATAACATGTGGTATGGTAGTAAATAGTATAACATTGTAATGTTTAACATAATTCATAAGGCAATATAAAGCATCGTAATTGCATAGTGAATATACAGCAGTGTGGTACATAGCCGGGTTCATAGAATAAGACATAGTGTAATGTTACAAGTCTAATATTTTATAGTCTAAAGTATAGGGCAGTGTAAAGTAACGCATTGTATCATTCAAAGGTGGAATTTGTCTATAGATATGATGTTATACCATGTAGTTTAGATTGGAAGGTATAATATTGTATAGTAGTCCAGTTTATAGCATAGTCATAATGCAACACAGGACACAGCAGCGCACCTTGGCTGTTTTTCTTCTTTGTCCGTGTTCCTAGCCCCCCCTCCTCCGCTCCGGTGGGGCTGTAACATGCAAATTCATGTTAACTCCGCCCACACAGCTTAAAAGACGCGGTCCTCGCTTGACACTGTTCATTCAAGCTCTGTCTTCTGGACAAACCTGTCTCTTCACCTGAAGAAGGCCACTTGTGTTGTGGCCGAAACGTCGTGAGAATTTTATTTAATTGCTTTATTTGTATTATTTTATTTCTCATTATACGTGACTTTACCGAAAGAACCAAGAAGATGAATCCGTGCAGTCACGAAAGCTTTAAATCGAAAAATAAAATGCGAAAACATGAAGGAATAGGATCTCTCAACACGGTCGGCCCACTTTGAAGTAATGTACGAACCTGAACACCTGGGTTCGATTCCCGGCCACGGCTAACACCAGTGGCGAGTGAATTTTGGCGGCAGTGTGGTGCAGTGGGAACATCCGTGCCTCAAAGCGAGAATATACTGCCTTCGATTCCCGACTCGGCCGCCTTTCTGCGTGGAGTTTGTATGTTCCCTCCCCCTGTTGAGCATGGATTTCCTCCGGGTTCTCTCGTTTCCTCCTATAGATAATATAAATGGAACTGGTATTGGCCAAACATTCCAATGCTGAACATCACTCCATTGGGATTACACGCAGTAGCAACACCGCCCCCTACTGCTAAAACTTGGCAGGACCCTCCTGAAAAAAAAGAGTTAAGGCTCGGTGAGGCTTTTTTTGGTAAACAAGCAGTCCACTACAGATACTGGACACACATTTGACTTGATCCTGGACTCACCAACTCGCTCCGAGCTACGTCGTGATGAAGTATCAACCACAATCATTATAAGGTCGCCCTCGTTACACACAAAGTGCTTTCCACAAATGAACCACAACACCATCGTGCTGATCTCGTCAAGGGGCATACATCGTCACGCCAACTCCCGTTATTCTCCCAGCAGCGGCTTTTGGCTGGCCACCGAACAAATACGGTCACCGCATCGCACGCTTTCAGATGCGCTTCCGTGGCCGTCTGGAACGCTCTTCTGATGCTAGGAAGCCACGGGAGCTATGTACTTTTAAATCTAGATTTTAAACTAATTTCGTTATCACTGCTTTTCGTTTAGTGTCATGTCCTATCCCACGCACCTCCGACTAGCACCGTTGGCTACGTGCGGTGCGAACATACATACAACATCCAGCAGCGGATTAACAAACAGCTGAGCATTACTATTGGTATCACGATTTAACTGGTTAAAAAAGGGGGTGGGGTGGGGACTGCGCGTGTGGCGTCGCTCTCTACGCGACGAGATGACGGTGTCTCATTATCTCACTTGATCGGATTATGTAATTAAGCAAGCCGCGTCTCCACAATGTTGAGTACAACTTCACGTGGCAGGCGAATTACTTGCGCGCGCACACGAGACTGAGAGAGCAACACTTACTCATTGCGCGCGTGTATGGCATTTGCCCTGATCAGTCTCGAAAGAAGGATAAGTGCTGTTAGTCGAGGGTTAATTGTTGGAATGATTCCTGTTCCCTCTCTCATCGTCTCCCCGTGTCCATCTCACCGCACTGTTGTTACGGCTGGGTTTGACGGTGGCTGTGGATGAAGGTGATAGTGGCATTGGGGAGAGAGTGGAGATAGATCGTGGGTAGTCCATGGGTCAAAGCAAAAATTGACACCACTTAAGGTCGCAAAACTTGAGTTGCACTGGTGTATTTATACGGCTAATACGACTGGATTATTTTCTAACCTACAGATTTCCGATGTGTATCACACAATTCACTGCTGTCGGCCACATACTGAAATGTAAACCAATCAAGTTATTGCCACCTCATGTTGCACCTCCAAGTAAAGTATATGGCCTGGACCCACATGGAAAGAGGTGGAGAGATGATGTACCGTGGTTGGCATGGACCTGGTGCAGGGAATTTAACGGGGTTCTCCCCAGTCCAATTTCCACCCGCCTCTTCGTAATGCCCCGAGCGAATGTTGGCCCCTCCGGTGCAGTTGCACCGTCTGCGCACTCGATCGCTCCGCTACGCCTCTCGCCACAGGCTGTCAATCACCCAACGCCTGCATCGAGAGCCTCGGGATTCACAAACGCAGGCACGTGCCAACATGGACTTTGGGTGTTCTTGACATATATCTAATTTTATGGGAAGGACCTGCTGCAAGGTAATTTTAATCAAAATACCATGGGATATATACATGTGCGTTATGGTGACATGTATCTGCACGAGAGTTTAAAATTGCTACGCACAAGGGTAAGTGGGATGTGACCTCCAGCATTTATCGGCACGTGTTCAACTGTGGCCTTAATGAGAAACAACCCCACTCATTATTGCCTGCAACCGAAGCCCGGCTCTTCGGTGTTGAAAATTGCACCCAAAAAAAAACCGATTCGCCTTCGTGCGATTCAAGTGCAGCGGCGACTCGCTTTGTGTTTGTTGGGCTTAACCCGTTAATTGCAACCCCATGTGGCCCTCGTGTGAGATTTAATCGTCTTCGACAACTCCGTGCCGATGAAGTAGTGTGTGTACCGGAGTGACCGCGTGCTCAACGTAGCGCGGTGCGAGGGCTCCGTCTAGTGGTCAAATTTATGCGCCACGATTTTGTACAAAAATTTCGTCACGAGAGCGCCGTGTGGAATCCAAAAAACACCTCAAAACGGTCGCCACACATATATATCTATCAAAAAAATCAACATGGGTGATTCAGTTAAATTCAATGTGAGAAAAAATGCATTAAGCTGACGCGTTTATACCCATACAGGTGGGATTTCTCTGTGCGCTTGGAGTCCAATGAGTCAGTCGTAAGCCAAGTATTTTTGCAGTCTCCACTATATGTCAGCGTAGCCCCAGGCATACACGCGTTAAAACGCATCGCTTACGCGACTAACGCGAGACAGATTTCGTAATTGTGCATTGAATATTCGCTCTGCCTTCCAATTGAATGGGTTTTCTCCTAACTGCTGTATGTAATTCTTGAACTTCTTTCGCACCGTATGTAACCGACCGTGCTAATCGGAGGTGAGCGGGAAGGACAAACTAAACACAAAGCGGTCCCTAAGAAATTATTTTTCAATCTATATTTTAAAGTGCATAGGTCCAGTGGCTTCCTAGTATCGGAAGGAAGAACGTTTCAGTCGTCGGCAGAAGTTCATCTGAAAGTGCGCGATGCAGTGACCACCGTCTTTGTTCGATGGCGATCCAAAAGCCGATGCTGAGGACCAGAATTCGCCTGATGGTTTATGCTCCTTGACGAGACCGGCAAGGAATTGTGGTTCATTTGTGGCTGATTTGTGGCGAGAAGCACTTTGTGTGTATTCGTATTCGCTTGAATCCATAACTGGATTTTGAGCACTGCGCCAAAGGTGGTGGGGACGGGAGGAAATTAGAAGTCGACAGGAGCTTTCCACAACTACCGCCACCTCGTGCACAAACAGTAGTTAGAGACAAGGCAGAACTCACAGGGGAACGAGAGAGTGAGAGGCGCAGACACCTTGAGTGGGTACAGAGACAGACGGATTATGCAGACGCAAACATAGATCGAGATACAGGGAAGACAGAAAAGTAGATGGGGGGGGGGGGCACAGAGACGGAAGCAAGAGAAAGTGAGAAAGACATGGGGTAACAGAGGGGGACATAGGAGAAACACAGAGACACAGGTGGAATCGGATGTCCAGGGGGAAATAATAGACGGAGAGACAAAGAGTGACGGAAAACAGATGGAGAGAGACGTGCCAGTTTATTAACATCATCAATTTAAACATTACCTCTGTATTCGGCTTGAAAGTGTAAGATCCGCTGAATATCTACATGTGATATTTTGCCCAATAGTAAAAACGTGCTATTTTGTGCACATTAAAACAAAAAAAGCGTCATAGACTTGTCGAAGGAGAGTGCTAACGCGACACACGTGCACGGGAAATCCTACTGACTGGCGGAGATTGCTACAGCAAAACAAACCGCCTTTTCTAATAGTATATTATGCCAGGGTTGGAGAAAAGACTAATGTAATTACAAAAAACAAGCAACAAAAGAGATGTGGTGTATCCTATGTGTGCTAAATAAGTGAATTAGTTGACCTAACACCAGAACGCATCCACAATGCTCTCAGGCACGCCGTTAATGCACGATTTAGTCTATAAATTGGCCGCACATGGTGTGCACACAACTCGCTCAATCAATCTTTAATCAAGTGATCAGACTGGGTTTAGATACTGTGTGGGGGTCTCGCTAAAGCCTTCGTCTGGGATTGCGTCTGTGTATATCCCTGCATGACATTTGAGCTACCAGCCCCCAACCGACCAACGTGGTGAAGTATGGTCAAATAGCCCCGAGTTCCCAGGATACCCTCATCCAGCTGTGGAGTAAAACGGCAGGCTTCTTTACATGTACATATCCCTGTAAGAATCTCCAAGAAGAATGTAATTGTTCATGAATTTCAATGTATGAATCAAAACCGTTGATTGCCAACACGTTACAAATGACACAATCATGTAAGTTACACTCAAAATAAAACGTGAATAAGGTAAATGAAAAAGCCGAGGACCGATACATATACAGTGATAAAACTCTTATTCAACACATATGACTACTTAATGAGCTGTTTTCCATATCAGACAGGCTTCGTTTGGTGCTCTGCATGCAGGTGCGAGTGCAAAATTGTTTGGAATTCGTACCAATTGGTTTAATTCGACAACACAATTTTCCAGCAGAAGCATGGCAAATGCTTATCAGAAAAAAAACAATGTTCTACAAAGCGAGTGCAATCACTTTCACAGCAAAAAACCGGTACCTTTTTCTCAGTATAAAAAATGCAAATCTGTAATTAATACACAAGAGGGCGTCTTATTGCCAGGAGAAAAAAAATGGGCGAATGCAGCATAAAGGTAAACATAAGGAGTCCTCATCATTAGACCTCCTTTGCCAGTACCAAAATGTAATAATAGGGGTTTTTCCCCTTTCTTTCTGGCAACAAAACTGAAACCTTTTTACAAGGATTCATGTTGCTGCATTAACCACAATACCTGCAGTCAAAATGCAAACAAAAAACATACTATGATAATATATGCATTGTCCTTGAAACTGATTGGTCCACACCAAGGGACGGCTTTCTTTTGAGCCTCGACCCAATTGGTGCTCGACCAGATGACGCCAAAAGGCGTACAGCTCAAAGACAATGCACTATCAAAGTAATGAGGGCTCGGGGTGAGCATCTACATCATTATTACATTTTGGTACTGGCAAAGGAGGTCTAATGATGTAGATGCTCACCCCGAGCCCTCATTACTTTGATAGTGGCATTGTCTTCGAGCTGTACGCCTTCTGGCGTAATCTGGTCGAGCACCAATTGGGTCGAGGCTCAAAAGAAAGCCGTACCTTGGTGTGGACCAATCAGTTTCAAGGACAATGCATATATTATCATGGTATGTTTTTTGCTTGCATTTTGACTGCAGGTATTGTGGTTAATGCAGACATGAATCCTTTTAAAAAGGTTTCAGTTTTGTTGCCAGAAAAAAGGGGAAAACCCCTATTATTATAGGGAGTCCTTTCAACATGCAGACGAACCTTAAAGAGGAGTAACGTGCTGGTAAGGTGAACTGAAAATCTGCAAAGGCACATTCAAAAAAGCACAGTCCATTTGATTGGATCCTTAGTGAAGAACAGGAAATGTTGTGCCTTCAAGAATAGGATATTTTACACATCTTAAGTTGGATCACAGTAAAATGTTTAAATGCATCTGTGCCCTTGCAGATTTATATACACAATACCCATGCATAGACTGATATTTTTTATATAAATCACTTAAATGGTTATCATCATGACAAATGCCCACCCCTTATCCACTATCCAACAAAGGACAATATAAAAATATCACACTTCCATCTGTAACTAATTTTCTAAGCCATACTTGATCTAGAGAGGAAATTAAAACAAAGAATGTCATTTTTTTTTACAGTTTAGCCAATACTTTTTATTGTAACAACACAGATGTACTGTGCTTGGTTTTATCTTCATATTTCAGAGCTTTATATTTATACTTCAATTATTGAAATGTATTGGGGATTTTTCTTCTTCTTCTAAAGTGTATATAATTCATCTGCAGCATATTAAATTTATTTTAATCGTACCGCAATTTGAATAAAAATAGGTCAGGCTATGTTTTTCAAAATGCCATTGACAGGTGTGTGATCCAGAGCATTTCATTGAACAGTGAATAGATTTAAATAAAAATAATTAAAATAAAACTGAGCCACAACATGGTACATTTTATGAAATGGATATATTTTTCTCCACATTGCAACGAAAATCAATCGCTCTGAGATTATAGACGTAATCTAACATTCTTCTCACATCTGCGACCACTTCTAAAGAACGCCAAATGTCCTAGTTTTTGGGCGAAGAACCTGATCACGTGGGAAATTAGCGTATTCACACGGAAAGGCCACGGGCTGTCTTTGCTGCAGCTTGAGCTCTCTGGACAATGGCCCCGCACTTCTCACGCTTGGACAACTTATTGTTCTCAAAAATACCTTCGTTCCGCGGCAAGCCATGGGAACCGTCTGGGAAGGTCAGCAAACCTGTTCGAAAAAGAGACATTATTAAGTGGTCAAACTGCTTTTTAAAATAAGTATTGCAATTTCCACCATTCATAACAACACAGCAATTTTTTTAGACTCCATTGAAAATGCAATACTTAAGCAGAAAAGAGGGAAAAAACTGGACATCACTCAAGATTCCCTGCAGAGAACCACATTTCTATGGACTTAAATGTTTAATGGGCCATGTTTGTGTTGCAGCATGCTTACGATGCTTTCATTTTTTTACGCACTGCATTGCGAGCTATACAGCCGGAACATTTATGCTAAAGATGACACACATGAACAGTTGATTTATTTTGCCTGTTGTTTTTTCCCAATCGAATGTTATTTTTTAAGACTTTAAAGTGAGGTCCTGAGGCCCTTATTAGCATAGTCGAGAGATGTAGGGGTGTGCACGCAGTGTGGAGAGCCAGACTGCTTGCTTGCTCTGTCGCACCCAATTTCAGAGTCCTTTTTCGGGTGGCATATCTGCCTGTCACCTGCAATACGTCACAGGGTCATTTGGCATGGTTCGTCTTGGCGAGGAGATTTTTTTTTTGTTTAGCGCCCTGGGAAATGTTACAGCATGATGGGCACTGACAGGGATCAGACGCTCTGCGTTCGGTCACATCAGACTGAAACATCTCAAATCTCATGTTCCACCAGAGGGCCTAGTGTGAACTCAAGTGAGCAACGTATTGACTTTATCAAATTTCACTCCTTGTAAAAACTTATTGGAAAAAAACCCATTTTGATGTGTGTGTAACTTGAACTTTGTTAAGTTGGAATATGTACTTGCAAGTGCACGAGCGCATGTAATTGTTGGGGTTTTTTTCCAGAGCTTTGCACACAGCAGACACCACATTCTTGGAAATCCAAGAGGAGATAAAGTAAAACTCAGCAGTAAGCATCCACGAGTGGTGGAAATCCACGAAGGGTCACCCCTTACCATATCCCTCCACGTGGCCGTTCTTAAACTCTCCTTCAAACATCATCCCATCGGATCTTGAGAACACACCAACACCATGAAACTTTCCTTGAGAAAACTCGCCTTCAAATCTGTAAATAGATGAGATTACCAAGACAAATTGGATGGGTCAACAAAAAAGAACTGCGTGATTGTTGAAGTACAACAATCAATATAGACAGGTGTAGTTGTGTATCCATTAATGTCATTAAGTAAATTTTGGCTGGGTTGAACTTGGACACAAGTTTTTCAAACAAGAACTATGAGAAGTACACCTGCGGCTACAGGACCACCTTCTGTATTCTGTGCGATGCCCAGTGTTTACTGGACCCAACTGTAGATAACAAATTCATGTAATTTCTTAACAGTATTATACACAAGAGGGATGTAAACTATTCCTTGGTGTCCGTAGTCAATTTGCAGATGACACTGGTATAAAATGGCATTTTTTTTTTTTTACAAAAATTATGGGATGTTACAAATCCAAAAGCGGACAAGATATCAAGATAAGCATCCTCTGGGAAGGATGTCATAATTTCTTGGATGTGACGTGCCCTGGAAAACAGTAAAATCCCGAGATGGGGATAAAATCTTAAAACCATGAAAACTCAGAGGAAGACAAACTACCTCTGAGCCACACACCCACTATGACACAGAGCATCGTAACAACACGTTGAATTCTGTATTTAGGTTAGGTTTTAAGGGGCAATAATTTGGTATATCTGTAAAATGGCATTTGTAAGTCTTGGGGTGGGTTCCTGAAACAGGAAAGCTTATGGCCGGTAATAAAGCAAAAGAATGTGCTTTTATTGTGTTCTATTGGTCTACATATAAAACCAACGCATGTTTCCATTGGCCTTGGAAGATGCTACATTTTAACAGTAGGCCGATTCATTTTGGCTTCATTTTGAACAAAGCGCACTTTGCATAACGTAAAAAAAATGCACCACGCAATAAGATGCTTGTGGACTGACGCAGGTACAGATGTCATGCAAAAGACAGAGATGGACATCATAGACGCACTAGGCAGAGGATCCACACGAGTACAATTAGTCGAGTACAGTAGACATTTGTTAAAGCAAACTGATAACACGAGCTCACAAAAACAAAAATAATTATACACAACGCTTCTTTTCAACGACGGTTTCGCACATGTGTGCGCGCCTGCTCGCCGCAACAGTAAAACGTGTGCTGTATACACAACTGAATAAAAGGAGGGACGGACCGATATGTACATTTGCAGTTTCACACACACAAATGTGCAGCCCTTGTGCACACAGTGTAATTAGCCCTGCGTCTTATTCGCCATCCAAACCTATCGCACACAATCACTGTCCTCAAGGGTCACATAATCCCGCTGTTACCATGGAGACTAATGCAATTACCCTCCGCGTGTATTATCCTATATTGTTACAGGCCTAGGCGTTACCATAGTGACGACTGCTCTTATTGCTCCTAAATCAATAGCAGGTTCGCGAGCTGCATGGTATGACCCAGACCTACTATATTTTTTACATTAGACAACCCACATTTTGCTTTGAAATATTCACTTCACATTACAGCACCTATGCACTTGTAACAATATTCCTTACTTCACTGGCATTTGGGGGTTAGCTGAGAGATGTTTTAGCCTACAGTAGGATTTTTTTTTTAATTTTACTGCTGTCATTTGCTTTGGATAATGTGTTTAACTCTTGCAGTGGGTACCATACAATGGTCTTCCATTTGTGAATAATCTGGCAGTGGGAAAAATACATGGCTGCATAGAATACAATTTGTATTTGAAGGTCAAAAGATGTCATTTTTGAAATGTAATATCTCACGGCTTATTTTCAATTTTGCGTACAGTGAAAGTTGAAACACTGGAAATGTACAGCCTTGCTGTAAACAAACTTTGAATGGGGCAGATCCGGTGATATTATATTGTATTTATATTGCTGTCTCAATGACGTCCAAAATTGTATTTGGTGAATGTATTATTTTTTCACCAAGTTTGTTCAGCTCCATTTTCTTTAAAATATATATATTCAGAGGGATTGTTTTTGCAGGTTTGCAAATGAATGCGCAATCCAAATTTTCCACAGCATCACGATGTTCATCCGTTTCAAATCGAGTCCGTCACTCGCAAATCCACACTCATCGGCACTGACAGGGGCTAGCGGAGGACCTGGCGATGCTAATTCTGACATTTATTAGGCGAGGCCAGCAAAACAATCGGCGTGGAGCGGCCATCACAGCTAAATTCCGCCCACTCCCACTGGCAGCGCGGTGATATTAACTGCTGTCCGCTCGCATGTTTCAAACGTCAGAACTCGTTACAACCTTCAAGCGCGAGAACCTGTCAAACGTGATTACATGCAAAATAGAAACATTACACCTCCTTGCCTTTTGGTCAAACAATTGCAGCAAGGATAACATTTTATTTAAATTCTAATTTGGCTGCAATTTGATGTCCTTTGCCATCTTAATTGCCAGCAGCAACATTTGCACATATTCGGGATTAAAAAGTTATTCTTTGCTCATGAATTTAAGGTCAAACGTCTACATTGTTATTCATATTGGAAGAGTTCTCAAAAACGATGTATTTCAAAACAAACTACAGTGACGGCCTTAATTATAATCAATGCTGACAACATTGCTCAGTTTTCATTTTAACTAAAGTTTTTCAGCCATGAAAATCTTCCAACATGAACGGTTAAGAAGAACGTAATTCCACTTAATGGATTGTTCTAAAGCAAAAATCACAGAATGCTCCACAAAATGCATCGATGAACCCAAAAGATACATTTTTGAAAACAATGATAACGTTTGTACATTCTGTTATTGTGTACTTTTAGGTTAATTAATACCATCAAGTGCTACATTGTTACAAAAAATCATGAGGACACAACAGAAGCATTCATTTTTCTTTTCGTAGCAATTAAGCAAAACAAATTAGGCTTTGTGTTGCAATATCTGCAAATCTGTTGGCTCCCATGGTGTGGCAACAGTTGGAAATGAAGGCACCGGGGTTACAACAGACAAGATTTGCAGCCTGCTAAGGACCTTCTTTTCACACATTAAATGCAACCCAAATAGTGTTTGCTCATCAACCATCCACACCAATCCATGCCATGTCCCTTTGAAAAATCCGATGACGAATAAAATAATGGGGTGATATCCGGCTGGCAGTTTGTTCTGGCTTGTGCTCGATGACCTAAGCTACTTTTAGCAATGATATTTAATATGATGTGTGATGAGTATTCTGTTACTCTAACCTTTAGACTGTAACCAATGCATTTTGTTCCTTTCCGTAAAAGTTATGTCATTGACAAAATAATAAAAACAGAAATACAGCACATGAAATATAAAACTTCTTGGCTACATTTGCTTTATTATCCTCAATAATTTGACAAGTTCTCTAATATAGTTTTCATCATTTTTTCAGGCTTGTTAGTGCTGATTCTCTTTCAGATACATTTTGGCTTTTCACTTCCATCATTCCAAGAACAAGCCTCTGCATCACATACAAAATTAAGAATGTGTTGCCTAATTTTGAGTGACAAATCAGTGTTACACTTTATTAATGGTATTAATGTATAATCTAGCATGTAATATCATGCCAATTTCATTTACAGATGAGAAGTGCATTGCAGAATTCTTTAAAAAATTACTTTTCACAATTATTTTGAATTTAACAGCATAGATTAGAAAAGCTATGTCTATGTAATATATATGGCTATCACAACCATGAAAAGCATATGTAGAGAAAAGAAAAATCACAAAATTACCAGAATACTCACTTGTGATGGGTAGGATGCCAAAGTATATATTAATTTTAATATCTCAATCACTCATTTAAAAAATTACAATACTTTCTAAGCTCCATCTGTGTGATGAGAATCAACTCTGACGTATATGACAAATTGGGGCCAAATTGGTCATGCCGACGTGTCACTACTGCCTTAAGTGGCCACAATATATTTAGATGTATAAAGGAAAACTACTGTACTGCAAACTTCATTTTTACACTGTTAGGTTTATTTGGGTTTAATTGGCCCAGATGGGATCATCAAAGGGGGAAACAAACCCTTGACAGGTGATCAGGTCAGTTCGTGATGGCATTACCTGGAGCCGTCGGGAAAGGCGAGAACGCCACAGCCACTAAACAGCCCATTCTCAAACTGGCCCAGATAGTGTGTGCCATCCGTGAATCTCAGTTGTCCGAGCCCGTGCCTTCGCCCTGTATGCAGAGACATTAACAACACACAGCATTGCTGCAGGCTTTCCTCGGCCGTTTTGAGGCCCCGTCACCGACCAGTGCATCATATAAATTGTAATCGAGTGCAGCATTTGTAAGCATGCATTATAAGCCGGAGGTGCCCTTTTGACCTCCAACCCCGTGTCCTCCATCAGCTTTCCACTTTGATGAAAATCGAGCCTTGTACAGTGGAATTCCTTTTTTTTAGCAAAAAAAGTACAGTATTTCCTTCTGATTAAAGGGTATTGGTTAAAGGTGCTATCTCCATGGATCTAACGGTAGATGCTACCTTACCTTCCTTCCATTCTCCTTGGTATTCCTCCCCAGTGGCATATGTAAAGGAGCCCTTCATTAGCGTCATGATCACGTCTTTCGTGGACGCTGTGTGCAAAAGTTCTGTAGTCCAAGTGTACGAATGAGCAGACATACAGACATAAAAGCCATCAGCAAAAATAAAAAGCACATGGTTTGCAGCACACCCTGTTACACCTTCTGCCAGCCAGTAGCAAGCCAATAAACCACCGTTCTCATACAGTTGCAAGTTCTCTGTGTAGCTCAGGAAGTCAGTGCAATAACACACAGGCAGTGGTCAACCACGCAGGGGGCAAGGGTCGTAGGTGAAGTTTACACTCTGTGGCAGGTGGACGGCTATCAGAGGGCCCACCAAAAGCAAATGATGTTTGCAGTTTTGATGAACCACACCACCATCAAGAACAGTGTGGTACAAACACAAATTAGAGACATTACATTGACTGTTAAGGAAATTAAGGGTTACGGTGACGAAACCGCAGGAACAAAGTAGGGAACGTGCGCAAATTACAACCGCTGTGGAGATGGAACATTGAAAATTAGCACATGCAGGAGCAAAAATGTATTTTGACAAAGCACAATTCTCTGGCAAAAGCCTGATAAAGATCATCCAAGGCGAATGAATCCACTTCTGGATGAAGGCCTCTCCAAACCACCATCTCTCAGGGGCGATGTCAACATTTCACCTAGCACCTGCACAGGAGCTGACTCACCCATTCCTTGACTGCTACCACGTCATTATTCTTGATGGGCTACTATCTGGTAAAACAGTGTAGATGCAAACAGCGACATTTTTACTTTTGAACTTGGCTAATAAGTAAAAGCTCATGAACAAAACAAAAAAGCAAACAAACTGTAAAGTTCACAAAGCGTGGAACGATGGATGCTTGTAATTACACTGAGAGACAAACTGAGAAGAACGCATGTTCTCAACAAAATATTAAGGTTTATTGCACCATTCAATTTGTTAGAAAATAGGACTTGGGCAGAACACGTCATGGCTAGAAGGGACAGTGGCCTATTGTCTAATTCAAAACTATTGAAAAAAATATTTTACCAGGCAAGGCCCACTGAGCTATATAGCTCTTTTTCAGAAGCTGCACGGCCAAAAATGATAGCTCAACGAAGTGGCCTATCGTGTGAAAGTTTAGAGCAGCCAATTCTGGCAAAAAATACCCAATGATGCTGGATGTAATTGCCAGCGAAATGTACTCAAATATTAAATGTTGTGGATTTACGTTCCAACACACCGGTGTACTTAAGTAATAATTAATTGGCACGTTTTTCTTACATTATAAACCTTATTCTTGGTTCGTTCAGGTAAAGTCACGTAGAAGGGAAACAATAAAATAATAAAAATATAAAACAATACAATTCTCACGTTTCGATTGCAACACAAGCAATCATCATCAGGTGTGAAAACCACAGCAAGAAAATTTGAAAAAAGTGACCACTTGCCTGGTGAGAAAAGAATGGCCACTTTTTTCTAATTTTCTTGCTGTGGTTTTCACACCTGATGATGATTGTTTGTGTTGCAGTCGAAACGTCGTGATAATTTTGTTTTATATTTTTCTTATATTATTGTTTCCCTTCTACGTGACTTTACCGAAATAACTAATAATATGCATCCCTGCAGTCACGAAAGCTTTAAATCAAAATTATAAACCTTGCTAATTGGCTGTCGAGTGGTGGCGAGTTAACGACACATTTATACTTACGCGATCTAACTAAAAAAAAACCTTTATTATAAATTATAGCAGCCAAATATTCTAAACGCATGTGTGTAAATGTGGAGTAAAAAAAATCGGAGGACCCGGAGAACACGCAAACTCCAAATATACAGCAGGCGTCAAGGTAGGCATCGAACCCACGACCTCCTGCATACCAGGCAAGGAAGTTGACATCTCACTGCCACTGAATAATGACGGAGTAGCAGCCAAGAGATGGAAGGCGTCATTAGAACGTTACAACAATACAAATAAACACCATAGGAGTGCAAAGCATAGGAAAAAATATATATGTACAAATAAAACTCAACATTTTTTTCTCACAGGGCAAGGTCTGCTGAGCCTATTGCTTATTTTTCAGAAGCGACCTTGCCACAAGTGATAGCTCAACGAAGTGGCTTATCGTGTGGAAATCCACAGCAGCGAAAAATATTCATCTAAACAATCTATCAGCATGCTTCTAAATGGCGAGCGACGAAAGCGGCTTGGCGCGAGGCCCTTCATCCAGCAGTGGATTAACCACGGCTGATGATGCCAAAGGATGATGACAACAACTTCAAACTCCCGAGGCGTGATCGTGGCAAGCGACGCCCCGGCACTTCAAACAGGTAAACATCATTTTCAACCAACCAGCAACCATCACGACCATTACAATGACTTGGAATACAACCAAGACTTGCGTTAGTTTGCGCGGCGCGTGCTTATGTTGTACTTATTGCTGTATAAGTGAAAATAAATTATTTTGAACGGGAGGATACGGGGGCGGGGGGAGAGCATTTTGGTGAGATTTGTGCTTCTCACCTTTTATTGAAGGGGCCCAGTCCTCTCCGTTCTCGTGCAGCTGTAAACAGCGCCCAGTGGCTCGCGCCGCTTCCGGGTGACGTCATCGGGCAACCTCCCCCCCCCCCTACAGCCCCTCCCCCACTACAGCCCCCCCCCCCTAAGCCCCCCCCTCCTCCTCCTCCACCCACCTCGCCCAGCCCCTGCCCCGAGCACAACACGGCTTAGCAGGTGCCAGATTCGAGGATTTTTAACCTCGAATTAAAGGAGGTCCCCACCCCTGCCCTCTCTCCACACCTTATAAACCTGAACAGACTGTTGGGGCACGTGCTGTGAGGGAGTAGCAAGCACCCTGTACAGGCCGGCACGGCACAACGAGGCCGGTGGGTGGCCAGCAAAACACGCACCAGGTTACTCATTTGAGGCTGAGTCCGCCTAGGGGTGGCCCAGCACCGATTCAGATACCGGTGTTGGCCGTGAGCGCGCTAACCGCTGCGCCACCGCTCCCCTAACAGTGACACACGCGCATTGGCCTGAACACGTGGTAAGCCAGGTGCCAGGTGCGAAGCGCTTTCACCGCGAGCGATATCAAGCGTGCACCGCACAGTTGCGCTGAGCAGGTAGTAAACACGTGCACAAGCAAGTGTGGAGGCTTTACCCCTGCATATGAAAAGTTCTGGTATATTGCTCAAAGCACGTGGTTAGCCAGGTTTGAGGTTTGGCCGCTAGCGATGAGACGCACATTGCCCGAAGCACGTGGTTAAATCACGTGCCAGGTGTAGTCAGGGTTTACACCACGAGGCATGAGACGTGCGTTGCTGAGCACAGATGAGAGGTTTTACCTCTAGGTATGACGCGTAGCTTATTTACATGGTTAGCCAGGTGCCAGGTAAGAGCTGTTAAACCTCGAGATATAAACCCATCAGTGGCCATCCATTTAGTACGTACGCATGGAGGGGGGAACGGGGAGGGGGTTAACCCAAACGCGTACGCTTGTGTACGGGGGGGGGTCTACTGGCAATGTGCGTACGCATAGGGAACGGGGAGAGGGGTGTGAAGCCTCGATAATTTGTCCACATTGACAAAGATTTTTGCGTATCGACTAAATCCATGGCCCCTCATCACTGCTGGATGACGGTCTCCCCAATCCGGTCCTGTGGTGCAACAATTCACCGATATCACGAGACGATTTTCATTATTACATTTTCAGTCGGTGCATAATGCCCGCTATGTATGACGTTTGGATGAGAAATATTGAAAATGGGACAAAAGGTGTAAAATACCCAAAGAACGGTGGAGTCGGTGGAGATATAATCACGTTCACAAGTTTGCTTCGCTGACAGATATTTTAAAAGGTAGAGTTTTTTTATATACATACAGTGTACGGTATGCGTAAGGGAAACTAGCAATTCCATAAATAAAATATATTCATGCAGGTGCAACAGTTGTGACACCTGATTAAAGGTGGCTTTTGCTAAGTTCACCGTCTTAAAGGTCTGTTTTTAATGCCCAGAATATACCTGTGCCAAATCAACAAATCGTATCTATTCCTCTCGGACCAGATTCTAGAGGTTGTGTCACATTCATCTGACAACGCTGGGAATAAATAACTTGCAGCCATAACCATGGTGTCTGACCTGCGAAAGAACCAACTCCATTGGTGTCGGGTGTCCAACCCAAGGGCGTTGTAATTTGGCACTGTCACCATCAACATTTGCCTCGGATCTAGGCCGCTCTCAGGGGGCCCCGATGCCTGTACAGCTTCGCATACTACAATAGCAGCAATGTGACTGTACTTGTCATCATAATCATCAGACATAATCTACGCACTGCTGGATGAAGGCCTCTTCCACACCACCGCCATTGCTCACAATCTCGTGATGGAACAGTCCAACCTCAATGGTTTCCAAGACCGCTGGTCCCCGCCCCATCTCAGCTCCCCCCCCACTGCCGCCCCCAGGGTACCAGGTTACCAGGTTACTCAGGCTGTAATACAAGAGAGAGCGTATAATCCACACATCTAGTCAACGCGGTGGTATTAGTAAGGCATTAGTTTCATGTTGTGAAAGAGCGTGTTTTGTCGCGGTCACGTGGCGCTTCACATTCCCCCCACACGTTTTAAATTTCTCCTGCAAGGTATCCATGGCATAGCATGTGCCCCCTCCATGCAAGGCTTTCGTGCCCGCCGAAGGGGAAGCGCCCCACAATTTGAAAACGTCTGATCGAGCTGCTGCACATGAGCTGATTTTTCAGCGCTCCCTTGGCTGCCACTCTTGTTAGTTTTGAGCAATGGCCATCATCCTTTCAAGCGACATCGACTGCCCAAGCCTACTTTTCTTCAGAGTATTGTATCAGTTCGTGTAAGATGGTATATTCTCCATTACGATGGCACAGTGGAAATACCTGCGTGTCACAGCAAGAAGTGCCTAGGTTCAATTCCCGACTCGAATATCTTTATTTTGTGAAGTTGGTATGTTCTCCACCTGGTCTGCAGTGGGGTTTCTCTCGGTTCTCCGGTTTCCTCCCTTAGCAAAAAAAAAGCCATACAATGTTAATTGGTATTGGCCAATACATCACAAAGCTGAAACATGATCTGAAAATTACTCAATTGGGATTGCACACAGCAACATTATCCCCTTCTGTGAAAACTTGACCCTCCTGAAAAGGAGTCTTGAGACTCACTGAGGCCTTCCTGGGCAACCATACATAAGAATAATTAAAGGGTGAGTTGTAAAAGAGGCATCTGAAGGAACGATTTATTTCCTGTATAATTTAGGCTGTGTACTTGGTCAAAACCGCCATTGAGATAATAGATAATAGGGCACTTATTGCATTTTGATATGAGAAAGAATCCCACCCTTAATTCCATACCAAATTGATTATTGTCTGTTGCTTGTAACGAAGTGGCTTTAAAATCTATTTCTGTTCATCTTGAACAATTATTTTACAAATTGTTTAATGATGCAAACAAAAATATAATATTGTGGTGTAGCTCTAACCTTGGAAATATGCACACAGTCGATGGTTCTGAGCTGTCCATCTCAAGTTTGAAGCTTCATTTGTGAGGGGAAAAATACTTTAAAGTCATTTTTAGTGCTTTACTGGTGTCTGAAAGTAGCGAGCCTTCATCAATTCACGTGGCCTCCAAGTGCACCTGGCCTGGCACAGGCGCCGTGGTGACATCACTATCATTTAGTGGCGAGTGGCGGGTATTGGTGTCTGAAAGTCCATTAAAGAAGGCACAAAACGCAGGTCAAACAACTGAGGACACAGCCTAGGTAGAACTGTTGGTGCATACAGTAAGTATTACACAACTATAGGAGCTGTTTGGGTTTTTTTGGGAGGGCGGTGGGGGGGTGGTGCGTCCAAAACACATTTCTCGTAACTAATCCATTAAGTAAAAAACACAATGACCAAATGAACAATGGAGCGGATATTCTGCAGAATATATATCCAGATGGGCGGAGTGGTAGAGCGGTGGCACAGTGATTCGCGAACTAAACTTTCAACCTGGTGGTATGATTTAAATTCCGGACGAATGGTAAGCGGTATCTGAATGAGTCCTCCTTAAATCCCAGCCTCGACCACCCCTTCCGACCCCCCGTGACCAACTTACGCTGCCAGGAATTAATTAATTAACATGTATTAATGTTTGTAAAATAAATTCAATATCTCATTAAATTCAATTGTTTTTGTCTGATTTCTATTTGCTTCATTTCTGTGCTTTATTTGATTTGTTTTGTTTTTGTTATCTTGGTGACTGAGGTCACTTTTGAACATTGGACTAACCTGGTCTCTTGAATTCTATACTTGTTAAACAAAATAAACTTGAACTGAAATATGGCGTGGGGAGGCCTTCATCCCGCAGTGGATTATGAATGCATTGTAAGTTTAAGTTGTATATACAGGGGCGGAGCCAGGATTTCAGGCGGGGTAACATTCAACAAATTTTAATTTCAAGAATGATTTAGAGAGAGTCAGGCTGTTGAACTAGACGCCATTGGTTGGCGACACACTCTCACAATGCAGTTGCACGGAGTCCGCCAGACCGAGTGTCGTACACTTATACGCAGAATGTCACCCCTGTCACCCCCCCCCCCCCCTGGCTCCGGCCCTGTATATGTCCATGTGTGCATGCAGGAGCAATGTACAACCATGTGATATTCAATTTTTACATATACAGCCTTGACAATTCCCTAGATAAATCACCAGCAATTGAACTATGTCCTAACCACTCTCAGTCTACACTGCCCCTGTATCTGAGAGTGTAACATATTCGCTGTTTAAAATACATTTCACGATTAAGTAAAACAAAAACATGGGATCTCCTTTGCCAGTACCAAATATGAGAATAGGTTTTTCCCTTTTTTCTGGAAACAAACAGGTATTTTTCTGTCTACGTGACTTTACCAAAAGACCCAAAGAACATGAATTCCTGCAGTCATGAAAGCTTTAAGTCAAGATTTAACAAACAGGTGTTAAGATTTTGATGTAAAGCTTTCGTGACTGCAGTAATTCATATTCTTAGTTTTTTCGGTAAAGTCACGTTGAAGGGAAACAACAAAATAATAAAATATAAAATATATAATATATAAAATATATAGAATATATAAATATATATTAATATATATTATTTTTATTTTGTTGTTTCCCTTCAACGTGACTTTACCGAAAAAACTAAGATTATAGGTGTTAAGATGTTAGAACACCAAACTGAAACCTTTAACAAGGAATCATGTCTGCATTAACCACAATACTTGTGGTCAGAATGCAAACAAAAAACATACTCTGATAATATATGCATTGTCTTTGAAACTGATTGGTCCACACCAGAGGCAGGTTTCTTTTGAGCCTAGTCTCAAAACGGTGTTAGACCAGAGGACGCCAAAAGGCGTACAGCACAAAGACAACGCACTATCAGAGTAATGAGAGCTCGGGGTGAGCAGCTACATCACGGGACCTCCTTTGCCAGTTCCTTGTAAAAGGTTTCAGTTTGGTGTTCTTACATCTTAACACCTCTCTGTTGCCAGAAAAAAAGGGGAAAACCTATTCTCATAAAAAATACAATTAATAATTGAAGGTAAAAACAACGATTTAAGTGATAAACGATAGTATCCAATTGAAAATGATCGAGTAAAATCGCTCCACGGTTTTGATATACCTGTACATCATCTATGAATGGCAAGGAACAAAAATGTCGAAAGGACGAAGAGTCCAGTAGTTTCAGAAGTCATTTCTTTCCAGCAGCATTAATCATGTTTGAAAATGTCTCCAGCAATACACTGGGATGTAGTGATTGAGTAATTATTTATGTTAACAATTATAATTTACTTGGAATTTTATCTCAAAATGTATTAATGGGACAATTCTCCAAAGTGATGTTCGTTATGTAAAACCAGCCCATTCAGGTTAGGAGTACAGAAATTATGATAAAGGTCCCTAAACAAAACAGTTGAAAAAAGGGGTGCAAACTAAAACTTTACGGACACACTCGATGCAAACTGAAAAAAAAACTAAGTCTAAAAGTTTGGTCTTGAAGTTTACGCAGAAGCCTTGGAAGTACTTCTGGTATAATAAAGTTGCGAATTCCACTGGTTCAATGACTTGACATTATTGACCGCTTCCAGATAATTAAATTGGCATTAGTTACGAACGGTAGTATCTAATTAATTAGTGGGTTGATTCTTTTATTTAAAATATTGACATTTCAAACGTTGCATCTTTTCACCTCCTAAAGCTACAATTCCACAAACTTTATAAAAGCACATGTTCAAAACGGTATATTCAACCGCGCTTAATATCAATTGAATCTGCGCAGCGTTTCTTTCACACCAAATCATCAAAGCAGTATTTACATCTCAGCACAACCGACAACTACACGTGCTTGCTGCGTGTACAACCCCCGCGGTCACGTCCCCGAGGCGACGTCACCACGCAACCTCGACGCGGTGACGTCACGCGGAAACGCCGCATCTCCACAACGGTGCGCGGTGACGTCGCGTCCGCGGTGATGCAACCCTCGAACCCTGCGTGATGACATCACCGGGTGGACGTCGCCACACAGGGGAGTTGTTGGTGGTGGAGGTGGAGGAGGAGGCGGCGGCGGCCGTGAGACGCGCGGGGAGGGGAGACGAGCGGCAGGGAGGGGAGGAGGTTAGCGAGCGAGAGAGAGAGAGAAGCGAGGGAGGCTGAGGGAAGACGGAAAAAAAGGGGGCGGAGGCCTGCTCGCTGAGGAAAGCGGAACGGACGGATGACGACGACGACGATGATGGCGAGTTGGTGCCGGAGCCCGCGCTGCTCGGCCGAGAGGCGCGGCTTCAGGCGGGAACTCGACTCGTGGCGACACAAACTCATCCACTGCATCGGTGAGTGAGGGGGGTGAGCGAACGAGCCGAGCGAGCGGAGACAGTCTCTGACCGAAGGGGGGGGGAACCGAGATGCGTGGCCGAGGAGAGGTGTTGGGTGGGGGGGGAGTGGTGGTGTTGGTGGTGGAGAGATTGGTGAGGGGAGAGGCGACAGCGGAAGCCAGGGCTGTAACGGCAGAGCGCGGACAGAGAGATATGAGGCGCGGGTGGGAGAGCGAACAGCGGATAGCGAGCGCGAGGGACGCGAAGGAGATCCTCGTTCTGCCGTGCAGTGACACCACTAGCAGCTGCACTGACACCAGCTACCACGGGCAGCAGCAGCAGCAGCGGGAGCACGAGAGCGGCGTCTGAGTGTTATTAACGCCGGGCAGCGGTGGGACGGGGCTAAACCCCCGACAAACCTCCCCCCCCTTCTCGGCGAGGCGGGCGACTCCATATTTTTTTGCATTTTTATTTATTATTTTGTGTGTGTGTTGATGTTGTTATTATTACGACTGTTATCATTTTCTCCATCCGCCCATCGCCCCCGACGCTACTCGTACCGTGTTGGGCGAGTGTTCGCCGCTGATCTTTTACTACTACTGCTGATGGTCGTGGTTCCTGCTGCTGGTTTTGGTGGTCTTGGTTCTTACGTTTGCTGTGTTGCGCTCTGTCCCGTCGGGTTTTTTTTAAAATCTACATTATCTCTGTGTCGCTCCGCCTCACGCCAGCATCACCTTTCTATTATTTATGTTTCTGCTGCTGTTCCCGGCCGGTTTTTTTTGGGGGGGGGGGGGCGAAAGAGGCAAGCGAGGTCGGTTCATTGGCACGCACCTCACCACCTCTCACCACCTCGTCTAATCCTCCACCTCCTCCAACTACCGCAACCCTCACCTGCTCACCCTTCCAGTCAGTCAGTGCCACCCCACCAACCCGCAGTGTGTCCCTCGTCATCTCGCCCATCCATGAGTTCCCACGCCCCACCAGTCCCCAAAATCCGAACAACCACTGCCCCTCCTCAACCCACGCGTTCGTCGGGCCGCCGTCCCACCTCAGCTGCCGGAGTCTCTACGACTTGCTCCTCTCGCAAGGCGGCGTAGGGGGGGACGCTTCCTCGACCCGCTCCACTCACTCACCCACCCGCCAGCCGCACGGTCCGCCCCTGGTCAACTCCTCTCCGCCCACCTGGAGTCCGGAAATCCCGCGGGCGTTCGCTCGCGGGAGCTTGCACCGCTGTATCGCTTTCACTCGGGGTCGTCGGGCCAACCTCCCAACTCGCTCGCTCTCTCTCTGTTTCTCCTTTTTTGTGTGTTGCTCGAAAAGAAGTAAGAAGTAGTGTAAAAAAAAGAACAAAGTTTTCTTTTCGGTTTTTTTTTCTGCTCTTCTCCCGACCTGCATCGATCGGAGTTTAGGAGCGCGGTTGCTGGAGTTTTCTTTTCTGTAAGTGTGAATTCTGTGCCCTGCTTTTTGTTGTTGTCGTAATTTTAACAATTTCTCACCCAACTCCCGTAGTGCGCTCACTACTATTATAATATTACACACACATGCCGTACGTTTTATTGCTTGCTCCAAAAAATATATTTTCAAATTCTGTATTTTTTGTTGATTTTTCTAGTGGTGTTTTTTTTACCGATCGTATCTGTTAGTCGTCCGTCCATCCATCCGTTGCCTTCCACTTCTTGGACATAGATGCGTCGCCAGCAGCCAAGATAAAAGTAAACAATCGTGCGATTAACGTATCGGTAAGCTTAATTAAAGTGCTGTGTGCGCATATGACAGTTTTATGTGCGTCTGTGCCTGTGTGTGCGTGTTCTGTGGGACGCGGGGGGGGTAACTTTTGCCTTTTAAACCCTTAAACGCATCCCCGGTGTGCGGATGAGAGCGTGGCACTCAGACGGTTGAAGGCATGTGTATCATTTTGTGATGTTGGCATGCTGTTGCTTTGAGGGCAGACGACTCGTGTTATGTGATGACACAAAACCCAGGGGAGTCCTGGCTGTACAGCATTTAATAGAATATATAGTTTGTGTTATGGTATCATTTTCGGTGCTGGGAAAAAAGGGTTGTTGCGAGCGTTGGGATTTGTCAGCTATTAATAATGTAAATCCACTGCTGGATGATGTCCTCCCCGTATCGTATGGATGATACGGGGTGTTTCATCATACTTCACCAAGCTGGTTAATAAGGCTTGGTGATAGTGAGGTTCGTGGAGGGGAGCGGACAACACCGGTGATTCAGCCGATAATCACTGGTTAATAGCGCAGCCAACCAACTACATGCTCCCCATTTTCAATGATTATTGTGCTGTAATCTATTGAATACTAGACAACGGGCATTTTAAGATAAAAGATCATGGAATGGGGGTGACCACAGTAACAAGATACAGAGGCGACTTTTCTCTTGGGAGGGCCCTGACCGGCATGGTTTGCCACATAGGCTTGTGGCATGCAAACCTCTTCTTGGCAGAGCTCCTTCGTGAGGAATTCCAGCAAGTGTTGGTGTTAAACCCCTAGTGCGAGCCAAACAAACCTCAAAGGATCAGTCATGTGTCACGAGCTTAACTGGACAGTCGCACTTTCGTTTGTAAATACAGTAGTTCACGTGTAGGGCTCTCGCCATCGTGTTGTTGTGATGCTTTGCCCCCCCCCCCTGAATGAGTGTTCTTAAAGCCCCGTTTTTTTTGTCACCAAAAGTCAACAGATTGCAGTCTCTTTCCATCATCTGTGCTTTCTGTGCCCAGTGGGTGAACGGGTTAAATTCCTAATAATTGCCCTGTGTGCGACGGAATCCCTTTTAAGATTGCCCAAGCAGCATTTAGAAACTTAAAGAGAGCATGTGAAAGCAATGTGTAATTGCTGGTTAATGTGTGTGGCAGCGAGTTCAGTACCACACACCCCACCGACACTTGTGGTCCATAATCCCAGCAATCTAAAATGCTTGTGTAATCTGTTGACGATGGGTGCCTAGTTATTTTATTAAATGAGAATATGTGCCAGATTTGTATTAATGTCACCTAGCTTAAAGACTGGGAATACTTAGTAGGGTTACAATATGCATATATGCGTTGGATTTTCTCAGAATCATACATATTCACTAGAGCTGATTGCAGATAATTGTCGGCATTGTGAGAATGTGCCATTTTCACTTTGTCTTGGCAAACATGGAAAACGTGTTGCTGCAGCAAACAGCGTAAAAATGAAGCATGTAAGTCGCTAAATCTTACAACGAGCAAAATGTTTGAGACAAGTGGCTGTGAAAGAAAACATTCCAAGCCTTCATACATGGCAGGAATTTGTTGTGGAATATTCTCATCGTTCTCATGGAGCACTAATGGGATGTGGTTTTCAACTTGCATTTTCACAGGCAATTGTTGTTTTGGGGAGTGTTTGATGCAAACTAAATTTGCCGTTTTAATTTGGATGAGAGCCGTTTTAAACAATTTGTCATTAAAGGGTGTGGTTGAAACTTTAACCCCAGTAAATGCTTCTGAAATGTAGAAAAACAGGCAGTTTTTGACAAGACCACAGAGAAGGTGAATGAATGTGTTCTTTTGAAACATTTTTTTAATGTTTATTTGTGCTAGTTTCATGGTGTGAATTGCCGCAATTATGATCTTATTTTGACTTGTATTTAAGGTTGTACCAATGATAAATTGCTGCTGTTAGTGAGAACGGTCATGCTGCAACACAGTATTGTGTGCTTCAAAGAGGTATAAAACACGTTTCTTAGATTTGTTTTTTAAAATATGGTTTGAAATTATGTAAGATTCTTGTAACAATAATTCATATTTGAAGTCCAGGAAATTGATGGTAAAAGAGAAATGCCTATATTATTTATACAGTTAAATTTCGATTTAAAGGTTAGTGTGTTTCTATAATGTGTGTTCCGTGGCTCCATTACACTACTTGTTTACAATGTGGCCAATTTTTATTCATGCACTACTATTGTCTACGTAAATTTGGCCGTGCCACCTGCTCGTACTCAAGCAAAGCGTGTCATGGGATATTTTAATCTCCCCACGCAACCAAACAACCCACCTTGCAGACTGGGGTCCGAATTGGCGAACCTTGAACCTGAAGGCGGACATGCTAAATCTGCCAGTCCAAGTTTCTTAGGTATGCAATGTAGCTGCACAGCATTGTCTGCATTTTAATAATTTGCATCCAAAAGAGTGCCCGTTTTTCTGCGCCATTGCATTCTATTTGTCGTTACGTTTTAGACGTCAGTAAAATTTGTAACAAGATAGGATTGTTATCATACAAGTAATTTAATTTTTGTCATGCAACCTAACAATACCATGAAGATACATTTTATAAATTGTTGTTGCTCTTGTTTTCTTAGGCGTGTTTAATTTCACATTCGTTTGTACATTTGTTTTAAAGCTATAATTTCTCGACAAAACTTACTATGGCGGTTGGAATTTTTCTCTTTGTGTAAGGGCAACTTGCATGCTTCGTTTCACAATACTGTATATGGTAACCGAAATTACATTTTTCAAAGTGCTGCATGTCTTAAATGCAATGGCTTAACCATAAAACACACACTTTAGTAAGCTTAGTGTATAGCTCATTTATTTACCTGCATTTATTTTCATTTTTTATTTACATGGTCGATTCCCTAGATCTATGCTACCACAAATATAACTCAATGTTATCTTTGGACAGAGCCAACAACTGATTGAATGAAATACAATAGATGTTAGTTTTACTTTCCAAAGCACGTGCTCCAAGCAACCGTAAGTGTTACTGATATCACAAACAGAGCGTTTGTAAAGGTCACGTTTTAAAATGTTAGCCAAATGTAATGGAATATATCTAAACATTTTGATGTGGAAACAACCCACACTTTTTTGATGATTTTTTGAGACTAGCTGGTGTATGATGATTAACACTTAGCTGTAGAGATGACATTTAACATAACACTTGTGAATTAACCACTGTCTTTGCTATAATTGAGTACATGGACAAAGTCATATTTTACTTACGTGCATTTAATACAATGGAAGGACTGTACAATAAATTATAATGGGTTCATAGTGCAAGCACTGGAATTAAATATAATTATTCAGTGAAAGTGATTTTGCTTGGAAAATTATTCAACTAAAACCTACAAAGTGCACACGTGTTTACTTAAAATGGAGTTATGGTGTGGACAAGTTGAATATCCATTTTAGAAATAAAATGTCATCCTGTTGCAGTAATATAGGGAGTAATGACAGTAGATTACGGTTTTGATTCATCAACATTGAGATGGTCAACTGGCTGCCTCAAGTGCTTTAGTAGGACCGTTCATGAAATTGATCAGATATTTTGGAAACAGACAAGAGTGATATGCATCATTCTATGAGCCTTTTTATGCTCATTTCGAATATAGTCATTGCTCTTACAGTTTCATGCGTTTTTAAAATGTGATTTTAACACTTAATGAAGACTGGGTTTGGTGTATTTTGGGTTATTTGTACCAATTGTGTGTAAATTACCTTCACTTTGTTTTTAAAGCACAGGATATTATTTATGCAAATTATTTATTTTTACTTTGAAAAACATGCAGCCCATACCAATGAAATGAAATTTTTTTCTGATCGGTAACAATGTCGGGACATCGTTTTTTTATCCATTTTTGTTATCAGAGAGAGAGTGAGCACATGTAATTGCTGAACTTAAGCTATTTACAATTTTGTGCAATTACAGGAAAAATTTGTGTTGCTGTTAATCATAGAGATTGTACAGTACTGTACATTATTCAATGCTGGGCATTTAATATAGCTTGGGAGCATTGCTTTGGTGGATTTTTTTTAAAGCCACTTTTTAAAGTAAAAATGTGACCATGTAAATATTCAAAATCATCCTAAGTGCAATATAAAATAAACCATTCTGTCTCACATCATTGTGAGTTTGCCCAGCTTCCAGTACAATTATTTACCACCTAGATGCAAGGTTATTGGAATCCTATCTAATGTGCTTGTGTGCTATTTTATTCCAATATAATTTTGACAAATGCATTCATTGTAAATTCCTTGCATGATATTTATACCATACTCTAAGGAAGGTTACCTAAACATTTTATAAAATGTAAACACTTGCCTGTTCTCTTGTCATTCGATTGTGTGGTTTGCCTGAAAATAATAACCAAATTTCAGTTCTAGCAATTGTGCATTTTTTCCCAAACTTCATTTGTTTATTTTGATATGATTCCACAACTCAGGTTCTTTTCCCAATTTTTTTCATAAAAAATAAATATTACGTAATTATCTATCTCATTTACATTTTTAACTGCCAAAAATACATTGACTTACAGCTGCTGAAATTACCATCTAATACGCTATTGATTATTTCATACAAAATAAATTAAATTTTAAATCCATATAGGCTTTTTAATGACTTCTAAAAAAAAAACCTCATGTATATTCCAGTGTGTATCTGAAACTGACTGAAACAAGATTACTGATATGTTTAGTTTGGCTTTCTGGTCCATAATTTGTTTTCTAGGAAATTTAAATAGAGATTCCAAAAATTACCAACTTTTAAGCACTGCATACCAAGCAAGCATTGTAGTTTGGTCTGCTTGCTAGATCACCAATTAACATTTGGGAAGGTAATACACAATTAAGTACCAGTGGCCTGACCAAATTTGGGTGTTTCCAACTCCACCTGATGTTGACGGAGCTTAAGTGACAAGTTTATACCTACAGGCCGGGGCTGGAGCAAGCCAAAAATCTGCCGGGACTCCTGAGAACCCTCGAGCCAGTCCGGTAATTACATTGCATGCTGGTCCGTGATCGCTTATCTTTCACTGAAGAAAAGAATCGCTATTACAAAACTGGCCATCATCACCTTGTTTGGTGCCATTCAATGTACTTCTGTGAATGATATTCTTGCTCATATTACCTGGCTTTGTTTATACATTGAGCATTGTCATGTATATCGTCTCAATTGTCCCTGATATGAAAACTAAATTTTCATGCTATTCTGAAGATGTAAAATGAGATGAGTCGTTGAGAAACCACCATCACACATCACGTTTATAGATGCATTGAGGCTGTTCCCTTGAGACGTTTCATCGTCGAATATTGGTGACGTTGCCATCATTTTATATAAACGTGGGCTTCGCTACAAGCCAGCTTGTCAAGTCTGGTGTGGAGTACTTTTCAGGAGTCTTTTCTACTTGTGTATTCATTGTTTATTATCAGGGATGTCTCATTCTATAATTTTAAGACCTAAGTAAGTTTCACTTTGCTGATTTTCCACGTGGTGTTACACTTGTGAAATATTCCAAAAATTTAATATTCACACATTCAGCAATGCACACGAACTGCGTCATGTTATATATTATATAGTCCAAAGCTTTTAAGGTTATTAATACATTCACAGATTTATATTGTGTTTTCGTTGTGGCCACTTATAACATTATAATTGCCATGATCAGTTAATTATGGAATTCCTTAAGTACATGATATATTTAAAAACGTTCATGTTTAGCCTTTTTTTATGCAAACCTTCATGCCATTACTTTTCATAACTTGTATAAGGCACAAAAATTGGGTTTCACTATAAAATTACTGTCCTGTGGTTTGCTTAGTGTAAATAATATGAAGGCCAAAGCCTCACTGAGAGCCCATTTTGACTTGTCTAAGACAATGCGTGGAAACCTCTATTGATTTACCTTCAACAGCATATTCCTTGTACTTGACAAAGCGTGAAACTACAAAGTTTATTTTCTCGTTGGGCTTGTTATCCGCTAAAAGATAAACCCATGATGAATAAGTCACGTGGCAAAAGACACTGTGTGTCTGGAATGCCGTGAAATTCCTTTTTGTACTTGATACCACCAATTTTGTCAAGGTCATCGGCACCATACCGTGAACCAAAAACAACTCCCACACAATTCTTTGACGTAATAGTCTGTGTATTGGCACAGAATATCCCATCTCTGTAACTCCAGGAAATTTAAATAAGTACCAGATTCTTCTTATTTTTAAACTAAAGTATATTTGTTTTCTTTTCCTGAGCTGATAAAAGCAAGGGAGTCATTTGATGACATCTGGTCATAATTCCCCAGGCTTTGCATAATATTTCATGTGATATTTGCAGAAATGTGTTATATCGGGCATGTAAATTCGTTCTATGCCATATAGCAACTCAAATTTTAAGAATCTTACAAAATTGTGTTGGTTTAAACATTTTAGCAGTTTACTTCTGTGGTGTTTTAAACTGTGTTTTACAAAAATTTCTGAGCCTAACATATATCAAAGGTAAATACACAATAATCACATGGTTTCAGCAACAACAATAACAATGCATTGTTCATATCGTTCAATATGATTTTTATTCCTCACAAAATAACTCGTATTCAAGCCCATTCATGTTCCTCTGCACAACCTCCTTTCAGCTCATCATCTTCATATCGGGACATGTCTTCCATTTGAGAAACAGCTGGAAGGCACTAGGTGCTCTGTGCCAATAATATGTAGGATGTGGATGTTCCTCAAAGTGGCATTCCTTGACAGCGTCAGCCTTAGCAACTCTTGCAGTGTGCGCTGAGGCATTGTCACATCGGAGGAAGGGTGTGGCTCAAATATTTCCGTGTTGTTTTTTCTTCAACTTCTGCAGTTGATGGAGCAGGCCTGCATAATATTGAGCTATGAGCATCTCCTTGTGTGGCATGAAGTCAATGTGCACCACACCTCTAGCATCCCGACAAATCGTGCACATGAGCTTGCCTCCAGAGCGCTTTGACTTGAATTTCTTGGGTGTTGGAGAAAGTAGATAGTTCGACTGCATCGACTGCCATTTGGACTATGGATATAAATGGTAAATGAAGGCCCCATCACCACTAGGAAATTAGCTCTTAATATTGTACCTTTATCAGGTCAGGATTGTCATGAGAAGTTATCAGATGCTCCCTCTTCATGTCATGTGTCAGCATTCAGGGGACCCAATGGGCACACAATTTGTTAATTCCCAAATTATAATTCAAGATTGTCTCCACTGATCCCACACTATTACATAAGCTAACTTTGCAACAGTATCGGCAATGACAGGGGGGGGGGGGGTGGTCATCTTCAACAGTCTGTCACAACAATATTCTGCAGCCCATTTTCTACCTGTTGCAAATTATAGTCCATTGCCCCCCCTCCCATCCACTTTGAACATGCATAAATTGCCTCAAGTTCAGTGTTCCTTTCTGTGAAAAAAATGATGACAGCATGATGCTTGCTCTTCTTTGTCGACCTGCAATAGACGAAGCATAAATAAGAAGCGAAGCAATGTGGAATATTGTTGCCAGGATGTTTAAGGGTACTCACCATCGACTGCAACATTTAAGGTCTAATTTCCTTTTATATTAGGCAGACTTTTTGTAACGGAATATACATATTCATACAAAACTTAAGATTTACTTTCAGAGTACATCAAGTGTCAATCCTGATATATTTCACAAATGTCTCATTTCCGGCATTGACAAAATAGGCCCAGGTGTTGTGCACAATAATGCGCAGATGACGAAGAAGCGAAGCAATGTGGAATATTGTTGCCAGGATGTTTAAGGGTACTCACCATCGACTGCAACATTTAAGGTCTAATTTCCTTTTATATTAGGCAGACTTTTTGTAACGGAATATACATATTCATACAAAACTTAAGATTTACTTTCAGAGTACATCAAGTGTCAATCCTGATATATTTCACAAATGTCTCATTTCCGGCATTGACAAAATAGGCCCAGGTGTTGTGCACAATAATGCGCAGATGAGGTTAATTTAATTGTTCAATGTGACACTGAGAAATCCAGATTCAAGTATCAATCATTGGGAGGCTATACTTTTTATTGGTTACTCATATCTCATAGCATTTACATAATTTTATAGTAAAGATAATTGTAGTTAATGGGGTGTTGTCATTGTCCATGTACATACAAATGCAGGACATTAAAATGGAGAAAGGATATTGTAGATAGATGCACAGATGCAGAATTAGATGTATACATTGTATACATTTAGTGGTCCAAATACTCTAATATTTGACCTTTTCACCCAGGATGTTACTTGAGATATTTCATATGCTGTCCTTGAATACCTTAGTCTACTCTAGTAGTTGAGTGAAAGCAGGAAGGGACAGACATATCACCTACTCCCATTTGCCTCCAGGAGGAACCGTAATTGTTCCACTGTAATACAGTGGCAATCAATATTGTATTATATATTTTTAAGATCTATTTTCATACTTGGGTCATTTCATTTATGCAACCCAGTGTAAAAAAAAGTGAAAACTGACATTTAAATTCTCACTCAAAGTAAATATTTAGGTCTTAAGTTGGGAAGATAAAACATTTACACTTGAAAATGTGTCAAGTTACAACACAGTAATTTCCAATTGGATCATTGGTTCGATCCCTCCTGCTGGCCATTACTGTTGAGAATTACCAATGCTTGTTGTTTACTGAATAAACTGTTTAGGAACAGACGGAGAAGTCGATTTTGCACTGGCATTTGCAGCACCCTCCTAAAACTAATCCCACATTTAAAAATGTTCTGCTTAATGGAAAGGAAAAAGATAATGATTCCCCTTATGTAAATATGATTGATTAGGTTACATTCATAGCCTAACCTACATGTCCCGTTCAACTTGTAAATTACCACGTCTACATTTCCTGTTATATTGTTGATAGCAAAATTTCCACAAACAATACTGGAATTTCGATTTGAAGCTTTCGTGACTGCAATGATTCATCTTCTTTGGTTCTTTCGGTAAAGTCACGTAGAATGAGAATAAAATAATAAATTGATAAAATACTGGAATTAAAACTTTAATTTGTGGAAATATAGTATGAGGATACACCTATAATTAATGTTTTATTTGAACTAACGTAATGTATCTTTTGAGGCATTTTCGTTATTAACACAGTAATTTAAAGAATATTTCGGTATGAAAACCATTTATTTAGGAAGAGCCTAATAAAGGTACACATGCTAGAATCCCATCAGTACAAGCCTGAAAGGGAAGCCATTATATAGACCCTCCATTGTATTTCAATGAAGCCAATTATGTAAATTAGGAATTCAAATTCTATTTCAAATAACTCATGGAGATTGCACAAATTACTTTAGAACTAAGTACTGTACTGCATTTCAACCAGGTTTCACTGTGTGTCTTATGGAGGAATATGACAATGTTTCACATTAATTCACTCAAATTTTAGTTTTAATATTGATTTCAACAAGTTGGCCAGAGTAAAATTTTGCTAAAATATTCTGTATATGTTGTAGCATGTTGATAATTATAACAAATACATTCACAATTGCTCTAGGATTAAGTGAACAAGCTAGCATTGTAAGTACGCTTTTGAACAATGAAATGTTGATCAATTGTAAACTTCCACAGCCCACATTGTTGTCATATCTATCAAATATCTGTAATTTATTTTTTTACTGGAAGACTTGTGGCAATATATTTGACACGTGCATATTTTTTATTTGCTGTGCGTGTGACTGTTAAATGCTATCCAACCATCGTGGCTTGCATAAATATTAATGTGATAGCTTTATTTGTGCTGGAGCCTGGACAAAATATTACTTCATTGGTAGCTACAGAGATACCAGAGTGGGTAACATTCGAGTGTATAAACCTATAAGTCTGCAAGGGAAATGAATGGGCAGCCCATGTGTATAGGTTTATGGGTTGCTCGTGTCCTGGTGAGTGGCATGCCAGTGATATTTATGGTTTCAGTGTTGGCGGTTCTTAATGGTTATGAAAAGAAAAACACAATGACATTAAAATCACGCTGAATGAGAAAAAATACAATACGCTCTGACGTTGAATATTTTAAAATGTGTGATGGGTAGTTTGTGTCTCCCCTGTTTGCATGCATGTCAGTAGTGTGGATGTATGCTACTGTGAGCATGTCAGTGGTGTAACTATGCCAGCAAGCGAGCTAGTTAACATATGCAATTTATTTAGCTCTTATCAGCCTGACAGGAGAATGGAGGGCCATGTTGTATTGATTTTTTGCATTGTTGCATTTTTTTATTGTGTACATCACCATGGACTCTTTGTAAAATAAGTCAAAGGTTATTACTGCTTGGTTTTATCTTGACTCTTTTGTATCAGGACATGCAGGATGTTAATGCATCTCCTTCTAAAACGTGTGTTTTTGTGAACACGATTATAATGAAACTTGCGTGTTTAACATTAGGATGTCTGTCGTAAGTTACAGAGCTTTGGTGAAAATGTTTCAATTCCTGCTATTTATTTTTTATTTACAGCCACCCACACCAACCATACCCTTTAAAGGTATGTAGATTCAGTAGGATATGCTGTGTGGTATTCATACCGAGTAAACACAGCTGCAGTCCAAAATTCAAGTCCAATGGTGGTTTCAGAACTTATACCCGTGCCTCTTCCTTTATAAACGCTACGCTCTTAAGCAGCTGTAGTTCAAGTAATTGGTTAACAGGCGCGTCTTGTTTAACGTGCGAGATACCTTCTGCGAGAATTGCTCGGTAAGCGAAAACTTTGTGAAACGTTATTGTTTTCCCATTGGCTCCCATGTTAAAAATCTGAGTTATGTTTGAGCCCCAAAATTTTCCACTCTTGAAAAACTTTTTTTTTACGTGAAAAATAAAAATAATTCATATTTTAAATAAAGTAAGAAAACATCAAATGTAACACTTACAACGCATGAAGAACCACAGTGCAAGATCCAGGACCGGTTCAGATAATCGTCACTGGTGTTGGCCATGAGTGAGAATCGAACTCGCCGGGTTCGTAGCGCCGCACGCTACCTGTTACAACACCGCTGTCACCCACCTACCCATTACAGTACCACCACAAGCGAGGCCCCTTTAGGGGCCATCCATTTAGTACGCACGCATGGAGTGGGGAGGGGGGGTTAACCCATATGGTACGCTTGCGTATGGGGGGGTCTACTGACAATGTGCGTACGCATAGGAAACGGGGGGGGGGGGGGGGTGAAGCCTCGATAATCATTTGTCAACATTGGCCTTCAAATGAGTATCTGTTTGCTTATACACGTTAATATTATTAATTCTTGATCGTTTCTGCGTGGATTAAATATGTATAGGATTCGGGGGGGGGGGGGGGTGCGTCAGGCGAACGTACGCAGGTGGAGGGGGGGGGGGTGTAAAAAGTCCGCGTGCGTACAGGGAGGGGGGGAGGGGTCAAGTTTTGACAGATTTTTGCGTACGGACTAAATGCATGGCCCCTTACCCACACGACCAAACACGCGTGAACTCGGCACAACACAACTGGCAAGCAAACAGCTGCGGGCCACCGTGCACCCCCTTGCGCCACAGGACTCATTTATTGATCTTTGTCCGCTCGATAAACGAACATTTAGCTTTTTTTGCAAACAAATGGGCCTGATTTAAAATTGCTCGTTTAAGCAAATTATCGTAGAAAGAACGTTCGTTAAGCAAGACACGGCCGTATTTGCAGTAAATACGCAGTGTGTGCGCTTATAGTCGAGCGCGTTGGGAAGATAGCGGGAGGATAGTGGGAAGGTAGAGCAAATGAAGCGTGGTACAAGAGGAGACGGAGAGCTGTATTCGCTTCTGTGGGTGTTCTGCGACATCTGCTGTGATCAGAGCCAACATTTTTCATGGATAAACCCCAGCAGTAACAAACAAAGAAATGTTCAGTAGGCTGAAGACATTTCTTAAAAAGGATTTTTTAAATGTAGCTGAAAGAAACCTGCTGCGCGCTGTTCATTTTTTTTCTTCTCTGCAGGTTTTGAGAGCATCTTGGAGGGGCTTTACGGACCAGGCTTGCTCAGAGACTTGAGCCTGTTCGACGGTATGTCATTTTACTGCCTTCCACGTACAACCACTATCAATGTTTTGTTAAAGCTGACAGTACTGCATGTTATCCTTCAGTGCTTATTTACTTTGTATTTAACGGCCCAAGGGTTTTGCACCAATTAAAAATGTTGCTGGGTTTTTTTCATCTTGAGTATTCTGGTTGGATTCTGAAAATAATTATGTTCAATTTTTTACCAGATAATTTATGCTAGCTTGACGCTGGTTAGTTTTTAGCATGTGTATGTGTGTGTTTATGGTAAAACTGCAGTTAAGAAATGCTAAATTACCATGTAGCTCCTTATGGACTTCCTTAATATTGGCCAGCTTAGACACACCTAAGAACCCCTAAATCCTACAATTGCAGCCTATAATCTAGCCAGTTTGAATTGTAGCATGTGCAGGCAGAGGCTGCATTTCCATCTCTAAAGTAAAACTGTTTGCGTGTGTGTTTCTGTGAGAAAGAAATTGTAGGTCAGTGCAACCATTAAATTATTGCACCATAATTGGGGCCACACAAGGGGCAGGGCTATTGTAATTCCAGTTCTGACTTTGGTGTGTTTGTCATATTTAGTGTGTAATCCTTACTGTCGTGACTGTATAAAAGACAGGTCAGATGATTGATAATTTATATATGCAAATGTAGCAGATAGACTTTTTTTTACAAGCAAGCTTTGTAACAAAAAATGTCTCCTTTGTGATTTGTAATTGCTTAAAGAGAGCATCTAAGCAGTCATTATAAGCAGGGCATTTTACATGGTGTTAAAAGACTTGTGAAAATCATTAGAAATGTTTTCTAATGATGCACAAAAGCCAATTATCATTGTACATGGTCTCTTTTTTTTCATTTCTCTCTTAGCTGTGACAATAGTACTCTATGGAATTATTCATGCTAAACGCCAGTATTCTTTCATATACGGCATGGGTTGAGCGCCACTGTGAGAAACTCGATTGGAATTACTATACAAATACCCTTTGTTTATGAATGAACATGACCAAGTTACTGACTGGATGTGCAAACTGGTTATTTCAGACTGTGAACCCGAGGAGGTCTCTGATTGGATAGTAGATGAAAACTGCCCCTTCTGCTGTCTACGGCGAGACAAAGTAAAGGTGAGCCACCTGGTCTCTCCAGGTATAGATGTCTGAGCCATGCATTTACATGTTATTTATTTTGCCATCCTTCCGACTGTTTTAAGCAATCGTCAAATATTTGCTTAAAGGGTTGGTCAGGAGTGTCATTGGTTTTTCATCGCGAGTCTCTGCTTGCCTTTGTCAGGAGCATTTGTCATCTCCATCGGATTTGGACGGCGCGTCGGATTCTACAGACACTGCTGAGCAGCTGGAACGCGAAACAGAAACTTTTCTTCACGCTCTCTTTCAGCGGAAAGGTAAAGCCTATTTTTCCACAATTTCACTAAAGTAATAGTTATGAGTAGGACATTTTTTTCGCTTTATAATGTAATATGACAACGACAGTTTTAGGGAGTCTCCTGCAATTAACGCCATACTTTATTCGCTGTTGTTACTACTGCTTAGTCTCTCCAAATGAATATTGTTTCGTGCTAAAATTGGAATGAATGCTTTTCAATAATACACGTATTTAGACAGTGAATGAACATTTCAGATTTTTTTAAATGTTTTTTTTTTTACCCTCTCTTCCCCTGTAGATCCACCAAGAGCATGTAACCCAGCCATTCCACTGGTGGCCCGCGAGATCATGTACAGAATGATACGACAGTTCGCAGCCGAGTACGCGCAGCGTCGGGACGCGGCAGCCGCCGAGAAGGATGGCTGCGAAGCAAGTCCCATGGCACCACCCCCAGCCGCTGATGCAGCCACCTCGGTGCCGTCAGCAAAGCCCTCCTGCCCCACGTCCAGCGGGTGTGGCGTCGTGTGCCGTTGTCTCCTGTGCGAACTCATTCGTGCTGCCGCTTTCGCTCATTTGCATTGTGAATTAATCTAAAGACGAATATTTCGAAAATATATACTTATCAATTAATTTCTGTACACTCCTCGGAAGTGTGTTCAGTTTTTACCGTGCATTCGCCATAGAGCGAATCATCGGATCATCCCGCACGACAAACGCATCAGACCTATACAGAACAGCCGTGAAAACATGTAGCACCAGTTCATTTTTATGTTAAAGCAGGGGGGAAAAATGTTCCCTTAATGCAGGAGGGAAACAAATGTTTCACTTAATGCTTTGGGTTGTGGTTTCCGTGTGCAGCACCATGTTGGCCGTCCCTTCAGATCTGGAACACAAGGCCGAGAGTCCTCCGCAGGAGCCTGCAGCGATCCCAGTGAAAGGCACAGCCCCCACTCCTCTGGCAGATGACTCCATCCTAAGCAAGCTGCTGTCAACACAAGATGAACATACAGCAGATGAGGAGGAGGAGGAAGAAGAAGATAAGGATGACGAGGATGGCCCTCTCGACCTGTCCCTTGGCAAGAGTACTCAGGACTGCAAATACGACCAAGGTAGTCATTTTCACCGTCTATTGATGGTTGCCCATTATTGCTGGGGTGGGGCTGCATGTTTCATTGTTGTTTAGCATTTACCAACTTTGCTGTGTTTTTGAGCACTTCGGCAATATTGCTATAATTGTGACATACTCCAATAAGCTTGTCATTTAAAATGAAAAATACATCCAAATTAAATGCTATCATGTGTTCTTCATCTGCAATTATCTGCAGCCGAATTATGTTATCTTATTTATTTATTTGCAGCTGGCGTGCTGGACCTCTCCACCAAAAAATCAATGGATGCTTCTAAATCCCCGTCTGCAAAGGCATCAGCTGCAGGGTAAGACATACATTTTGTGCACTGGTATGCACGTCACCACTGTAATTACCCAGCATATTAAGTATACAGTAAATCGTAGTGGTTGTTTCATGTGCGTTGGCAATCATTTTGAAGGTGTATAGGAAAAAAACCGTGGGCGAAAAAGCTGTTAAAAATGTGCATGTTCAAACTTCATTGTTATTGCTCTGGTGGTGGCCGGGGTTTTGGTGGAGCGCTTTTCTCTTGAGCGATATTTTTGTGGTCAGTTTCAGGGATCCCAGAAGACACAATTAAGCTTCAGCTGCATTTATTTTTTATTATGATCAAAATGGAAGCAACTTCTTGAAACTGCAAACTTTCAGCTTTAAATGGCTGCACAGTGAAATCGCTAGAAAGTTGGAAACCTAAGAAAAAAGGATGGTGAAGTTTTGCATTCAAAACTTCAATTGGAAAAAAAATGACTTTTATGATGTTCAAATGGAGAAGTGTTTTATTGCTGAAGTTGATAGTTGAAAAGAAAACAGTGGACCCCCTCCTCCAGTCCCCACCAAACCCTGGTCACGGCTAGGTCAGTCCAGCCCCCTATGACCCTCCCTATCCATCTTGAGCTGAGCTGAGCGCGGGTATCATTCCGTCCTGTGCCTCTAGGACCAGCCGCCTGGCCGCGGGGGACTTGTATGGGGAGGAGAGGAGGAGGAGGGGGTCCTCGGACAGCCTCGGCCTGGGAGCGTTACGGCCCACAGGCGGGGCTGGGGCGGAAGCCGATGCAGACACGCGGGGGGCGGCCACGCTTCAGGGCATGGCCAAACGTGCCATTGAGGAGGGGCTAGCAGAGCTCACGTGCCTTGGCACAAGCAACACAGACGAACTTCGCGTCAACACCTCAGAAGGCCGAAACCTCGCGCCATGGCTGGGAGCTCTGCTGAGTGAAGGATTGGGCAGCCTAGTGAAACAAACGGAAAGCACTGCAGTGAGGCAAGATGGGCGGCATTCAATGAGCTCATCCAGCTTTCTGCAACAGTTGGCACTTAAACGTATGGCAGCTCAGGCAGTTAGACTGCAAGATCGTGACATTTCTGGGTCTGGTTCAGTTTCCGGGTCTGTGCGTCTTAAGATCCCCCAGTTTCGCGTCAACTCTTCAAGCGCCTTGTCCAATCCGCTACCGGCAGATGTCAATGCAACCTCGAGCATCGACAGGGCCTCTCCTTGTGCATCGTCTGCTTTGTCGACTGTGAAGGACGGCTCCAGCATTGGACGCAAACTGAAAGCTATCCTGCCTAAGCAGCAGAGTGTCAGTTACCTGCCAGCAGAACTGCATGCCCTCAAGATCCTCCAAGGCAGCGCAAGCAACAACAATAACAATGACTTGGCTCTGCTCAATGGGAAATATCTGGCAGATCAGGATGTAACACGGCCAAGGTCGCCAGAGGTGGGACCGCTCCTGACCGGTCTAAGACAAGTTCAGGGAACTGATAACGGAGACCCAAACAAGCAGCCGCGGCGAAAACGTGGTCGCTACCGGCAGTATGACAGCGGAATCCTAGAGGAGGCAATCAGCATGGTAATGAGTGGGCGGATGAGCGTGTCCAAGGCACAGGCCCTGTACGGCATTCCTCACAGCACGCTGGAGTACAAGGTGAAGGAGCGTGCGGGCACACTTAAGGTGCCGCCAAAGCGCCGTCGAGTTGACGGAGAGAGCGAGACAGGGAGCAGACTGGCGTTCGGTTTTACGGCTTCTGTGTCGGACTGTGCTGCCTTTAACTCCGGCTACTCAACCCACAATGACATTGCCCCAAACTCGACCGCTGATGAGAACGATACAGCACTTAATGGTGGAGAATAACTGCATTGCTCTTAAATTAAAAAAGTAAAGAGAAATGTGCAATGATGCACTTAATACCTTTCTAAAAGGTACCACCTGTATAGTAAGTCAATAGGCAAAATCTGCCTGTTGTATGATTGCTGGCAAGAGAAAGTCAAGGGTTATGAACACAGCAAGGCTGCAGCCATGTCGGGAGAGAGGTCTGCTGCTAAAATTAATTAGAATGTCGTGTTTTGTGTTGAAAACACTAATGTATAACGTTGTAAAAAATTAATCCATTCATAACTGATCCCTTTAACATTTTTGTTAATTTAAAAGATTCAGAAGTGCGAATAAATTTAAGAAAATTTCTAGCAGTATTTTACGAGCATTGTAGGCTATCACAGTTGTGAAAATCAACGAGACTGTAATATTTACGATGGTAAGCCATCATTTTTCGGTTGGATCACTGCCACTAAGCATGCTTGCAAAATGGACTACTTGAGAAAACATATCCTGTCCCTAAGAGGAGGCATTTTATTGACCAATCAAGGTCCCTAGCCTATCTCTCGACATGGTTCGGAATTGTGAGTTTGCATGGTAATTGTGTGCGGAAAGGAAACTACATTTAGAGTATGGTTTCAATAGGTTTTGATGTTTGCTTGCCATGGTAGTTCCTGATCAGTCATGGTTAAAATATGTGATTGGCAGATGTTTTTGGGAGGGCTACATGGTACACGAAGGTAATGCAAGAAGATATAAAATAGTTTCTTAATATAACATAATGGCAAAGGTGTTATGAAGTATCCAAATGTTAATAGTGATTTTTTAGGAGCATGAGTTGTATTGTAATTCAGGATAATTACATTTATAATAACTAACAATATTTAGATATGGCCTGCTCTTTAAAAATAACAGAAGAATATCTTATGTTTATGCAGATGGTTGTCCATCAGGGATTAGAGTGCTGTGTGCAGCATTTTATACAACAAAGGCTTGAATTTGCCCAAGATGAAGATTTATGACATTTCAGTTTTTTATTTATTTGAAATACGTCTGAAATAAATGGTAAGGATGGTAACGTTGTGGGTCCAAACATTTACCACTTGAATACGTTAAGCTTGACCAAGATGGAGGTACTGTTGTAGCTAATGCAGATTGTGGACACCTTTAAATAGTTTACAGTGAATGTAGAGTAAAAAAAACTGTCGTAATTAACCTCCCTGCTGAGAATTAAAAAACTGTTTTTACAGCAGTAGACTGGTCCGCACCTTTTAACGGGTCACTGTAGCATCAGCCTTTACCGTTAACTCCTTAATAGTCTTCAGGGATATGCAGTACTACTCTCCTTGTCCTACAAGTCTGTGAGACTGGCCAGTGCTTATAGATTTTTTTCCTCTGCACTCTCCATGCACCGCGTGTAAAGGATCACTCTGCCGAAAGTGCACCACGTGTATTTTTCTGATTTATTATTGGCATGACCACTCCTGCTATAGCCATAGGGGTTAATTGCTCTATGCCTTATTGAAGAATGTTAAGGCACGGACGTACATATAATATAAATTTGTAAAAGCTCATAACTTTGTCGTAATAGTGCATTATGTAAAGCAGTCTTTTGTCTCCGGATTGAAGTAATATTTGTCGCTTTGCTTTCAGGGACAATTGTAAAAATCTTACAAAAATTCAGTATTTGCAAAGCATTGTTTCTCAGCAAGCAGCAAAGCTTGCTGGTACCATTCTGGAAAGAGGCTTGACGATTGATTCGAGGCAGTTCTTAATATTGGTGATCTTTTACATGTAGTGCATGGGGGGTGGGCACAGGGGACTAAGATACATTTAATCTCGCAGACTTCTTTTCCTCAGGCCTTACTCTGGCACTCCTCAGTACACTGGATTACAACTCATGTCTATTTGTATAGTGATTTTTTTTTATTTATGTTCTGTTCCTAAAAATGTAGAGTGGAACACCCCAGGTGCTGGAAACCCATCCGCCGTTTTTATCTCCTGCTCCAACACTGTCTTTTTTTAGTATAGGCAGCATCCTCGATTCGAGCAGCTGAGTCCATGTAGCAGGCTTGTCTTTCTGTGTTAACTTGCAATAATTACTGATTGTCACTCGCATGATGGTATATTAGTATAGAGCCGTTAGGAATTAAATCGCATGCTTAATTGCTCATCCTGCTTACAAGCCAACTCGCATAAATCATTTCCTTTTTGATGCCGTGCCGCATTTCTTGCATTGCGCACGTGAGCTCATCTTTGCAAACACATTGGACTCGTGTGCCTAGAAAGATAAGGCATGTACAAAAAAAATTGCTAAATATTTCATTTTATGGAACTCAATCAGGCCTATTCACAAGCGCAGGTTGTGTGTGGAGGGTGGGGTATTTGTTTATGTATTGTATATTCCAGCAGGTTATGTAGCCATGTTTTGGAAAAGTAAATTATTTTTGCAATATATTGGATAGGTTCCTATTTTCCCCTTCATGTTTGTATACATTTCATTTCATTGTTTCTCTTTTTTAAACACGTACTAATTCATTTCGTGTTAATTTACACTTGCTTTCCAGTAAAACGTGTTTTGTAATGTTTGATACATTTTCCCATATTTTTTTCCTTTTGTCAGCATGGCAAGTAATGGTACAGTATTTATTGGCGTGTATCTCAAAATCAGTTGCATTGTTATTTTTTTTGCTGAGACGTGCTTGTGGTTGGAAGCTGACATTTCTTATCATTGTGAATGTAGATACCGGTGTTGCACAGAACGGCCACATTGATTTTTTCAGATACAGTAACTTTGTAATGATATCCCTCTATTCCACAGCTATAATTGTATTTTCTTGGTTAAATGTAAGCCAATTTCTATACTTTGCAATTTTGGGGCAGGGGAGGTATTTGTGCATTTTTATAATTTTTGCTCTTCTGATATACTGTACCGTAGCACTTGTAATTTTTCTATTTATTGTTTATTGTAGCACTAAATCTGTTGAGGTATTGTGGAGCAAATATCTTTTTATTCTGTCAACTAAGAAGATGAAAAAGTCTTAGGTTTCATGATTTACCTAATGCAAGCACTTATGCTTAGTGTGTAGATTGGTCGTTAATGGAATGGGATGTGGTTTGATCTGGAATGAATGTGCTTTATCTAAGGTAAAGTGTTAAGAGTTGACTACTGACTAAGCTAACTTGAGGGGATATTAATTCACTGAACAAGTCTTACTGTATTTGCCCTTCATTCTATGGAGGCAGCTACAACCAAAAAAAAATCAATATGATTGGAGGTGACTGGCCGTCCATTGTGTGTTGGGTTGCATTGTTGGGAAATACATTAAAAATTGCATTGGTTATTGTGAACATTCCTAATGCAGTTCTTTTGTATTATGACAACCGTGCAAAAATAAAAAATAACACATCCCAGGTTTTGGTACATAATTTAAAGAATGTATGCAAATACAGTTGGGGTGGGGGAGGGAATGTTTTAATAAGACTTAATTGGTAATTTAAAAAGAAAATAGTGAAAATATTTAATTTCGTATAATTGCATTCTGATTGCTTAAGCTGCACATGATGAAAATGTACTGTATAATGATTAAATGCACCAATTTATAATTATTAGCACTTGATTTAGGCTTATTGCACACATATACGGGCAAATACTTTAAACAGTTTTTAGGCACTTTAGTTTCTTTATTTGCCATCACTACTAAATGTGCAGATTGGAAGCGGCAATTGAAACTGAATTCAAAATGGTCCGGCTGAAGTTTTGCACACCATCTCGGCAATCACAGTTAAAGCGGCCATCGGGGGCTCTTTTCCTCTCTGCTACTACTACTGTCTCGTGTCCGTCCGCTTGTAAAGCAACAAGGTGCCTCAAACGATCTCTCTCAAACCTCCAGTTTTCAAAAAAAAAAAACCTCCTTTGTGTAAAACTACTGAACTTTTGTACGCGTTTTAAACGAGTGAAAAAAATAATCTTTGTAGTAAATTATCAAAAAAAAACTTGTGTGGCTGGTTTTGCTTTTGCGTTTTAAGTTTAGTTGCAGTATAATGCATAGTGTGTTTAAAAAGAAAAGAAAAAAAAAAACCTCTTTAAGTATCCGAGTTTTTTTTTTGTTGGCACTTCAAGGGTGAAAAAATTGCCCTCCACAGTCGAGACCCCATCCAGGATGTGCAAACTTTTTAATTGTTTACGCCCGGGTCTTTTTACAAATGAGAATTTTAAAACCTAGAATTGTTTCGTATGGCAATGTTCTTCTTGGGTACTTTCGCCATTCAGTACATATGTTTCATTTGTTTTTAACTTGTTTATGGTTCAGGAGAAAAGATATTTAAAAAATATATATATTGTTACATTTATTACAATCACAGAACTGGATGGAGTCTGCAAGGTTTTAAAATTAAATTTGCACCTTTATTAAAGTATGATCTCAATAATATCCCGAAACTGTGGCATTAAACTGCTAAAACTAACAATAGTACCTGTGCTCAAGGTTACCCCAACAGACGTGTACATTGACTTGCTTGATCCTTTATAAGTGTAATGATGTAAAGTTATTACTCTGATTTTCCAATAGTCTTAAAGAGGTTTAAGGTACTATTTGTACTTAAAAGTAGGGGCTACAGTATTCTGTTTTTTTAAGCTGTATCAATAAAGCCTCGATTTTAAGTTTTGAATAAATTGTTAAAGTATATAAATTCCTTACTTTTTAGATCCTTAGTTTAATTTATTCATCTGGACCTAATTAATTGCACTATATTATGAAATTGTATTTATTATGGGGAAATTTTAAAATATTTTGTAATCAAAATACATTTCTGCGCTATTGATTGTAGAATTACATTAGAGTTTTGAAGTAAATCCCATTAGATGTGTTCCTGTATTTGTCATCAGCTGTGTAATGTCATGGGGATTCAATGAACTGGAATCTTAAAGTTGAGTTGCTGTAATTAATTTGTCACATTGTACCATTGTGTCAAGTTTATGTCCTAAATTGTGTTTGCCTTGTACATGAAATAAATTTCGTGTACTGAAGAGCATTTAACGTCTGCTTCTCATTTTAGAAATATTATTTTGCGGTTGCCGAATATAATTTTACTTGCTCTGTATGCCTGAACATGTATCCCATAAGCATCTATAGATATCGTAATGTTGTGTTCAACCAAGTTGCCGCATTCGCATTCCATTGTGTAAAATATTCGTCTCATTTCCATATGGGACAAATTATGGTTTGCAGCCTCTCTACATCTTTAGCTGCATTGTAGATGGCTCCATATGCATGCTCCACTTAGCAGCAGCGCATCTGAAATGCAACACATGCCGCTATTTAATTGTACACAACGGCTTCCTTACAAGAGTCTGTTAAACATGGCTGCATAGCATCACTTACTATTGCATTGTCATCCCGTCATCATGATGCTAATGCAGGTTTGCTTAGAATAAACCCTTGCTGTCATAGTAACAGAGCCACTCACACGAGTTTTGCGTTGCAGATGCAGGGAACTGCTTATTGGGTCAACCCCATTATGAAAATAATTATATTAAAATAATAGTGCATGTTGATAAGTGGATCATTGTCCGAATATACGTGATTTGTTTTAGTGTATTTTTGTTTTATTCTTCAGTGTTGTTTGAAAATAATCAACTGACTGTTGTTATTTGAGGACAGGTTCCATTATAGCAACTGTAGTTTCTGATAATGCTTCGTTATATTTTTTCATTGCTCATGTGTTTACATTTTTGCAATGGAAAGTTTGCTTTTAAGCATTGAGGTTTATTTTTAGCACCATGTGTTTGTTTTTTGTCAGATAGTTTATAGTTATCAAATGATAAAAGTACAGGCATGGCAGTGTCCAAGTTGCATTGTGATCAAGCACATTTTTTTAAGTGCAACGATTTTCTTTCTTTTTTTGCAGAGTTGCTGGCAAGGTACTGATGATACAGGAAGATGCATCATCCTACAATGGTGTTTTCCAAAACAGTACCCTTTACTTGATCCTATTGAAACTGTGTCCACTGCACCAGCACTTGCTAGTAGTGGTACTGAAATGCCTTGCTGAAGATTACAGATCAAAACACAAGTCGTCGAACAGCACAATGGGTAAAAAACCTTGTATGTCAGCATTTTCAGATTGTAAAGTTTTATGTTGGCATCAAACCAAATTTCCATCTAATGAAAGCTGCACTGAATCTAGTAGTGGATGTGCCACTGGTCAACAGTTGGCAAAGGCGTCCAGGGCTTCTTTAAATGCTTCAGTTTTGTCAAACACATCGAACTATAATTCGAAGGACTCTGACAAAAGATATTGCACTTGTACAAGAACCGAGCCTCGGAGACGTTCTTTCAGGTGTCTCGCAAAGTCAAATGCAGAATCTCTGAAACACCAGTCAGAACTTTTACCGCATGGTCCTGTGCAGGTCAACTGTCGCAGGTCATGCTGTACAGCGCCGAGAGCAAGACAGTTGGGAAGAGGGAAGAGTCCATCTCCACCCACACTTTCGCCTGTAGACTCACTGGACGAACTGGAAGACTGTGATTTTAAGCAGAAATCAAAAATCGCATTGAGGAAGTCACGGCCACCACGACTTGTGCCCCAAGACGATCAGGGAGACAGCCCTCATTCATCTGGGAGCGAGACCTTGGGGTGTTCACGCAATTTCACAGCAGTACACACAAGAGGTTTGAAGGCTGTCCATAATGGAGAGTCTGATAGAGGATCGTCTGAAAGATATTCTGAAAAAGATAGTCTGGAGAGCACAGTCTTAGTTGATGAGCTCATGGACAGGATAAACCTTCGACTGCAAACCATCGAGACTACAGTGCAAATTGATGGCAGCAATCTTGTCTCCAAGTTGTCAGAAAACAGCAATGAGAATAATGGGAAGAGGTTGTTGGATGATATCACATCGCTCATGCAGTGTACTAAAGACAAGAAGAGAGACTATAGTTTAGTGGACCTGCTGAGAAAACATGAAATTCACGTGGTGCAGACCCGGTTGCGAAGAAGACGGCAAAATCTTGGAACACTTCCACAAACAGTCTTTTCTCCTACTAACGCAGTGAGTCATCGCCGGCCAGCAATGCAAATCGAAAATAAACTTTCCGATTTAAATAGTACGTTTTCTTTGACTCCGTTTCATGTGACTAAGGAACCTTCAACTGATGCGACTTGGGAGGGAGATGATGGAACTGATATTGATTGCTCGGACAAAGAGAGCAAGTTTGATTCATTACCTGCTGAGAGCACAGATTGGAAACCCGCAATTCGGTGGCCTTCAATAAAAATAAACAGCTGTGAATTTTACCCTGCACCAAGTGAAGATTCTGATGTCATCTACGTTGATAATATTCCTGACGAGCTCAGTTATTCAGAAATCAATTTCAAAAACATGCGGAGGGGTAACGCAAGGAAGAGCACACGAGGAAATGTAAGCAGTCAAGAATACTATGAGATGCAGACTATTTGGTTAAAAAGCACTGCAGACACAAGCGAAAACGATGTTGAACCACACCAGCCTCAGGAAAATGGCATATATTCAAAGGAGTACATGCAAGCACCAATAAATGGCATGGTAGATATTCCTCCATGTAAACAGGAAAACTGTAATTTTGAAAATGGGAAAGCACCTTTATGCAAGGACAGTAGAGTATCTTGCATTTCGGAAACGCAAACGTCTTTGAAGGCAGAAAATGATTCATCAAAACGAGTGCCAGGTCCCAGGAAAAGCAGCAGACTAATTTTGAAGGAGAGAGCAGATACTAAGACAAATGAACGTATACCATTGAACTCGCGGCATAATGTAAATGGCCATGAAAAATTAATGGATGAAAACACTCAGGCGGACGAAAAATTTGCAAGCTTTACAAAACGTTCGGAAGGCTCTGCAAAACACCAGAGCAGTGAAAACATTGCTGCTGTAAACACCAGCACTGAGCCTGCAGAGGCGACCGGTTCAGGAAATTACCAGTCGCCTTGTCAACAAAATACATTGACCGATGATGCAGTTGGGCTTTCTACCTGCAGCACCTTGTGTAGCTCAAGAGAGAGTGTTAGTTCTGAATTTAAAGGCAAACTGTGCCACGATCAATGCGTACAAGGAAGGAAAAACGTTGCAGGAAATTTCTGCACACAGACGGGTGACGTGCAAATTATTAAAGGTGGCACGGGTGAAGTCGAGTTTACAGAAAATGCAACCACCTCCCTAAGCTCACCGGCAGTGCCTTTGAGAGACGGGGATTCAAGCACTGCTTGGAAGAGCTCCTTTGCAAAAGCGAGCAATAACGTTTCTGCGACTACAAGGTCACCGGTGACGAGTGACCAGCGAACCTTGAGGAGCAGTCGCCGACGCTACACGCAGTCTGCCGCTGTTGACGAGTGTGGCACAGCGCTGCGGAAGAAATCGCCCTCGCGGACAGATCTGGCGGGCAAAGAGAAGGTGGAAGATTGCGAGCTGGATTTGGAAAGGAAACCAGGTGCATTGGCCCGCGCAGGGAGAATGGCCATCGAGAGTTCGTCTACTGCGCAGGAACGGCAATCGCATGATGCACGCACAGATTCTCTCACTCCGACCAATGAGACTTCACTCAAGGTGAAGTCTTCACTGAAAGTTCAGTGCCCCGATGAAGCTCGAGAACGCCGTAATAGAGAGGAATGTAGTTTGAAAGACGAAGACATGCAAATACTGTGTTCACGTGACTCAAATGGGGACCAAAACCACCCCAAAGCAAAAATCAGCTCAACGTGCGACAAGAAATTGCGTGGGATCGTCGTCGTTGTCGACGATGTTCAGTTTAAGAGAAATGTGATGCCAAACGGGGATATACCTTCGTGTAGTGTCTGCCTCAATCCCGACTGTTCACGTGAATGTTTACAGCCTTGTCACAGTGAATCGGAGGCTCGGGCTGACGTGCACAATTCTCTTGAACCCGATTCGCAAGACGGCAACTCAAGTTTTTTCGAGCTGAAGTCTTCCTGCACCATGGAGTCCCCACCGAATAACACAGGCGCATCCACACCATCCTCTGACTGTGCTAAATGGTCCAGATCTGAATATATGAAGTTGTTATGGAAAAAAAGACACAATATTTTGGCATCAAAAGTTACATTTTCCAAAAATGTAGAAAATACTGGTGAGCAGACACCTGGAAATAACAATTCGTTGATATCGAAACTCGGACCCAGGCTGTTTTACGATAGTTCCTTGCTAGATATTTCAACTAAACCACCCATATGTAAAAGTCATCGAAGCTCTACCAGTGTTTATTCGAGCCAGACACAAAGTACATCAGAGGAGCAAATGCATGAATTGCATGTCAGTGAATTGAGTAATAACCTTGCCAAGCCTGAATTGAGCATATTGGGTGAAGATGTTCAGCAAAATGTTAATGGAGGCGATGGGAAAATGCAAACCAGATCTCAGATTCGGGCACTGGAATTGCCAGAAAACAGGTTACAAGAGCAATTTTTGCATCACAGGGTTTCAGAGAAAAACAGTAATGAAACACATTCACTGTCTGATAATTGCACTGTCTTGAAAAATGTATTCACTCAGGAAATTGAAATGTATAATTATGCCACACAGCCTTCAGCAAAACCAAGTATATTCCATACATTTACTCCGGATACGAGGTCAGAGTGTTATGGTGCGACAAGCATTGGTCCCACACTCCACTTTGCAGGAGAATATTTTGTTCAACAAGGCCTGGTGGATTCCATCAATGAACAATATGAAAATATAAATCAGGGCTGGATCCCCGTGAAAAATTGCAATCTACTGGCGAAAGGAAAATCTACATCGGAACGAAAAAAAGATGTCTGGCTGATGGGGAAGAAGAGGACAAAGAAGGTCACAAGCAGAATTCCTCTCATCCAACAACTTTTCAGCAGCAGTTGCAGTCTACCGAAACTTCAAGAGTGGTTCCTGGAGTCTACAGAAACAAGACCTCTACGCATCCTGTCGAAGGCAAACGCCCGAGATCCTTTCAGCGTCTTGCAAGCATCACGGGAAAAAACGACGCAAATGTCGGACGGACAATCCTTCGCACTCACTGCAAAATGTGATCGGATGGAAAAACACCTGAAGAAATTTGCGCTGACTGCGAGTAAAGCTCAGAAAATCCCAACAAAACAAAATCCCAAGAAAGTTGTCAATAAAACAAAGCTCATTCCTGAGAGTCAAGAAAAAGGAGAGGACTGTGCTGAATGTGTTCACAAGAATAAAAATCCCAAACGGACAGTCACTCCCACGAGTGCGAAAGAGCGCATTACCAATGCCCCCGTAAGAAAAGAAAAAGCACACAGTCTACAAAATTCCAAACCTAAGCCGTCCAGAAATGCTACTGAAAATAAATTAACAGCAGCAAAAGTTTCCCAAGGAAGTAAATCTTCCGACGAAAACGGTACTCGGGTATGCCAGCAGAAATGGCTGCAGGGCGAACGCATTTCAAAGAAGTACATGAACATGCGCGGAAAGGCTGCGTGGAGCGGCGCCCATTGCGGTGAAGTCGCACGCCTTCCTCGTGAACTCAAAGCACTCTTGGAGGATGAAGTCCACAAGAATCTTCCTCCAGCCGGAAACCAGCGCGTCGGCGTAAGAAAATCGAGGATGCAGAGTGTCGACAGCCCCAGACCGATGCTGAGCAAAGGTGTGAAGGATCTGAGGCTGCAAAATAAATCAAAATCTTCCAGAACCAATAGTGGAAGCCCACTGAAGAACTCTGAACCTCCTTCGAAAGATGCACATACAAAAACAAAAGAATGCTCAACTGGTGGTGACCCAGCAAGCCTTCGTGTGGATGGCGGGCATGTTGACTCAAGGACAGTGAGCCACAGTCTGGAGTCGAGGCGTGCCTTGCAGGGAAAGGAGGCCGCAAGGATTCCTTCAAAGTCTTCTCATTTTGCTGCTGCTCTTTTGAGGCCCTCCAAGCTGGGTGATGCAGAAAGGAAACGGAGGAATGACGATATGCCCCATGCTTCTCCTGCAAAGAAGATGCATTTGGCTTTGAGAGCGTGCAAAAAGACATAACATCTTAAACACGAACTACTGAACGTCTCGAGAGCTCACCAGTTGAATGAATTGCAATGCATGAACAAGACCGGATCCTCAATGAGCGGCGTTGAATGATGGTGCTTGAGACTTCAATTTTTGAAAAATACCTTTACTATTTTATATAGGACAAAAGTAATTCATGTATTTTTTTAACTTGCGGTTCACGAGGCAGCCATCTAGAGTGTATAACTTTATCAATTAACTCTTTTTAAGCAACCTGTATAATACAAGCCATGTGAAAAAATATCTCCAGGGCTCCGAGTCAACTGCTGAGGTTCAGAGAATTAATAAAACAGCGGGCCACTGAGGGTTCCACTGGCTCTTGGATGGCAACTGCAACTATTTTTTGGCCGGAACGTTGAAATGCAAATGATTACCAAAATCAGGCAATATATTTTTAAGGATATATTTACATTTGTACAACAGACTTGAAGTTCCGCAAAACTTGAGTGACTTTGCAAAACAAGCAATTTTGACTTGCAACTTTGATGTATGTGTGTAGGGATAAATATACATGTTGATTTATTTACTGCTATATTGTACATTTTTTTTGGGGGGGGGGGGGTGGCGGGGGAAACATTGTGTTTAACAACAATTTAAATTGTACAAACAAAATATATCTTGTGCGCAGACTCTGCCACTAGAGTGCGCCAGAGTACAGGTTGATGTTAATTTGCGCTGCACAATTATAAACAAAAGTTATTTTACCAGGTAAGGCCCCGGCATCGCTGAGGCTGCAGAAAAATATATCTGTAACGTTTTCATGTAAAGGTGCCAAATATGCTCGTCTTTTGCAATTGCAATGCAGGTGTGTTTCTCAACTTCTTACGGACCCCTTCCTTTCTCTTTGTTTAAGAAACAAAAATCGTTTCCTACCATGTTACTTGATCATGTAAAGCTCTGGCTTTATTATGGCAAAAGTATATTGTTTTACTAAGGGGCAGCTCGTCCTCCTGCAGGTGGGGTTATCTTTCCCATTGCCTCTGTCCTTTTCTCACAACTATTCTCCCCTTGTTTGTCTGTACGCATGTTGAACTTCATTTGCACCGTACGTAGCCAACCTCGCTAATCGGAGGTGCGGGGGGAAGGGCAATGAACTAAATACAACAAGAAGTTCTTAAAGAAATTCGTTTAAAAAAATGTCTCTGCATTGCCTCTGCCCCTCCTCAGTTGGCCACTCTAAGCAACTCACCAGACACCTGACAGTACTCACCACCTTGCACTGTCATCAGATACCACTCGCGTGACACCACTACCAGTCACCCATCAGATACTCACCTGACATCTAACCCTCACCAGACATCACTCACCAGACACCTCACCACTTCAACAAAAACACCAAAACTCACCAGGCCATCCACCTGACACCAGCTTCACCTGTCATGTCACCACTTGGCATGCACTCCCCAGACACGAACGCGCCAGGAACTCAGCAAACATGACCCACCACTCGCCTGCCACCAGCCATCAAGCCTCACAAACTCGCCAGACCAACAGACAAAATATTTAGATTCTGATAAAACTCTCATTACACCTATGAAAGATCAAGACTGTTAACGACTCCACTACACTCCCACACCACTGCATGAATACACTACACCGTTAAATGCGTCTCTTTTCCCTCATTCAGTCGCTTATTTTTCTCATTCACTTTCATTTTAATCTCATTCAATCATTTCACTCATTCACTCTGCTGCACTGCCCACAGCCTCTCACGCAGACCCACTGGCCATCCAGCATCTCCCAAACCTGATCCTTGATGCTCTCCTATGACTTCCTGGGACAGCCATTCGGCTGGGGGACACCTTTTTGCTAAGCTGAAGGTTTGTCCTTGTGGCCACCAGAGAAACATTTTATTTGTGATACACATAAGCACTGTAGGCTTCTGGGATTTTGATGTTTGTTTTCCACACAGGTGAATATGATGTTTGTTTTCCACACAGGTGAATATATATGTTTTGCTCTCATAGCCACAGGCGACGGCCCTTCCATCGATACCAAACACGTAGCTTGAAAAAAAAATGATTTGCATAAGGTTTTATTAAAAGTGGCACGTACACACAATGGAAGACTTGTGTGTGTGTGTATATATAGTGCACTCAGGATATGGAGAAACGAACGTGGCAGGCCTTTACACAGTGATTGCAAAAAAAGCGACTGTTGTTTTGACCCTGTGTTATTCTCTTGGGATTGTTTAATGTTTTTATTATTAGATCGTTAAAAAGTGTGAAGGTTTTATTTTGTGGGAGCACTATGCAAGGCATCCTATGCAATGTGCCAAATTGTGTAATTGCGAACCAAAGGAGCCAAGACAATCGATTTCTGTATGTCAATTCCTATATCTTCCCGTGTATATTTTGTTACAATATAATATTATAATTTGTGTACGCGCGTTCAATGTTAAGTTGGTCAACAGGGGATCCTTCCAAAATCTTTTGCGCGCTTTCGGGCTGAGTTACAACAGGATTATAGTATGAGATGAGACACGCCTATGCAAACGCCATTGTGCCTGCAACATTAGTTATTGATTAGATTGTACGTATTACCAAGGAGATTGTGTGAATGAGTAAATTTTATTCCGCATTGGGCCATAACAACTCTCAAACACAGCATTCATTCATCGACATATCACTACGGTGTGATGCTCAGATGCTGTCAAATATATATTTAAGTTCACATACATGTGAGGCTTCGCAAAGCAGTGGCGGTGCTGGTTTTAAAAATAGACTAACCCGGACGCATATCATCCACTGTTTCTGATGAGCCATTCATTGTCTGACTTATTGTGTACATACAATTTTCAAAGTCATCCGTTTAAGCGTTACTGGACCAACATTTTATTGTGACTGCAAGGCCCGTTAGCGTCTGTTGAAGCAACTTGATGGTAACTAGTTTAAATGTGGTCATTCATTTAGTGCTAGTAATGGGGGGTTTTCTGCTGCATATTAAATTGGTAGCCGTAAAATGTTGTCAACACATTTATAAGATGCGCACGCCGATTACATTAATTACCACGTGCATGAACATTGACCTATGAAATACAGTACTGCATTCTGAAATAACATGTTTGTGTACTGAAAGACAACCGTTTGGTCGGCTTGCTGTTGAAAGTCAAGTCTCATCCCAAGTTATTATTTTATATGGAGCTTTGAGTGTTCCATCGCATACGTTCCAATCGCTCATTACAGTAAGTGAATTGGCCAAACATCCCTGTGCAGGACCCTGCTTGAAAGAGCCTTGAGATTGAGTGTGGCTTTTATGGTTAAATAGTCTAACCATTATCACTTGATCAAGAAGCATACACCTAAGTTGTGGCTGTCCGTATTCGTATATGATTATTTTATCAATTATTTTAGTTGACCAACAAAGCATGCATTTGGCGTCTTTCGATGAGAACACAACAACACAGTAATGCGAGCATGTCAATTGAACAAAGAACAAACCATGTTTTAAATTTCTTCTTCTGACAGCAGTGTTTTCTCGCTACAAGACGCAACAGATCTTGTAGATATCTACCACCTATACTGTGTATCCTGTGACGTTTCACTCGAGTTTGATACTCCCTGAATGAAAATGTAAGTCGGAACCTATATCAGTGATGGCACCGTGGTGTCACTCCTGTATGTTTCAAGACAGTGTCGCTGCCATGTACGACACAAGCTTAATGCTTCGTGAATGACAAACATATCTATTTACAAATTAAAATTTGCAGAGGATCACATTGGCAGTGGCGTACAAGCCACACGTGAAAAACAACTCGGCATATTGATCACAACACTTTTATGAACAGAACATTATATAGATTAATACGCGATAGCCATTGTCAGAAACAGTGTGACCCTGCTGCGACCGTAACATTAGATGTGTATTTTTGTTTTGTCTTTACCGACAAGTAGGGAACACATTCCATTGTAGTGACCTCTGGGAAGAACATCGCACCATTGTACGAAGAAATTTGATTTATTTTTTTTATGCGGAGTTGGTGTACGTGCGGTTTAAGGAAAGTTTCTACATGTTTAACAGATGAGTGATGTGTAAAACGGCACTGCAGGTTATTTAGTGTGTACATAAGCAATACTCAGGGACTCTCAAAACAGTTTTTGCCCACTGGATTACGATAATGAAAAGTACATTTACTCACATCCAGGCAAAACAGACTTTGGTAATTTGCCTGTTAAGACTGTGAACTTAACCACTCGTCATATTGTGGAAACCACTGGCCACTTGTGTTGATCACTAAACGGTGATTTTAATCAGTGCGCTCTAAGTTTGAGTGCTTTTGTCACTTGCGCTATGCGCGAATTCTGTAATCACGACTTTGGAGCAATAATTTTCTTGCACTCGGGTGCCTTGTTAAATGTTGAAGCTGCAGTGCAGACAAACAACCGATCTTTACAAAATTATTTTATCGTATATTGTATTCGAATACTTTGCAGCCTTCAATGTTCTAAATGACACACTTTTACAGGTGGCATTGTATATTTGTACACACGTGAAATATGGAAATATGCACAAGATCTGCCGACAGGTAATGGAAAGCAGCGCATTGTCTTCACAATTTTCCTTTTGGATTGTCTTTTGAGTCTGTAGAACATTTTGCTTTGTGTATGTAAATTGTATACCCTCTGGCTTAATTACCATTACATGTATAGAATTTTCTTCACACAATCTCGTTTCAAGTCTTGCTTTCGTAGTTTATTGTTTCACTACTCACGTCACCATGTACCATGCCTAGTTTGCAAGCTTTTCATACATATACAATGCTTTCATGGACATGCAAAAGACTGACCATTGAAAAACGTTCAGGAAAAACGCCGCCTATGGATACAAGTTGCGAAAATTTTGACTTATTTCTGACACAAGCAATTTCATTTCTTCCCTCCCCCTTTTATTAAAAGTCACTGAATTATTCTACTGAAATTTTTTTTTTTAATGTAAGCGTGCACCGTGATTGTATTGAAGTCAAACGTCCACGGACTTTCTGCTATTGTTATTTTTATAATGACAGTGAATACATTACAAAATACTGGCATCTGCGTACCATGGTCACTCCTCTGTCCACACACAAGCACAAATTTGGGAACCCAACAGTTGGTCGATTAACATTTAATGCGGTGGGGTTAAGTGTGGGTACTCCCACCTCTTCGAAGATGTCTGGCTATGTGCCTATGTATGTTTAACTTCTTTGGCACCGTACGTAGCCAACCACGGGAATCGGAGGTGCGGGGGCTAGCGTGGAAGAATAGTCTTAAAATACCCTCCCAGTGAGGGTGCCTCTCTTGACATCCTTCTGCCAACAGTAGCGTGAGAAAGAAAATCGCAAGGCTGCTTATTTTACATTCAAGATTCCGGTTATAATTGTAATGACTGGCTCCTCGAGCCAAGTATTTATCAGGGGGGAATAGCACGGAGTGGGCCAACACTACATCTCAAATCGGCGTGCTTTACCAACAAAAGGCTCTGTCTGATCGGTGGTGGTGGTGATGATAAGTTGTCGAAAGGGCCAATGGACATAGCCAGGGCCAGAAAAGGGCTCTGCTAAACATGACGAAAAGGTTTCTGGTTGTGTGTTCGCGGTGCTCGGCTCGCCAATTTTTAGTACACACTCGCCAGTGTTGTCAGGCGGTGCTATTTTAACTTAAGGTTTAGCCACTATCAAACCTTCGTGTTAAACGATGACAGAAAGTGAGCATGGTCTAGACTTACACAAGTAATAAAAATCGCGTGGCATTTCCACAAAGACTTTTCACTTCTCGAAACTCATATGGCGACGCTAAAATGTGGTTTGTGTGTGTGTGTTTCGCTTGTCAACTTTCTGAAACAATGGGTGCTCATTTATAGACACAAAATGAAATGCACATTTTTTTTCGGAAAAAACTGCCGTATTGAGCTGCTGGGAAACATTTTAATAATGGGGGGAAAAAGTTACAATAAACTGGATTTTAAATAATGCAAACAGTCGTCAAATCCTTATTGTTCGATTGTTGCTGCAACGCGGATAAAGTGTGGTGGCGGTGTTGGTTGATGGCACTGTGATGATGCGTGGGACATTCACAGGAGCAGAATGGTGCCTCCAGCAGGTGGTAAATCAAGGTCTTTTTTTACCTGCAGTATGAGGCACTCCGGTTTTACGGTTCTGTGTCTGAGTAAGTTGCTCTCCAATTTTCACAATGAGTAAAATATTTTCAGGGGATGAATCCGATATCTCTAACTTGCGTATATGCGCCGATCAATGTGTTGCATAATGCATTTAAATGTACAGCATTTAAAATACATTACATACATTAACATGATTGCACACAATTCAAAGTACATTATTTATTGCAAAATGCTATGCCACATCATTTAAAATACAATACAGCAAACCCTTGCCCATCGCGGGGGATTACGTTCTTGAAAATAGCCGCAATGGGCAAATCCATGATCCGCAAACTCAAAGGCAGACCCTGCCTTTTCACTTTAACCCAGTTACGCCCCTCTGCCAGTTGGTTATTACTGGTAGGAACCTCCTGGTGACACCACCAGTCCACAGGGGATTGTTGTGTCCGTCCGTCGTGCATCCAAAAATGGGAGGGGTTGGGCTGGGTGGAGAGGGGAGGGTGGGAAGGGGCTGGGTGGGAAGGGGCTGGGTGGGGAGGGTGGGGCTGGGAGGGGTGGGGCTGGGTGGGGAGGGGCTGGTCACCCCGTGGTGCCCTTATAACAATCAACGTTTAACCTACTCACGCCGGCTTATGCCCGCCTTCACAGTCGAGCATATTTGCGGAATACACCACGCCGCCGTTGACCCTGGCCATTGACCGAGCAACCCAACGTTCCCACCAGCTCCCTCCGCAGGAATGTGTTATATAACGCACCCATACTCGTGACTACCCCTCCTGGTCAACGGATGGCACCCTGTCATTACACACGGATGGTAAACGACACCCCTTTTGTTTGGTTTTACCGTACATCAACCCAAATATTAAACGGTATTTTGTAAAATATTTACGTGTTAAATATAACTTGTGTGAATGGCCAGAATGAAAACAATGGAGTGTAGAATGCTGTCTGCGTATCCGTGTACAGTACTATACAGGTAGAACATTTGTGCGGCTAAACCTCACTGCCTTCTCACTCGAGGCTGGGAACACCGCTTGACCTGGAACCCGCAATTGGGCCGCTTGGGAGACAAGATGGAGAGAAGATGGCGTTTTTGTTCTTCTGCAGCAGCATCATTGCGAGCAGTCCAGTTATGATGCGTGCAGGAATCTCGCGGTCAACTGCGAATGGTCGAACCACAGGGTGCGATTGGTGAACTGTACCTCAATAAATTTGGAGTAAACCGCAAAAGCAAAACCCGCGAGAGGCAAGGGTTTGCTGTAAACATTAAATAGTGCACAGAATGTAACATTTGAGTTAGTCTCATTCCGACAGAGACTCAAAATAGTGTATCTGGCCTACCCAGGGCAGAAATGGCTGCTCTGGGTGGGCCAGGTCACTTTGAAGGGATCTCAGAAATAGCTCTGTGATATCCACTTTTTTGGACCATTCTCTAACACGAAGGGTTGCACTACCGTGCAAGAGATCCGGTTGGATATATTTTCATATAAAACAATGCTAATAGCACAGTTGGGGTAACATTGGGGAAATGTGAAAAGTTATCTTATTAAATCAATTTCAAACATGAGCCAGGCATCACGGACACAGCCAAGGTTAGCTAAAAGATTCTAGACCTAAATCAAACATGGGAACAATGAGAAAACCCATTATAACAGAAACAGTGCAGGCCGGAAAACAAAAAGGTTTAACCACACACTGAGATATGCACTAAATGCTCAAAAGCTCTGGATAAGGCTCAGGTATTGTACATGCAATCTTTTGTCTATTGAAAAATATTAGAGCGGTCTGTATTTTGGGATGTGTTCCTGCCATAAACAGAAACGTGCAGCACGTAATCCGTCGGCAAACATATGGTGTGGAGGATTGCACGTATTTATTTCGATACGTGTACATAATTTAAAACGAGCTCCTTGGATACTTATTGGGAAAATGTGCACGCAAGCACGAGCTTCACAATTCTGTGGGCTCAGGCGCGCAATCCTCACGACTGCGTCCGGTGATTTCTCGATCAAAGAAATACGCTTGCTGGAACAAATCGAGTTGCGCCGTGTAAACGGGCGAGTGGCCGTAGATTAAATGCCTCTCCTCCTCCTCCTGGCTGGAGAATCGGTGGGCGCTCTTCGCAGCTGAAACACAACAAGCGCCAGAATCAGTTTGGTGGTGTACAACTCCCCCGTGGGCCATTTCCATGGGGTCCCGATGACAGGTCGCCTTCTGAGCCCCGGGGGAGGGAAGGCAATGGCAGGGGCTTGTCGGGGCTGGTGGAGGGGTCATTTGTGACCGCAGCCAATGCTGGCGCTACGTTTCACAAGGATTCCAATGGACGTGCCTGAAGGACCTCAGCCAATTGTTTTTTTTGTGAATTCAGTAAATAGTTTGCAATTTTAGTTTTAAGCGTAACTATGCTTACCACTGCATGCGAGTGTTCAGGTTTTATTACAACGCGTCGTTTAGGCAACTATAACATGGGCGTTAAAGATAATGTAATTCAAAAGTACAAAAGGGCCATGCGAATAACCGTGTGTGTGTGTAGTGTAGACAAATACATGGTGATCTGCAGTGGGCTTTGCCCACTTTATATTGGCTTTAGTGCCACACTTCAAACAAGAATAGTGATTTAAAACTGGATTTCACACTTATATTAAAGACTGTTCTTAAGCATTTGAAGTCGGTCATCATTTTGGGAGCCTAAATAAATAATTATCATCATGTTTTTGGATGTTTATTAGTTAACAACGCTTTCTAGAACATCATACACAATTACATCAGTCAGTTATGATCATCTTAGTAAATTGGTACATCTATATGCAATGCCAATGCAATGTGACACAAGCTCTGCCAAGCATTGTCCAAGGTCCAGAGTAGAATTTGGTCCTACCTAAGGGGGCAAAACATCGGTGACACGAATGTATTTAGTTGGCCAATGAAACCGAATTTCACGATAACCTAAATGTATTTATTGCTCGCGTAATTCACGGTTATTAGACGTATAAAGAAATTGCATTTTTGCAATTCACCCGGGCACCAGCGAGTGAAACATCTGCTCCAAGTGAAACGCCTTTCCCCTCTGTCCCCGTGTGGTGGTTCACCTTCGCTGACGAGGAAAGCGGCCATGTGGAAGGCAGCTCTGATGGCCCCGTCACTGTGAACCAGAGCTCGCCGGTTGGCCCACTCGTACGGGTTCATCTCCGGGTGCCATTGCAGAGCATAGACAGGGTAGTGGTAGGCTTGTGGGAGAGACAAGATGAAGTAATCGCTGCAAGGCTTATTATGAGGTGGACGGGTGGCCCGGAGGTCAGAGCGCTGAGCTGGCACACCACCACTGACACCTTACGTTCCTAATTAAACTATAATTAAACTGGCGTTCTCAATTATCGTAAGTTGATAGTCTCGGCCCATGAAAAAAAAAAAACATCCTGAAAATTAGGTTATGTGCTTCATTTAGCTTATTTACAGCTCCGAGATAAAAAAAAAATACATCAGCTTGACTGTCATGCGATAAAAATTCTTCTTATTGACGAGCGGTTGGGAAATTGGCGCTCTCCAGTGTGTGGTGCAGATGTCATTTGAAGGGATTTCATTCGGTTCTCACCTGGCTACATATATATAGGCACGGTAAACATCGTCTATACATGTGTTTATCATGGTCCAAACAAATGAAGTTCTGCACCGAAGTACATGCCGTGTTGGGTTGCAAAAACAACATTCGTGACTCTTACCTTCCATCGTGGAGATAAACTCCACCCCACTGGAGTCGGTGTTTGTCGTCAAAACGCGATAGAAATTTCTCAGCTTCTCATTTGCAGAAAAGTTCTTTCACATTGTAACAAGAAATAAATTAATTGTAGGCAGCTCTTGTGAAGTATAATCGGCATGAATGGCCTCATGAGCAATTGATTTCGTGATTTTATTTTTCAACACAGGCCTAGTAGGCATTTGCATTCACCAGAGGTGACCAGACCCAGACCACGGATCAGGGACCACATGCAGCTCCCAGTCGGTTCAAGTGTGGCTTGATAGATGCAGCTAATGTGTAGCTTTTCAGTTCAATATTTTTGCTTGGATAGGAAAGATCTGCAGAAGCACACACACCCCTTGCAGCGGAACCAGACGTGAGGACTCCTGGTGCGCTACCGCAGATTTCTAAAATTCACAACTCCACTGTTGGAGAATGCACCCGTGTAATGCGTGGTGTCTCGTGGTTCTTGGCCACGTGAATATTTTGGCACGTGACTTATAGTGCCGCGAGTTTAGCCACCCCTGACATGTACACTGCTATGATTGCATTAATATTGTTCGTATAATAGGAGGTCATAGCAACAATCAAGGGAAGCGCAAAGGACATTGGGCAGCAATGGGGCACAGTGGTAATACATGTCTCACAGCGAGAATAGACTTGGTTCAATTCCTGACCCGTGCACCTTTATGATGGAGTTTGCACGTTCTCCATCTGTTCTGCATGGGTTTTCTCCGGGTTCTCCGGTTTCCCTCCCATTGTATATTTTTTTTTTTAAAACTTAAACTGGTGTTGTCCAACAACCCAATGCTCAATACTTACCAGAAAATTACTCAATTGGGATTACACACAGCCACAGCGACAGCGCCCACCTTACTGCACAAAACGTGGCAGGACCCTCCTGAAAAAGAGTCTTGAGACTCACCAAGGCCTTCCTGAGTAAACAAGCGTTAGACTACTCGTAATACATTATTTAAACAAACCACTTACATGTCCATACAGGCTATAAGAGATGACAAGCTGTGTAACCTCACCTTGAGTGAGAGGCTCCAGTTGTGCATGTTGCCCGTCGTGGACTCAGAAGCCAAGGTGTCCAGAACGCCTTTGGGGAAATTCCGAAAAAGCTTGCTTTGTTTGGATTCTGTAGAATGCAGCGAGACGTGGACGACACGCACACCGCATTGAAAGAGTTATAAGCGATGCCATTGTAATCATCTGATGCAATAGATCCTATATAATTGCTATACAATTTAGTTTATTCAGGGAACCTCACCGAGTCTCGAGACTCTTTCAGGAGGGTCACCGCATCGCATCGCGCTTTCAGATGCGCTTCTGCGGCCGTCTGGAATGCTCTTCCGATATTCGGAAGCCACTGGACAGCGATTGAAAACGAATTTATTTAGAACTGCTTTTTCTGTACAGTTTGTTGTGCTTCGTCCGCACCCCCGATTGGCACCTGTTGGCTACGTACACTGCGAAAGGTCAACATGCATACATTTATAGACCACCTCCTCCTCGTAAACCCTCCTCAACCCGTCCCGTGCTGCCGCAACGCTCGTATATGTGTCCAGTAACACCTGGACTATAGAGTACTGTATCAAAAACATTTATTCTCATCATTAACTACAATTGTAATGGAAGGGTATCTATAAATGGTTTAGCCTGGGCCTATATCGATTGATTGACTGCATTTGTTTACGTGGGTAAGAAACATCCAGCCCTAAGCTGATTTACAGGGACGACCCCCCCCCCTCCCCCCACGGAGGATCTGGGTGAAACGAAGGAAGTCGTAGCAGCGAATCAATCCCAAACAATGCAGACACCTGTAGTGGCAAACGCATTCGAGGAAAATAACATTGAGGGTCATGCACGACTCAAGTAACACCGGCAGGTAACGCAGAAGTATAACACGCAACTGGCGCGGGGTTTCGCTAAACCACATGCGCGGATAAAGGATGCCTCAAACCGAATGATTGTTTTGGTTAAATTCCCAGTATTGAGGCTTTGCCGTACCCTTGGTAAAGTTGAGGGGCAGCGCCACGTCCTGTGTGCACGTGAGCGTGAGAAGGTTCTCCCCGGCAACGAGGTAGGCCAGCTCGTGCATCCCCAGGCACTCGCCCCACACCGGGAAGTAGTTGCCGCACTCGTTCGCCTGTGAGCGCAGCAGCAGAATCAGCAGCAGGGGTAGCAGGGGCAACAGCAGGAGCAGCAGCAGCAAAAAGTATCAGCAGCAGAAGCAACAGCAGGAGCACTTGGGATCTCTCGCAGAGCAGCGCAAACCGTTCGTCGTTCGAAAAGTGCCCGTGGAAGTGGCTATTACAGAGCAACCTCCGAGATGGCTCCAGGTTGGCCTGGCCCCACCCAGGGCAAAAATGTCTCACCCATTCTGCCATACAAGAGTAATACTATTTGTCATGTGATCATCAACAGTGTTATTGAATATGCGTGGTTTTTTCTGGAGTTTCTTTGTATCCACACAGTACTTCCCACTCACTCTGCATATGAGAATGAGGTCCGTTGCACAATTATTTCACTAAATTAAGTTGTACAAACCCATATTTAATGCGATGCCTTTTTGTGCGCAATCATAAATCAACCCACTACACTTGAGAACTCAGTTTAACCATCAGCGGCGGCCTGGATTTGTGAGCTGTGAGCTCTTAGCCACCCGGCCACCTCCGAATTTAATTGAAACTGAAATAAAAGCAAGCGAAACGCATTTCATCAAACCAGTCTTCGCTTGAAAATTATGTATGGCTTCCCAAACACCAGTGTTGCTACATCTCCCTGTGGACCATTTCCAAAAATTTCAGAAGTCACCAAACATAGTCAAATATTTATTAAATGTCTATTGACATTTCAAAACTGGAACATTTATTTCCCACTTAAAAATCCGACTCCGTCACTCCAAAATCATATGCGCTCATACCTGCATGACGAGGTCGAACAGTATTTTGGCAGCTTTGGCATAAGCAGAAGTCACCAAGTCCACATCACCGCCGGGGAAAAAAAGTCTACGTACAATGTAGAGAACACGGTCAACGTTTAGTTAAACTCCGCAGGTTAAATTGCTGTATATATTTATGCGTTAATTAAGGCCTTCACCACAAATGTTACATCCCATGCAGGTCAAACCAACTCCTTCCTCTTCGTGAACTGGTAATAGTCACTCACCCATTTATTGAGTAAAAGACGTCCGTGTATTCACTCTTGCTCAAACCCACCCTGGGAAATTATGGAACGGAGAACAATGCGTTACAGTACTTCCAGACAACCGATGGTCCATAATAGAGTCAACTGATTAATTACTATTGGGAATTAAGGGACTGTTATAAGCCATCTGCTGCCGGTAAAACATATGGTTTTACCGGCAGCAGATGGTTTGCAATATCACCATGTTGTTTGGCTAGATTCTTTGATGAACGTGCTGGCAGTCCACCGGGGACGCGTTGGAATTGTGCCATGTATATATTGGCGTCCAGGGATGTAAGCTCGGTGAGTTCACCTGATGGGAACTACCCTGGAACCTCCGGACTCCAAGAACTTGACGCACGATGCAGCGATGTAGCTCGGGCTCAGCGCACTCAGCCCGGTCACAGTCTCCTGGCACAAAGCCCCTACGCAGGAACCATGTTACAATAAAAAAAATGTTTTCAAAAACAACCTTCATCCGCTCCGACACTTGAAAATGATCACCGACAACAACGAGGCGACTCGGGTAAACGCGCAGCGGGGATCGCGCAAATCCTCTTACCGATGATGGGCCTGTGATTCTTCTGCTGCGTGCAGGCCGCGATAACTTTTTGTGCTAGAGCAAGAGAGCAAGAGAGAGAGAGCGCAAACAGGCGCACAAAACGCGACGCCTTGAAAGCTGCCATTCGCCCCCAAACACTCCGCCGAATCACGCTGAGCAGGTCCCGTCTTGCGTCTGACGACGCTGGCTTTCAGAATGCCGGCACTCAAGTGAAGCCGACAAGGGGTGTGGATAATTAATACACACACACACTTGACTTAAAGCTTTCGTGACTGCGGGAATTCGTATTCTTTTTGGTCTTTCGGTAAAGCCACGTAGGTAGAAAAGTAGTACAATTGTCACGACGTTTCGATCGCAACAAATATAGCGAGAGAGCTGCCGAGGCAGGAGAAAATTCGTTCTCTTGCCTCGGCAAGAGAGCCATTCGGCTCTTGAATCGGGTGCAACCACAACAAACAAAAAAATACGAACAAGAAAAACATCGACTGCCGCGGCAGCTCTCTCGCTATGTTTTGTCACCTGATGACGATTGCTTGTATTGCGATTGAAACATCGTGATAATTTTATTTATGTTTCTATCTACGTGGCTTTACCGAAAGACCCAAATAATATAATATATACACACAAACAATATTGGAACGTCAGATCGTTTTGACGCATGCAAACAAAGAGGAGTATTCATTTGCTGCTCTTGATTACGTGACTGTTATTTTAGTCGAGAGCCAGTCACTTGTGAGTGTCAGAATGGAGGCACTCGATACTCACGGGAGTTAATGACAGAGTCTGTCCCCGCGACGGCATGTGGGTGTTCCAATTGCATAATAAGCAGGTCAACTTTAGAATGTAGAAAGTTTGGCACCGCGAAGACGACGCGCTATAACCCACCGAATAACACGTAAATATTAAAACACATTTTTAACTTGCATAGTAAAGTAATTGTATTTTTTCATTTGCTATACAGCCAGATAAAACGAGAAATCGCTAACCTTAAACACCCAGTCGTTTATAAAAGTTGAAGGCGGTATAGTACTATAGTAATAGAGCAAGTGCCGAATCACTGAACCGGAATTTATAGATTGAAAGCATTTAGCGCGGGGCCCTTGAAAGTGCAGAGCCCGTAGCTACTACATATGTAGTAGCTACTACTACTACATATGTAGTAGCTACTACATATGTAGTAGTAGTAGCTACTACATATGTAGTAGCTACTACTACTACATATGTAGTAGCTACTACTACTACATGTGTAGCTACTTTTGCTACTACGATAATCCGGCACTGATGAACAGGTCAATTTTCGAATGTGGAAAATTTGAACCGGGGAAGTCGACTCGCTATGACCCACTCTTCCGAATGAAGGCGTCACGGCATCTTTAACGTCCAATGCGAGTCGGACGGGGCACAGTTCGTATCGGTAAAACAGCATCAACGAGGGCGACCTGCTGAACTCCAACAGGTGAAACTCTGCAACGAGCAGCAAACGCGTTACCCTTCAGCCGTCGTCGCAGCCCCTGAAATTGGGTGCCTGTTGCGGTGTGCACTTTAAGAGGATGGGCTTGGTGGATCGCGCGCCATGGCGTGGTCATTGCTGCTGGGCAGAATGGGAGTGGATGGATCATCAGTAACTGCAACATCAGTAGATATATGTATGGGACTAGGCCTCGGCAAGGTAAGGTCATTTACCCTTTTTACCGGGTAAAAGGGTAAAGGTAAAGGGTAGGGTAAAGGTAGCTCGGAAGAATTACCCGGTAGGGTAAAGGTAGCGCGAAGTATTACCCGATGAATACCTTGTTTACCGCTCGCTAAAAGCTCCGTGGCGCAGTCCGTGGCCTTCATTTAAAATTGGAATCATCGAGAGTATTCTATAGATTAATAAAGCCCTCTACCGAGCATTTACCTGTTATAAACCTTTTTCATGTGTAATACCCCAGTAATTACCCTGTAATCGGGTAATTTGTATGGGGTAAGGGTAAAAGGTAGGGTAAAGGTAGGCTCGTTGTTTTTACCTTTAACCTTACCTGCTGAAGGGTAAAAGGTAGGGTAGAGTGATTGTATTGTGGTAAGGTAAAAGGTAGGGTAAAGGTAGGCTCGTTGCTTTTACCTTTAACCTTACCTGCTAAAGTGTAAAAGGTAGGGTAGAGTGATTGTATTGTGGTAAGGTAAAGGTAGGGTAAAGGTAGGCTCGTTGCTTTTGACCTTTGACCTTACCTGCTGAAGGGTAAAAGGTAGGGTCGAGTGATTGTATTCTGGTAAGGTAAAAGGTAGGGTAAAGGTAAGCTCGTTGTTTTTTACCTTTAACCTTACCTGCTAAAGTGTAAAAGGTAAGGGTAGAGTGATTGTATTGTGGTAAGGGTAAAGGTAGGCTCGTTGTTTTTGACCTTTGACCTTACCTTGCCGAGGCCTATATGGGACCTTTTTGCCAGTATCAAAAATTATGAAAAATAAGAATAGGTTTTACCTTTTCTGGCATATAAAACGGGTGATAAGATGTTCAAATACCAAAATAGAAACCTTTTGCAAGGCATCAAGTGTGCATCAACCACACGTACTTGTGGCAAAACATGCAAACATCCTCTAATAATGTACGCATGTCCTTGAAACTGATTGGCCTACACCAGAGACGGCCTTCTTTGTGGCTTTGCCTCACCAGTGTTAGACCAACGCAAGTATCAGAACACTTAATTATGGCTCGGCTCGAGCAGTTATACCTATGTTTTATTGCCTGAAAGGGTAAAACCTATTATTTTGCAACAGTAATGTTTTTTTTTATTTAATCCAGAAAGGCCACACTAAGTCGTAGGACTCTTTATCAGGGTGGGGTCCTGCATTGAGTTTTTTTTATTTTAAGACGCTTTTTGCCAATTCATGAAGAGTGTTTATACAAGAGGAAACCGGAGCGCCTGGAGAAAACCCGCACGTGCGAGGGGGCAACACTCTATCCCCGTATGGATTGGAAAAAGATGCGAAATAGTCCACTTGATGTGTTGCCTTCTCCCGGCGAGAACGGCACCTGGGCGGCCACGGCAAGGAGATTTCACGTTTTCGTGCAATTCGTCAATCCTCGCTGAATGAAAGTATGAAAAAAATAAGAATATATTTTATCCTTCCCGGCAATAAAACAGGTCTTAAGATGTTCAAACACCAAAATAGAACCCTTTTGCAAGGAATCAAGTCTGCATTAACCACACGTGCTTGTGGCGAACATGAAAACAAACATGCCCCGATAATAACCCTCACTGAACTCCATTGTTTAGATTACCCGTACAGGCCACGTGCATAGCCACCACCACCCCGGCATTGTTTAAAGTCGTGCTCAGCTGTCTTTGGCTTAGCGCGACATTCCGCACCTCCATCTCGCACACGAACACACACACACATGAGCATGCCAGTGTGTTCGTGTGCGAGATGGACCGAAGCATGATTGGTTGGCTCAGTCCACTGGTGGAGCTATCGTGCTGACATTAGGAGCCATCCATTGAGTAGGTACGCAAAAATCTGTCGAAACTTGACCCCCCCCCCTCCCCTGTACGCACGCGGACTTTTTACACCCCCCCCCCACCTGCGTATATACGCTTGACGCACCACCCCCCTCCCCCCCGAATCCTATAGAACGGCCGATATTTAATCCACGCAGAAACGATCAAGGATTATTAATATTAACGTGTTTAAGCAAACAAATAGTCCACCCCGGGACTATCTAGCTAATTTGAAGGCCAATGTAGGGGGCCGTCCATAAATGACGTCACGCACCTTGGGGGGGGGGGGGAGGTCAGACATTTGTGACGATGTGTAACGAAGGGGGGGGGGGTTGAGAAATGTGACGTCACATCAAAATATGCAACTTTAAATATAGACAACACGTTCTACTTAATTAAATAGACTTTTTAATAAATGTTTTCTCCTACAACATCAGAGTGCAGCGGCACATTAAATACGCACTACAACGACAATAGTTTAAAGCGATTTGAAGCATGTTTTATTTTCAAAATGGAAACATGGTTTTGGGGGGGCAGAGCTTTGTGACGTAATATTTGAGGGGGGGGGGGTCTGACTTTTTGTGACGCCGTGTAACGATGGGAGGGGGGGGATCAAAAATCGTCCAAAATTGCGTGACGTCATTTATGGACGGCCCCTAGACAAATTATTATCGAGGCTTCACCCCCCCCCCCCTCCCGTTTCCTATGCGTACGTGCATTGTCAGTAGACCCCCCCATACGCAAGCGTACGCATTTGGGTTAACCCCACCCTCCCCCCTCCATGCGTACGTACTAAATGGATGTCCCCTTATCACGCACGGCTCAGATTCTCCGAGGCACTGCCCCCTAGCTGCCGATTGGCTACTGGGAATTTTGCAGATGGGGCTTCCATCCACACTGCGGCAAATTATGCCACAAAAAGTGCTTCACACAGTTGACAGAATCACTTTTGCAGAAGTATGGAGAGAAACTTCACGTGAACACGGCTTGTCATTTTATGGCATTTTCCTCTGTTCCCCGTGGATTTTACACACGATGTTTTCCTGAAGAAGTTCGTTAACTAAAGTGTACATCACTGTGTTTTTTCTTGTTGCGATTTTGAAAAGTGCAGCATGCAATTGCGTTCACAAACATACGTTGTTTAAAAATACATGCATTTATTTTGATACGTGTGCATTATTTAAACAAGCTCCTTGAATACTTGTTGCAAGAACGTGCACGGCAGATGCCAAGCATCACTGTTCGGTGGGTTCAAGCGTGCAATTTTCCTAAGTGCGTCCGGCGAATTTTCTCAATCAAAGAAATACGCTTGCTGGAACAAATCTAGTTGCGCCGTGTAAACGGGCGAGTAGCCGTAGATTAAATGCCTCTCCTCCTCCTCCTGGCTGGAGAATCGGTGGGCGCTCTTCGAAGCTGAAACAGAATAAGCGACAGAATAGATTCGTAGAACACAACTTGTCCCGGGTGTGCTCCACATTAATTCAACCTTATTGTACATGGACGGATTTAACCTTCAAAAGTAACGGTTATCAACGTTTCGTCGACCGAGGTTCAAAAACGAAAGTGTAAAAAAAAAAGGTTGGCCAAATATTTTGTGGGGCTTCCATTTTTTAAGCCAAAATGCGAAGAATGGTTGGTTTAAGATGTGTTTTTTTTTATCAGTGTAGACTCAGCTATACTGTGCCAAATTTCAGTTTTCTCGTCCCTCACAGAACATCGTTATAATTTACATCAGTCAGTTATGATCACCTTTATGGGTTAGTTTGTCTACAGCCAATGTGTATGCAATGTGACATTAGCTTCGCCCCTTTTTGTCCAAGGGCCATAGTGGAATTTGGTCCCACCTTACGTGGCAAAACATTAGTGACAACGATTTATTAAATTGGGCCAAATGAAACTGAATTTTGTGATAACCTACTTATATTTATTGCTCGCATAATTCACCGTTATTGGCCATATAAAGAAATTGCGTTTTGGCAATTCACCCGGCACCAGCGAGTGAAAC